TAGTCCTAAAAAATCAACATTTTAGGACTATATGTATCCTAATGTATGTTGGATTACATGAGGAAAAAAAAACCTTCCAGTTCTAATAAGTCCAAGGAAGAGTTTCCAAAGAGATGTCAACACCATGCTACCATCGGCAAATCTCCCTTTCTAACAAAGAGAGCAGCCCTCAGTTATGAAATTCTGACCCTTGGTAAACAAGAGTATCTTGAGAAAGTTTATGAGCATTTGCTCATAGTTATTTTGTATTTATAGCAAACTATATTGGTTTTCCATGCAAAGGAGTGAGAGACAACTTCCCTTTATAGCCCATTTAAGTTAAAAGAAAAATATTTAGTAAGTAATAGTATAGTTATATAAGGATATGGGAAACATGATGAAGGTTGTATGCAAAACAAATGAAATTTTGGAAAGTTTAGTATAAGCTAATTTCGATCCAACTTCAGAGGAAAAAGATACAACTGACAGAAATGAAAACTGAAGACTATTTAAAGTATTACATTTATGGTACTCATACAACTGTACTACAACCATTTCTTGATAACTTATTCTGTTGCATGGTATTAAAACTTTACATAATCTATTTGATTTTCCAAATCAATATACATCAAAGTTTTATTGAAGGCAGTAACTTGATGTTAAGAAAATTTGGGGAATGGAATTTTTTTTTTTAATTTTTTATTGTTGGCTGTTCAAAACATTACATAGTTCTTGATATATCATATTTCACAATTTGATTCAAGTGGGTTATGAGCTCCCATTTTTACCCCATATACAGATTGCAGAATCACATCAGTTACACATCCATTGATTTACATATTGCCATACTAGTGTCTGTTGTATTCTGCTGCCTTTCCTATCCTCTACTATCCCCCCTCCCCTCCCCTCCCCTCTTCTCTCTCTGCCCCCTCTACTGACATTCGTTTGTCCCCCTTGTATTATTTTTCCCCTTCCCCTCACTTCCTCTTGTATGTACTTTTGTATAACTCTGAGGGTCTCCTTCCATTTCCATGCATTTTCCCTTCTCTCTCCCTTTCCCTCCCACCTCTCATCCCTGTTTAATGTTAATCTTCTTCTCATGCTCTTCGACCCTACTCTGTTCTTAGTTACTCTCCTTATATCAAAGAAGACATTTGGCATTTGTTTTTTAGGGATTGGCTAGCTTCACTTAGCATAATCTGCTCTAATGCCATCCATTTCCCTGTAAATTCTATGATTTTGTCATTTTTTAATGCAGAGTAATACTCCATTGCGTATAAATGCCACATTTTTTTTATCCATTCATCCATTGAAGGGCATCTAGGTTGGTTCCACAGTCTAGCTATTGTGAATTGTGCTGCTATGAACATCGATGTAGCAGTGTCCCTGTAGCATGCTCTTTTTAGGTCTTTAGGGAATAGACCGAGAAGGGGAATAGCTGGGTCAAATGGTGGCTCCATTCCCAGCTTTCCAAGAAATCTCCATACTGCTTGCCAAATTGGCTGCACCAATTTGCAGTCCCACCAGCAATGTACAAGTGTACCCTTTTCCCCACATCCTCGCCAGCACTTGTTGTTGTTTGACTTCATAATGGCTGCCAATCTAACTGGAGTGAGATGGTATCTTAGGGTGGTTTTGATTTGCATTTCTCTGACTGCTAAAGATGGTGAGCATTTTTTCATGTACTTGTTGATTGATTGTATGTCCTCCTCTGAGAAGTGTCTGTTCAGGTCCTTGGCCCATTTGTTGATTGGGTTGTTTGTTCTCTTATTGTCTAATTTTTTGAGTTCTTTGTATACTCTGGATATTAGGGCTCTATCTGAAGTGTGAGGAGTAAAGATTTGTTCCCAGGATGTAGGCTCTCTATTTACCTCTCTTATTGTAACTTGATGTTAAGAAAATTTGGGGAATGGAATTTTTTAATGCCAAGTATTTTAAGGTAAATTCAGGTGAAAAAGCACAATTTTTAAAAAACAAAGAAGAAAATGTCCAAGGATAAGTATGTTTGTTTCTGAACATATGCATATAAGGAAAAGGAGGGATCACAAAGTATTCACAAATGACACAGTCTTCTGTCTAGTGTGAAGAGAACAAGTAGGGGCCTGCTCCTAGCAGGTGCCTCATCAATCTTGTGATGGACTGCGCTTCTGGTACTCATGAAAATGTCAAGAAATAGCTGTAATGATTCTGAGCTCATTACCATAAATTTGCCTCCTTTCTTGCGGGGGAGGTCCCAGGGATTGAACTCAGGGGCACTTGACCCCATCCCCAGCCCAATTTTGTATTTTATTTAGAAACAAGGTTTCACTGAGTTGCTTAGTGCCTTGCTTTTGCTAAGGCTATGAACTTGCAATCCTCCTGTCTCAGCCTCCCCAGCTGCTGGGATTACAGGTGTGGATTACCACTGTGCCTGGCTAACTTTGCCTCCTTCTTGACAGAATTCCTTGCTAGGTCCTACTACTAAACTTTCAGTACTTAACTGGCAATTAAAATGCTTACACAAATAAAATATAAATTGTTTCTTCTAGTTTATATTGAAATGGACAATACAGAAAACTTGTAAAATCACTTTAAGAACATGTTTCTTAGCTTTCACACTCTTTTAATTTAGAAGTTTTCTTGATATCAACTATTTTTCTCTCAAGATAATGGATTCAATCCTGCCTTCCAACTAGCTCTCTTTAGAAAATGGCAAAATTAAATATTAATTCCTAGTAGAAGTTGAGGAACATCTTTGCATGAATCAAATGCATTCCAGAACACCACAGACATGAAACAACACACCAGGACTGCTGAAAGCTGGTGATGATCATTCTGAGGGTCCCTCCCACACCTTAAAAAAAAAAAAAAAAAAAAAACCTGTTTATCCTTGTCTCTCTGCAGGCATTCTTTCAAGTTTTCAGGCTGATGGAGATCTGAAGAGGGACACTAAATCACTGCCTGTCATCCAGACAACAAATGAGCTGACCAAATCCAAGGCAGCTTAGTATGTCTATCCCAATGCAGAAACAGCCCCCTTCTGCTTGTTCATGTCTATCGAAATCTGCTTTGTCAAGGTTCTTCTGACGAGAAGAAAAAAAAAATGATCCTCCTTTTTCTTGTCTTCTTGTCTCTCATGACTCGTAATCCTTTTATGCCTCCAATTCCATTGCTGCTCTGACATACGGATGCTGTGATTTGCTAGGCCTCCCTGCTACTCCCACTTTTATGAATCAGTCAGTGCTGAAATGAAACACTTTGTCACTGCCATTATTATCCCTCGGAGTGTTGAGGAACACCACCAGAAACTTGTAGTAGTCTCCTGTTAGACTCAATCAATCTCAGCAGGCATTATGGATGATCCACTGTCTTGGTTTATACATGGCACAACATTAAGAGTCTTTATTTAAACTCTTTGCTCAAGTACTTTATTTCTTCACCACAGAAAACTCCAGAAAGAAATAGTATAGGAAACATAAGCCTTTGTTATTTCTCTACAATGTCGATGAATCTATACTCTTTTGCTTTTAAACTCTACCTTCCTTCCTCTCTCTTTCTTTTCCTCCCTTTTCTCTTTTCATATGTTAATAGCAATTTATAATATCTTACTATCCCAGCACAATGACAGTAGCTCAGGATACAAAAATATAATATTAATTTCTCAGGGCATCCATAATAAATGCCATCCATAATAAATACCACAACATCGTGGCTTAAAATAACAGAGTTTATTATCTCATAGTTCTGGAGGCCAGAAGTCTGAAATCAAGGTGTCAACATGCCCCGGGAAAGAATCCTTATTTCTCCAGCTTTTGGTGGCCCCAGGTGTTCCTTGGCATATTTCTTTTCCATCATTGTTTGTTTTGTTTTTTAATTCAGGACTATAAATTGTTTTATTGACCTTACATTCTGTGTACTTCCTTTCTTGTATGATGAAAATCTTACTTCTCAATGATATTAACAATTACTCATTTGTCTTTGTCTCTGTCTTCATACAGTCTTATAAAGCTACAAGTCAAAGGATAGGACACACTCTATCCCACAATGATCATAAATAATTACTTCTGCAAAGAACCTATGACCAATGGTCACATTCTAGGATTCCAGGTGGACATGAATTTTAGGAGAATACTGTTTAAGCTAGGACAGATGTCCATTGGGTTCTTTTTTGGAGACTCTTTCACGTATTTACTCAAACTTCAATTCAACTGACTTACTTTCCCTCACACAGTATTAGTATGCAGAGTCCTCTATAAACATTTTTGCTAGTTTAAACTTCTAAAAGTGGTCAATTTAGCTTTCAGTGGCCTACAACCAAAGAATCCTGGCATAGCTTCATAAAGGAGGGCCCTAAGTGGTGGCTAAGAAAATGGATATATCACTGAAATAGTAAACTGATTTTTTTACATTAAGCACCTCAATTTACAATGATTGGTTGAGGAATACATCTCCCAAATTGTTGCACTAGGTGTGTAGTTTTTTCCATTTATTTTTGTATGGACTAGAAGCACAGAATTCTTATAAAAATATTTTCTTGCATTTTAGAATTAAATAGAAATTTTCTGATGAAACAATTATCATTTTACAGATGAGATAAATCTGAGGGAATGTATATTCTTACTGGCTAATTTGGGGACAGAACTAGTAAAGATTTCTCAATTCTTTGATCAGTGTGTAAATCAGACTTTTCATATTTATTAAAATAAATAATTTTCATTATGATTTTTCTCTCTGAATACACTTTAGCTATTTATTAATCTAAGAATAACTTCCAATATTATTGCATTAATAGTACCCTACAAAAACACACAGGGACTTCCCTTCCTAGGAGTCCATGAATCTTTAGTGCTCAAAAATATTGTGGAGGTAAAAAATACTGAGTTTTCCATAATGACATTGTCCATATTTCTTCTAATTGCATCCGTGGATATGATACATGCTATTAGACATGACAGAAATCAATTTTAAATAGTAAGTCTTAAATAATAAACCTTTCCCTCAGTACAGACAGCAAGCAAACAGAAATTCTGGCTTTTTTATTTGTGCACCACTGAAACTTCTTCTTATTTATTCACTTTAATTATGCGTTTACACAAGAATGCTGTAATAAAATATCTGTACACTACTTCTGTTACAAATATAATATTTAAAGTGACTTTATATACTCTAATGTAGGAGTTTCACGGTCTAAAATGGGAATGAACACATGATAATTCCTTGCCAGTTGTCTCAATAAACAGCTCCATCTGTTTCCCTTAGTCTAAAACTATTGTATTATAAGATGTTAATATAAGGCAATGAAATGAAGTTATGTTAATCCCCTTAATTTTTCTATCAATTTACTAAGGGCATACAACCAAAATAATTACTAACACATTGCTTTTTTCTCTGTCATTAAGAGTAATACTAATTGAAAAACAACCGCACAGCGCATAAACACATTTTCAGTATTGCATCAGTTGTTGAAAACAGCACTAAAAGATTCTGGGACCCTTTTACATTCTTCCATGATTAGCCTGGTTGTTCTCTAGAAAAACCAGTCAATGTGGGGTAACATCATTGCTTTACTTACAGCAACATGAGAATATTTTATAACAGGTCAAAAAATGAAAATGAACATCAAGATGTGCATTAAATATGATTCCTTTATAAAACTTAGGAATACTGCTCCATATATTTGCTATTTACTCAATCACAGAACACAATTTAAGCAGCAAAAATATATGTTTACATTAGAGGTGAGGAGATAACGGTATTTTATAATGTTCAGAACTTTTAAATACTAAGAGTATTAGATTATTTTTTTCTTAGTTTGGGGTAGGGAAAAGAGAGAGATTGCTGAATTAAGTCCTTTTTAAAAAACTCGCCTAAGATTTTCCTTGTTTACTATAAATTTTCACTATTCAAACTAAAAGTGAATTTCCTGAAGTCACTTTTTTTTGTTAGATTTAGAATTATTATTCTCTATTAATGAGATTGATACATAATTTTTATCCATGTGACTACAACATTTTAAATAACTTTAAAAGAAAAACTGGATTTCCATACACAAATATTATTCCTCTTTGAGTTTAGGTTCACAAAATACAAGGGGAAAGAAAAAATGATGTTTAGATGTCAGCAATAAAACCACACTACAAAAACAAACTTAAATGTTATTTTTCCCTACAGTTTTGAATAACCCATGAATACAATATAGGAAAAGTCATCCACAAGATCAATTATCCACAGACCACTTCCATTCTTATAGTGGGAGGTAAGCAAGAGATTGGATTGGTTCAGTTCAGGCAGCCAATTCAGGAGAGAACCATCAAAGTGACAGTGCCTTTTGTCTGCTTGAGGATGGCCACTGCTTCTTCATGAGTTACCCCTTCTAGGCTCTGCCCATTGACAGCAATGATTTGATCACCCCTTTTAAGACGCCCATCTTCTGAGGCTGCTCCCTGCAATTATAAAGTAGACTTGTTTACTTCTCAAAAGAATGCAGCTTCATGTCACACAACAGAAAAAAAAAAAAAGATCTAAATAAGAATGTAAATTGCTCTGCATATACAGGCACATTGCTCTTGGTGCTCCACAAATATTAAGCAATGATGAACATACACAAAGGAGGTCTTTCTCCTAAATGGTTTTAGTATTGAGATTCCAATTTGGGAGAGAATCTAGCAGTCAATAGATTAGTTGGATTTCTTTTTTTGGGGGGGGCGGGGCGCTATTCAGCACAGCAGTTGATAGAAATTCAAGTTAATAAAGAATATTTGGGAATTTGCCTAGTAGGAATGATTTCATAGAATCCATGATTTTCTATTCTGTAACGACCTATAGAAAAAGAAGACACAAAATTAACTAGGAATAAAATCAGTTTCACAGCACCTGGGTATAAGGGCTAAAAGGTTTGCAAAAGCACAAAGCCCATGTGAAGGTTGACTAGGACATGATAAGGTACAAGCGCTGATTTTAAAATCCATCGCTGGGGCTGGGGGTATAGCTTAGTGGCAGTATTCTTGCCAGCATGTGAGAGGCCCTGGATTCTATTTCTAGTCTGTCTCTCTCTCTCTCTCTCTCTCACACACACACACACACACACACGCACGCACATGCATGCACATACACAGTTAATTCTAACTCTTTCTGTGACTTTGAAAAGGCGGCTCAGGCTGTCTTGGTTCTTACTTCCCAAGGGTAGATGGATTCTTCATATTACTATGGGCCCTACATGATAAAGATTAAACACAGACATTGTTGTTTGAAAAAGAATCCCATCTTAAGGCATGCTTATAGAAGACAATTATGCAATTAAATATAAGATTAAAATATGGAGAATTTAATGAGGAATCCATAATGATGAAATTCTTAAAATATGTTCTCACTAGCATGCCTTAAATAAATTGTTCCTAGGCTGAGGAAAAGGACTGCATGACTCTCCTGTTCACTGGCAAATGCTGTTTGTATTTTTGGACACACCAATAGCTTTTTTAAAAATCTCAAAAATTAAGCTAAAGCACTTTAAACCAATTAAAAATAGTAATACTTTTTTCAAAATAATATAATAAAACCTCCATAAATTAAAGGACCATAGAATTAATCTAAAGCCTCTATATCAAGTCTTTAAACATGTTTTGCATGAATTTTGCTTTCTTTCACTATAAAATTTTGAAATTTTGGATTTTCTCCTGCAGAAAATTTTGTCCAATTTTGTAGGTCTGAGAATATATGTCTTATGAACATAAATATGCCTTAGCAATCAAACATGGGTTTCGGTTGTTTGAATAGCTTCATCAGTGTCCCAGTATCTTTATTTTTGTTCAAACATTCTTAAGATAGAAATGTTTTTCTTTATAAAAAATAAAATCCCTTAATTATGAATAATCAATTTATTGTAAATGACAAGGCTGCTGGATACTCTTTAAATTCTTTTTAGTAGTCTTTCTATTTTATTCAATGAAATTAAACTTGTCAAATAAATGTTCTATTAGTTAACGTGAATATACATTTTGTGCACTTTTCTGTACCTATTTTCTATTTCACAACAACAAAAAATGCAAAGAAAAAGAAATGCCAGTGCTCTGTAGCATACATATTTAAAAGGCCCCATTTTCAAATGACAATTATGTACAACTTGTTTTCAAAGGAAAGAACAGAATTTACTAACTAAAATTAATTAATATTTTTATGCATGTTGTCAAGAGTTTCCATGGAGTTTTAATTTGAAGCTATTTTCCTTTAAACATTATTAAGCTCAAATTGTACAAAAATATTTAATGACTTGCTCCTGTAGGGAGTTTAGAAAGAAAATGATCAACTGTTAACCATTTGGCATTACCTCAGGCCATAAACTAATAAGCCAGCTGCTGACCACTGTTAATGAATGTTTAGCAGAGAAGAGAATGGTTAAAATTTGCAAGCTTACCTTAGCAAACACTGTTTTCACATAAATGGGTAAGTCTCCATGAGGGCTGCCATATCCTCCTACTATACTGAAGCCTAAGCCATCTGGTCCTCGGTCTAGTGTAATAGACTTACACTGAGGAGGTCTACAATGAAGGAAAGGAAAAAAGAGGATTGGAATTTTTTATAGGTTACACACACACACACACATACACAATCTGAGTCTGTAAGTTATGCACTGTCTGACATCTACCTAACACTAGCATAATTCCTTGTGTTCTAATAGGAAATATATTATGAATATTTTGGGGATGCTTAAATTGTCAATGCATGCTGTGTGCAGTACTGAAATTTACATAATCTAATGAAATCCTACTTAACGCCCTAATTCTATTACTCATTTACAGTTGCCTTAAACTAACATATTCACTGCATGTTCTCATGGCACAGAAAAACTCATTCTTTTTTTGGTTTATTTAAAGTGAGAGGGCTAAAGTTCAGGGGACTGTAATGGAATAAGACATAAACATTGGGGTTCCTAAGCTCATATAGAAAAACTGATTAAATAATTTTATATAGCTTATATTGCTTGTAAACATTCCAATGTTCTTCGTTTCTCTACTCTTCTTATTTTCTTATGCTTTTGGTATTCAGTGTTGTTATCCAATGGCAGTACATTTTTTCATTCAAAAGGAAGGATGTATGAAATGAGTTAATAATGCTGAAAAAATTAAAGAATAAATTTGACTTACTCTCTATCATACAGGGGTAGTGATATAGACTAAGAAGCTCCCCTCCCCCCATAAAAATCAGAAATGAAAATGTGGGAAGGGTAATATTATGTATAGCTATGGGTCTATAATCTATCCTTCCTTGATTAGCTAAATCTATGCCATAACTGTTCATAGTTAAAAGCACTGGGGTTTTGCATTTTATGCCTCATCTCCCTATATATTTCATCTCTAGGTGAATGCTAGAAGCATGTGACAGAGAATATAATTGTCAGGAAGACTTGATTCATAAGTAACAAATAATGTACCATAACATAAGAGCTCACCCTAAATCATCCTGAAATATGCTGCTTGATGTTAGTCCAGTGAAAGACAGACTAGAATTTGCAGGCTCCGGCTGATGACCTGTGACCACACTTACATCTCCCCCAGCAACCACCTGTGTACAAAGGAGCACAGAGAGGAAAAAAGACAAATGTTCATGTGGCTAGGGAGACAGCAGCAGTTTTTCTTCAAAGAGAGAATTTGGATTAAAATGTGTATTTTATTGTCCACTTAATCATTTCTGTGAACATAAGAGAGAAATTTCACAAGATCCAGTGGCTTTTTAACTATACAGATAATAAAAATATTCTAACTCAATTATACAATGCTGTTTGATGCTTTTAAAACATGGTCTCCTGTGCAATTATTTTTTAAAGATTCTTGGAATATAAGACACTCACACCACTTAAAATTCTAGCAATTAATGTTCACAGTTGAGACCCTGTATTTTGCCCTTAGAAATAAAGTAGGAGACAATAAATGCATAGGGGTAAAATGCAATGGAATGTGTTTCATATGTATATTATTCAAGCTCTCAGTTTATATCATTTATGTTCAAGGATATATTAAATGCAAAAAAAGAGATTCAATCCTTTTTACTGCTTTAACATCAAAGTTCATGTGCCCTCAAAGTTACCCATATTCTGAACAGTGCTTGAGATACAAACCTCACCTGCATTTCAATGGAGCCAGGGGCATTTTTCAGTAAGTTAACTGCTTGAGTGTGAGTCATCCCCTCAGTTGATGTGCCACAGATGGTGACAATCCTATCACCAACCTGCCAGGGAGAGAAAGAAATAGCCACCTACTAAAGCACACAGGGAAAATAAGACTTGGAGACCAGTGCAGTCATTTCCTTCTCTAATGTCAACTTCACATATATACTGTCACCAGACATTAAAATATAATGATGAAAATGACCGATTCCAAGAAGTCCAAGGAGCAACCACAAAAAGAGTTGTACACATTGATTTATATAGTCACCAAGGGAGTGGGGGGGAGAGGGGGAAAGTCACTCTTCATTTCTCCAGGCTAAGGCATTATTTCTTATTAAAATAATAAAATATGGATATTATTTGGAAACTTCAATTTCTCTGGATATTATCACTATAATCGTTAGATGTGACTAAATCAGGGGCTGGCAAATTAATGCCCACAGGCTAAATCTGGCCCATTGCCTATTTTGGTTAATAAAGTTTGGTTGGAAGACAGCTAGGCTTATTTGGCTGCTTGCACAGGGCAGAGCTGAGCAGCTGCAACAGACACTCATATGACCTACAAAGCCCAAAATTTCACTATGTCCTTAGAGAAAAGTGATCCCCATGGTATATATACCATCATTTTTTTAAATGTCAGTAATTAATTTAGATATCAAAAGAGGCTGAACCATTTCCAATCTAGAGGATATTTATACTAAACATGATTGTGTTTGGAGAACTTGTATGAGGCCACAGAGGCTTTACTTTTAAAGAGACTGAATTGCTTTAAAAGAGTATTTACATGATTTTGGAGCTGTCCAGTTATCATAAAGCCCATCAAACTCTTCTAATATGAATAATCCCTCAATGTAAGCAAGTTTTGTGTAATTTTACAATATTGCAAGTCACTTTATATTAAGTTTCTGCAAACTTTACAATCAAATGAAAATAAATGATACTTTTCAATTTAATAAAGTTGAATCAGCATTTATACCAATAAAACATAAAACAGAAAAGTTTCACTTCATACTAGCTTTCTGAAAATAACTTTGCATTATTTTAACTTGTTCCACAGAGTCAAAATATATAATAAAAATACAAAGAGACAACTGTAAATCTTCCCATTTCACTTACTTGCAAATTCCCATTCAACAATATCATTTTTTCCTTTCCTTTTTCGTTTTGTTTTGAATTATTATTCTTTATCCTTTACTTAAAGCAAGGTCTGCTGTAGCTTGGTTAGCTGACTTAGAACAGCCTTGCAATAGATGGTTAGATTAGAAGGATTTATATAAAACAAAAAAATACTACCCCATAAAAATCTTTTGCTAGATTTGTTAGAGCTACTATGGTTATTGGTAAAACTTACCCTGAGCTTCTGCGTCTGAGCTGCAACTCCATTTGGGTGCATCATTGCAATAAATATAGGAACATCACCAAGTGGGCTGCCCACTCCTCCAGCTATGCTGATTCCCAATGAGTCAGTAGGCCCCTGCCATGCAACAGATGTAAGATTTTAGTAAAAGTGTTACTTTCAATTGACCTTTGTTTATTCTTTGGTTCAAGATTCTAGTGTCCACCTTGATGTTCTATGGGTGTGAGGGTGGAAAATGTAGCTTAAGATAACTGCATTATTTTATTTGATAGAGGTCCTTAGTATGGGTTAAGAAAATAAGCATCTGTTCAGGAAGAAAAAAAAAATCAAGATATGCTAAATGGAAATCATACTGTGAGACAGATGAGCAGGTAAACTCTGAAGTTAAAAGGCCACAGTCTGGGGAATCAAATCTGAGTTCAAATCCAGGGATCTATGCTTACAAATGCTAGGATCTAGAACAATCCCACTCCTCAACAGATCACCAGATGATCTTCATTCCTAAAATGGTGATAACAGTGACCCTTACAGAGGGCTGCAATGAATATTAAAGGACATGATGTTGACAAGAAGTGTCTAGAAAAGCGCTCAACACATCATAAGGCTCAAAAATTGCAGCTGCTTTTATTTTCTCTCTTGTTCATGGCTGTCTGGGAAATCTGTTTCAGCAAAACTGAGAAGTGTCTGTTGAAAGGAAAGGCTCACTGATCAGCAGAAGGGAGATGCAGGGAATGATTGGGTGTAGGGTCAGATTGATGCCCATTTTTGGCAAAAGTGATTTTTCAAATGAGGTCAAATCACTAGGAAATTCAGCAAAGACTGCACTGTGTTATTTCCACTGTATACAATGTGTGTGTGTGTGTGTGTGTGTGTGTGTGTGTGTGTGTGTATATTCAGCTGGATACTATGAAGCAATAACATAGTTACAGAAAAATACAAATGTAGATGCCTCTGAAAACACCAAATTACCTTTTTTATTTCAACTGTTCTTAATCCCTGTATTTCAGATGCTACTGTAAAAAAAAGATATAATACAGTTATCAAAGCATTTTTATGAACATTAAATTTTCACCAATACATGGAGCTAGATGGGACTACATGGGCTATCATTTATTTTATTAAAAAAATAAATGATACACAGTAGATGTGATTAGATCTAACTCATAAAGGAACTCATCATTTCTCCAGTTGGAAAAAAAGCACATACCATCTCATTTCATCTCTTCATTTTAAGCATCAATTATATAACTATATAATCCACTTTGAATGAGTCAAGGACAGAATGCACTTTGCATAGAAAGACACATGCACAGCTGAGAGGAATAAAGTCACGGATGCATTTTTAAAAGAATCCATGGACTTAAGTGCCTAAACTTCTAGAATATTAGTCATATTGCAAACAGAGACTGCCATATGGTTAGTTTCTTCAATTTGAACAACTTTCAACTAATGTATCAAGCCAAAAAACCCTTTGCATCACGATTTCATGTAATTAAAACACAGGAGGATGATATTAATTTTCTCAAAATTTTGCAATCTTCATGGAAAAAGAAGGCTTCACTTAGTGGCATCTTCTGATTTGCTGGAGTCACATTAAACAGAGGAAGAGAAGCAAATCAAACACACCAGTCTGCTCAGTAAGAAAAAACTACACAATCCTGATGATAATGTTTCCTATGTCTTTCAGGGTAAACATCAAATGGGAAAAGCTGCCACAGGCACAGAATCATGATGTTCAGATTTTTTTGCCAACCCACGTTTTTGTACCTCCGTAAAGATATGGGATGATTTGGGAGATGGGGGAAAAGGAAACAAAAAGAGAAAGAGTGCGAGGGAGGGAGGGAGGGAGGGAAAGAAAAAAACAGTGTTGCCGACCAAAATTCAGATCAGTAAAAGATGCTTAAAATATTGAACCAATCTTACATGCATTCTTCTTTGAGCTGCTTTCCAGTGACTCAGATGTACTTATTCCAGAAAGGGGAAGAGTAAATGATGACAAACTGCCTTCACTCACCTACAAAATCCACCAATTATTTTAGAAGATTTTAGAAATAATAAATCTCCCTAAATACCACTTATTTCAGAATTCAATTCTTTTAGTGCATCTAAAGAGAAATACCATTAAACAACAGTGGCATTTGATAATTTGAAGGGCAATTTAAACATAATTCCTGATGATTTTTTTTTCTTTTGAAGAAATAATTTGCCTAATAACATGGGTAAATTGAAGCTAAGAGGGTAAATAAGACTGATTTCAACTTACCTAAAATTTTAACAGTTTTCATAATCTCATTTAAGACAATCCTCTATAAACAACTGATGCACAAAGACTAGGACTTAAACAAAAACTATACAATTAGAGCCTGTTAATGATAAACTAATCTAGTAATTAAGGAAGTCTGAAAGTGTTACTCAAGGCAAGATTGGTACAAATCTACTTCTGTCTTCAGAAGAAAGCACTGAGGAAAGGACTTGGAAAAATCTTGAACTATTTCAATATTGTAATTTATAAATGGTAAAGAGAATTTAAAGTTCACCTATGTGGGGTTTTTCAGTTGAATACTGAATACTGATTGATGCTAGCAATTGCTACACAGTATGTTTAAAATCTGGTATCTTGGTAGACCTTACATATATTCGATGATAACTCATTGAGATTATGGGAAAAGAAGAATGCTTGAAATCACATTCTTATAATGTTTTAAACTAATCAAGAGTCACACCTTGTCTCTTTGCCCACTCTCATCTCCTATCCTGCCCTATCTCAAACTCTGCACTCAGTCACTCAGTCACCCTGCTTAGAGGGCCACATATGTGTCCATGTCCCTGACAGTGCCACCATGGGGCCATTTATAAGCTCTTCTTGGTGTATGGACAGCTACCCACCTGGCTGCTCTGAGAAGGCCTCCTCTCTGAATGGAATGGACCAGCTTTGATTCTTCCAACTTCCAGGGTTACTGTGCCTAGGGAACACTGGGGGAGTGGTTGTTTTATGGAAATGCTTAAATAAAATTCTATAATCATCTTTAGCAATACATTTTACTCTTCAACACTGAGGTTTTGAAAGTGTTTTTCCTTTGGGATTTCCACAGGTAAGGATATCACCAATCCTTTGTGAAAAATGCCTTTAAAACATTAAAACTAATAAAAACTAACAAAACCAAACAGCAGCAGCAACCCCAGGTGTATGTCTTGTTATCTCAAGATTTATATGGAGATTATTTTTACCAAAGCAAAGAGCAATTGAGAATTGAGCAAATATCTCATGAAACACACTGATGTAGAAAGGCCAAATGAACTGAATAACTCAGGGCTTAAAAAAAAACAATAAATTTGCTACTACAACCACAACTTATTTTTCCTTAATAGAAGAGGTGCTCATAAATTTGGGCAAATGATCTGTTGCTACACTGTACCTGAGTAGACTTCTTACATAATACTTAAATAAATATTGTCATAAATACAAAATAAAAACTGAAGATAATTTCCCTATAGCCCTTTACAAATAAGCCACAGGCATGCAAGAAATGTTACATAGCCTAATACTACAGGATGTAGTAGCACCACAAGGTGTTTGAGACCCTGGGCTTTTGAGTTCAGACACACTGATTTAAATTCAGACTGTGTTTTACTAGCTCTGTGACCGTAATGGATATCTAATGTTAATATAGTTGGTGTTCTGCATTCTTAGAATGTAGAGCATAATAAGTTGTTAAGAAAAGTAGTCCATGTACAGTGCTTATGACAGTGTCTAAGAGTAGGCATAAAGAGGAGGCACTGACATTGTTATGCTGCTGATGTGCTACCAAGGGAAGCTTGAACTTGAAAAGTCAAAACTTAACCTGAAATAGCCATCAGTTGATTTTTATTTGTTTTGTTGGTTCACCATTTTTTTTTTTAGCCCCAAACTTACCAAACTTTTCTTGGGAACTACTTGTGTTTTCAGCTTACATAAATGCAGAAGTTAACAAGTTCATGCATTTATTATTCACTATGCAGTGTTATAACTCTTTCATCTACCTATAACACAGCTCTTTCAAAGTCCAAAGGTTTTGATTATTGTAAAAAAATTAAGGTAATCTTTCCATTATAAAAGCAATTAATTCTCATTAGAAAAAATTGGAAAGTGAAATGAGGAAAAAGTTAATTTCAATAATTACCTCATAATTGTTGTTAAAAATTTATAAGGTTTCATCTTACATAACTGTATTGATATTGTAAACCACAATTGTTTTTTGTTTTATCTTCACTGATTACATTTTTTATGTTAATATAGTTGTCATAAAGATCACTATAAATAGACACATTTGTTATGCATCTTTGAAATACATGCCAAAGTTGATGTAGTTTTTTGTCAACTATGTTACTTCCAATTTTCTTATTATTACAAATAATACTCTGATGAACTTTATGTACTTAAATTTTTCCATATTGTAAGTTATATGAGTAAGGTTTTTAAATGAAGAATTAACCAATCAAAATAAGAAACAGCAGCATGAACATTATAGTATACAAATATTTAAGGTTCTCAACCATACAGGTTGTTACAATGGTTGGCTGTATTGATATTAAAATTATTTATGTTTTATGGATACTTTCTATTCAGAGACATAACAGTGCTACAGAGCCAACATATTTTTATCTCCAGAGGAAAACTGTTCCTCCTTAAAGAATTCTTGATGTTTAAAAAACTTCAATAAATGACAGGTTTTAATGTTTTGTTAATGGCTGATTTTATATCCACATTCATATTCACAATCCTATCCAAATCAGAGGCCAAAAATAAGAGCCTCGCCTGGAACATCCCTCCATGACGCCCAGTCCACCATGGCAGAGCTGCCACGTGGACTCACAGCAAGATGTACCCAAGGCATAGGCACTGATGGAAATGGTTTTCTAGTCAATGTTGAATTATACTTCTTCAGGTTAAAAACCACACAAGGTAGAGGAGAACAAAAAGATAAGCATTGCCCATTTACAGGAATATATATCCTCCCTATAAACTGGAATATACCCTAATAAGAAATATGTCTATAGTCCTAACAAATGTATTTTTAAGTGATTATTCTGTACTTTACAATACTTTTTTAAAATGAGACTTATTCTGCCTTTTCAATAGGAAAATGATCCTTCTTGAACTTTCTTTGGAGGAATCTATTTCATAATGCGAAATGTACTTAAATTTAGAATGATACGTAGGGATGGGGTCCTTCCAACAAACTGAATAATTCCCAGTGAAAGTACTGCCAGGTGAAACTGCATTAAATTATTTTCACTATATAAGGTTGGCTCACCCAAACCTGATTTTAAATACCAACTTTCAAATAGTTCAATAGTTTTGAGTCAGAATAGGATTTAGACAAAACATTATATTCTAACGCTCATAAATAATAAAATCTTTCTGCCACATTTTTTGTCACATTATTCATTATCCTTCATAAAGATGTTGACACTGCTATGCCAAAATAGGGGTTAAAGAAGAGCTGGGGACAGGAAAGCCTAGAAAATATGATCTCCAGAGGTGTCATGGATACCCATCTCACCTCTGGTGATCCCCACATTGGGCAGTTCAGCCAAGACACTTTTAAAAAAGCACCTCTGTGGGGCTGGGATTGTGGCTCAGTGTCAGAGCACTTGCCTTGCATATGTGAGGCACTGGGTTCGATCCTTAGCAACACATAAAAATAAATAAACAAAGACATTTTTGGCTGCTTTGACTGTAGTGATGTATATATACATTATACTAAGAAAAAAGGATAACAGACGTTTAAAATAGTATCCAAAGTTAAATAAACAAAAAAGAAAACAGAAAAAAAAGAGCACCTCTGTGTCTGAGATGTGTCTAAATCATATCAGAAGCTGTAAGAAATAATCCAGAAACAAAGATGGAGGTGCAAAGATTGAGACTTTTGTGTCTGAATATGTGTTTTGTTTTAAGCAAGAATTTACACAATATTCATCTTAGAAAGATTTACTAAAATTTTAAATACTCAGTTCATGAATCCTAATACCACTAAATAAATACAGAACAACATAATAAACAGCTGTCACTGAAAATATGTAATAGCATATTTTTTGGAAAAAGTCTCAAAGAAGTTTATTTTTTCCAATTATAGAGAAGTAGGAAAAATGTTTTATTTGAGATGATACTTTAGAGAAGTAACTAAACTATTGTAGCTGAAGTTTAAATTCTCTTTCTTTTTGCTCTTATACACACTTATTTTTGGCATCGGATTTATACCTTTAGCAATGCAGCTACAGCTTCCTGGGTGGCATTGCGAACATCTTCTCCATTCACCATTAATATCTGGTCACCCTGCATCAGTCTTCCATCAGCATCCGCGATGCCTCCTTTGACAATATCTGACACAAATACTCCAGTATCGTTTCTGCAAACCATTTTGAATTTCAACATTATTACTTTTCCTCAACTGAAATGCAATGTTTATTTAATGGAAAGCTAACTTTTTTAAAAAATGAAAAATTTACATCTATTTTTAAGGGTTTTATTGTTTTGAGCAATGCTGGGGCAACATGTATTAAATAATGGCATATGTTTTACAGTATTTCAGAGATTGAGCAGATCTTTTATAAGCATATTTGTTGTTCATCAATTACATACTGTGAAGAGGAGGGGATACTATTCTTCTCATTTTATGGGCCACACAGCTAGTAAATGGTAAAAACAGGAATAAAGAGCCAGTCCTCGGATGTTAAATCTATTGTTCTTTCCACACCATTATGAATCCTTAAATGGATATTGACTTGTGGCTATGAAAACACATTGCTGTTATCATCAACACTATTAACATTGTTGGAAATAAATAACACATGTGTATCTTAAACTAAAACCATTTGTTATGCAAACTTAACTACCATTACTGCAATGTATTTTACTTTGAATCATTACAGCTTACTTAGACATAAGATAGATTTTTCCAAAATGAGCAAACATTAATCTTATTCCAATCCTTTTATAGAAAAATAAAAACTAAATGAAATCAAAAAAGTAATAACAAAACAAAACAAATCCCCAAACTTCCCATTAAGATACAAAAGTAAATGTAAACAGAAATGCATAGTGAAAGATGGGATATATCACTTGTTCTTCCAGGGATCTGACTCAAACAAAGCACTCTACCTTCTGATTCTAGTTTCACATCTTCAGAATTAGGGTACTGGATTAGATAATCTTTGTGTGCTCTTCCTAATGTAAACAGGATCTGTTGCTGGAGCTTTTTATAGTGCCCTGGTGACCCCACATGTTGTGGTAGCCTGGTCCCCATGTGAATGCTAAGCTCACAGTGTTTCAGAACAGCTACACAACTGATATTGTTTTCCCAAAAATAATATCTAATTTTTCAGACACATTCCTACTGAAATTTCAATAATATGATACTTTCTTTCTGTGTATTAAAAAAATCATTAGTTGTCTCTTGAAAAACAAACTGGAATAAATATCCTTTTATTTCTGAATTGAAATGTCCCTGCAGAACCAGGTAGGCATTTTGATACGCCCATTTCCAAAGGATATTCTGATGTAAAGGGCACAATTTCATAAATTGTTGACTCAGTTGGGGGAAAAAAGAAAAAACCTACTTTGAAACTAGATATCTGAGGCCTGAAAAATGGTGATAGTAATTCAGTTTCTTTTTACTGAACACTAACTTCATTTGTTTCATTACCTGGTATTTTCTGATCCCAATGAGCTTATAATACTAAAAGGAAAAAAAATACTTATGGAACTTAATGTTACTATGACTTAATATAAATATTTTAAAACATACCTATAAATATTAAACTAATCATGTGCCCTTACTGATCTGCCTGCACCCATCCCCTGCTTCATGCTTTCTGTCCTGTGCTGATGGCATGCTCGTGTCATTCTGATCTTTCTCCCTGTATGATCCTCCAGTCCCTTCAGCAGACCAACTATCATCTCAATCACTCTCAGCCTCAGTGCAGGCACCTCTCTTCATGGAACATGTCCCTAATCCACTTCTCTTGGTTCCTTTCTCCTCTGCTTCCACAGCTCCCCCATAATGTGTCTCTCTAATTCCTCAACAGATTGATTTGCTATAAGAATATTTTTAATTCTTGTTCGCCAAACTGTTAATTTTTGAGGTCAGAAACCATGTCTTATTTAATTTTGTTCCTCAGAATGTAAGGTATTTCCTGACACACAGCAAGCACACAAAAACACCAAATGGCTTTTTGTCGAGCATATTCAAAATCCCCCAATATCCTGATTTAAATCTTTAAAACCAGTATCATTCTATGCTTTCACTGTAAGTGGGCCAATGACAGCTACTTGCAGAACATGAACTATTGATAAAATTCTACTGTTGTTGCAATCAATTCCAAAGGCACACCTTTTACCAACAATACTTAATCCCAGGCCTTTCCCCGGCTTCTTCTGAAGCTCAATGGTGAGGGCATCACACACGTCCTCCTCTTTGTAGGGGGTCTCATCTCTGTAGAGTGTCAGGCGCACTCGTTGCGGCGTCTGTCTCAGGACGTTGATTGCTTCATCATGTGTGGCCTTTCTCAAGTCAATGCCATTCACCTAAACAGATATGTGACATTGACTAGGAGGAACTGGGGGAATTAAGTGAAGAAGGAAAGGGAGGTAGGAGGGCAGAGGAGAGAAAGAAAGCAGCAAAGAAACACATACCCTCTCACTGACTTTCTCTGTTATTTTTGAAGATCAAAAATAAGCAGTCTGTACCTCTAAAATCTGATCTCCAGCCCAGAGTCTTCCATCTTTACATGCTGCTCCTTCTTCATAAACTTCATGGATAATAATGGCACCCTAAGGATCCAAATGCAACATAGTATGCTTTATCCCATTCTCCCTTTAAATGGTGAGAAGAAATGAAGTCCAAACACAGCGTATTTTCCTGATAGCCACAGGGATTTATATACTCACTAGGTTTATATGTGAGCCAAATAGCATCATTCTAGGAAATATGTAATAGCATATTTTTTGCAGAAAGTCTCAAAGAAGTTTATTTTTTCCAATTATAGAGAAGTAGGAAAAATCATAAAACAAATAAATCATATTTAAATATAGTAAGGAAATATTATTGTTTCTATCCACAAACAAAATGATTCTGAAAGTATTTTTGACATTTAGGAAATTCTGTCTACAAAGCATCCAGTTTTTTAAACTCCTCTCAATATAGGACTAAACCAACCTGGATATTAATAAAAAGGAAATTAAGTTATGTCAAGTACTAGTAAGACATTCTGAAAACTAAAGGTCACAGTAACAAGTGTAACACAATCTTACTGAGTCAGTAGTGATCAATACTCAAAGTAATGGTCCTAGTACCTAATCGAATATTTGCCCTATAAATGAAAATACCAATAAGTGATTAATAATTCATATAATTAACTGATAGGAATCTCCCTGGAGTCTCTTGAAGCTGTCTGGAAGCTACCTGCATGGCTGAAGCACTCTGGATGGGCACTCACCAGCAATGTGTCAGAACCCCCAACGATGCTCAGACCCAGCCCTGTTCGCCCTTTGGAAATCTCAATTGTTGTTTCACAACCAGGGATAATAGGGCAGGTTGCAGGATCAGAAGCAAAGATTGCTGGTGTTGATGATCTGCTTGTACCTAAGAATAAATTAAAAATGAAATAAAATAAAAATAAAAATGAACTAGAAAATATGTATATCGACACAGGTTGTCTTTGGGATGGAGCAGGGAAACAGGTCCAGGACTGGGGGAAAAAGGAGAATTCTTCAATTTTGCCTTCAATCTTTTAGTTATCTTATATTTAAAAATGTCAAACAAACATGACTAGGTAATCACTGTTAATTTGGATGGTAGGTACAAAATTATTTGTTTAATTATTTTAATTATCACTTGCTATTCTGTACTTAGACAACAAAACACATCACTAATCTTGGTCATGGTGCCTGCTCTTTTTACTTTTTTGATTTCCTCTTCTTCTCCTAAGCATCTCTTCTTATGTAATCACTTCTGAACACATACGCACAGCACATATGCTTACATGTACACATAAGCATTTGCAGTTTTCATTGTGGTGTTTCATCGGTGTTTTCTAAACTCTGATACCAAATCCTAATGCAGACAGGTCAGAACTCAACACATAAGAATATAATATAAAAACAAGAATATAATTCCACACCTTGCTTTATGAGTCTTCATACCGTATCATATGTTTTATGATACAACAAAGAACACATAGCAATAGCATGTTTGGGAAAGCAAGGACACTCAGTAGAGAAGCGTATGCTTTAGGCAAGATGTTCTCTTTTTAGGAAATCAGAAACAGACTATTTTCTTTTTTCTGAAATGGTATGAACAGGTGTAAGATATTTTCTTTTATGTTAAGTTTTCATTTAGAATTTCATATTTTTATAGACAATGCTATTTAGGGACCAACATAAAACTGAAAAAAATGAAAAAATTTCCATAAAATCTTTTAACACTTCAGCAAATTACTCAGAATTACTTTCTAAATACAGGATTACTTTCATCAGAGATGTATTACTTTAAGACTTTTTGTCCAACTATATTATGAATGTTTTAAACCAGCATTTCCTTAAAAACCTGTCAGAAGAACTGAATGTTTCAGTTTGTAGGCCAAGAGATCCTCCTAAGTTGAAAAATAAACCAATGTTTTTAAATCAAAATTTACTGCAGAGCTTGAAATGATTCTAGTATGATTTTTCCAAAAAGTAACTAAAGGGAATAATTTCCCTCTATATACTCGTCTGGCAGTTTAATGACACACCAATCCACATACATACGTTTCATCTAATTTGACATGATTGTCTAATACACACCAGCCACAGAACTCAATTTACATTGCATGTGGTAATAAATAACTACCATTTTTAAGTTTCTTATTAGTGGCAGTGTTGATTCTATCTGTACAACTGTAACTCTGAATATCCACTCTATAGATTAACTGAAGTTTAGAGAAGTTAAATTACTTTCCTAGTATAAAAAAAATCTAGAAAATGGTATCTCTAATACATTTAGTTAGATATTTGGACTCACAGATACTCTCAGCAAGAGATTTCTGGAGAACAAAGAGAGGATTCTTTTGTTTTAGAGAGGAAGAAGCTGATTGAGGCTGGAGTAGGAGGGTGGGTTTCCTAAGATACCAGGGCTGACTAGGGCACAGCACACACATCTCCTACCTAACAGTATAGGACTCTTCCTTTGGTAGCCCTTCTCTTTAACCACCCTCTTACCAAAGGGGTCCCCTAAGATCATTAAACAATAAGATGCAGGCAGGCAGCTGATTCCCAGGCAAGGACTCTGCTGAGTTTGCTGCACATGCAGGGTAGAAATCAGTCCTTACTTCGAATGGACTCAGGTTCCAGTTCAGGGGAGCCAGTCTGTGGGGTGACAGGAGACTGAGAACTGTTCTTTTTTTCTCCATTGGCTGCACTGGCTGATGGAGAAACAGACTGGAAATCTGGATTTTCAGCATGAATGGTCAGTTTTACTGTTGTTTTTGCTGTCTTCAGAAGGCCAATAAACTGGCAGGATATTGGTGTGGAGGAAAAACAAAATTCAAAAACAAATTATCAGATTTACACAAATGCAAGTCACTATTATTACTGGAATATAATTCTATCTTTGAGAGAAGAGACAGAAGCAAATGATTCCTTGACAGGACTTGAGAAGCTAAAAAATAAATGGTTCTAGTTTTTCTCTGATTTCTCCAAATGCCTAATATTGATTAAAGAGTGGTTAATTTCCACACTTAGTTCTGACCAGATTTATCCTTATATAAGTAGAGGGCTTTTCAACTTTCATATTTCAATTACTCTCATCTATTTTTCTGAATCCCTACAACCTTAGAACATATATGGAATATTTAACTCACTTCCGGATTATACAGAGAATCTAAAATAGTTTACACATGGACTTTTAGTAAAATGTTAAAAGCAGGATAGGAAAACCATGAATCAGAAAACTCAAGGCAAATGGAAAGTAAAAACATAAATTTATGGGTTAAAGGATCCAATTTATACAACCATTAAAACTGAATTTAAAAAAAAAATGACTTTAAGCTTCTTGCTGGCCAATGTAGAAACAGAAACATACTCAGTTACATGGTTCTCCTTCACCATAAGGAAGAAAAAGATCTCAGGGTAAACAAAACATTGCTTCTAGCACTTATACACAAATGCCCTCAAATGAAACTCCAAATAAGTATTACGATCACTTTTGAAGAGAAAGCTCAGATACACAGTACTGTTCAATTCTAATAACAGTAATATATTTAAGGGCTCAGTTTTAAAGTCTGTTTATAAAGCAATTTGTATAGTAGATAGTCTGGACAGTAAAAATTCATGAGAAAATGATTCCTTTGGTCCTAACATGAAGTTAGTCATTATTTAGGAGTTTCAAGTTTCCCTATGACATTTATTAAAATTCGCTGAGAATACTGAATTTGCAATCAGGAAATAGTGAACATCTTAACATCAACTTGATTGGAAAACAGAAAATAGAAATTGAAGACCCTTAGTGAAACTCTTCTTTTTCTTTAAAATACCTTTTCAACTGGATAGCCAATAACAACTTCATCATCTACAGCCAAGATCTGATCTCCAACTTTGAGTCGTCCATCCTAAATGGAAATGTGAAAGATTATTAATGATTTTTCAAAAGTAATTCCCTTTTCCACCACTTTGTGACGGTGAGAATGGTCAAGCCTAACCTTGGCTGCTACTCCCTGCTCTGTTAAACTCTTCACAATGACTCCACTGAGTGTATCTTCTTCACTGATGGCAATGCCCAGTCCACCTTGATCCTAGAAGTGAAAAGAACATGCAGGAGACTTGAAATAGATTAACCTTATACAAGAAAAGAAGAAGGTATGTATCTACAACGGCTAAAAATAATCTTCCACCAAGGGCTAACAAAGCAATTAAAAGTTCTTCTGAATTCTACTATCAGAAATCTATTATTATTTTTTTTAAAAGCAAACTTTGAAATTTCTAATGGGAAAAAAAATTCTCCTCTACTAAAATAGTCAAGTGATTTCATTCCTCTCCTATGTCCAACATCTTTAGAAACTTCAGCAAAATATGCTAAGAGCAGAAATGCATTCCATAATTTAAACCAAAACATTCAACACTTGCAGATTTAGTCTTGTGTAACTGGCTGACTGAATAAATCACTCAAAACCCACCGAAGTACCCTGGCTTCCTCTCTTTTTCCTCTGGATCTGAGAAATAACAATCAAGTCTGGCTCCTTCACTCTTTTCTGCCACCTTTCTTACTTTCAAAGAGAGATGCAATTAGTGCTATGTGCTCTGTCCTTTCTGGAATGGAGCACCCAGAATTGTTTCTCTAAAGAAGAGAGTTTTGATTTGCTGCAGAGTGACAATGCTTCTGAGTCCAAAGACATGCCCTGAAAACCTGCCAAGGCTGGAGAGCTACATGGTCTATATTTTCCACATTTTCTTTTATCAAAACCAAATGTTGAATAATAGTGGCCTTTACCTTTCTTTAATGTTTACTTTAATAAAATTAAAACAGAGTTTTGAATTTTCATTCTGGCCAGAGGTAATAACCTTTTGCATTATAGTTTTCATCCAGGAAAAATTCACAAAAAGTAAAATAGAGAAAAGGGAACTTGTGACAGTTTATCTGAAATATACACACATTAGCCCAATTTGCCTTCAGAGATACTTATGATCATGGCTCTGATATCAAGGTAAGGTTTCACCATCATTTTAAAGATGATCAACATTATAGTTTTTCTGAGGTAGACTCTTAATGCTGGATGCATTTCAGACTGTCACAAGTATCCCTCTCCACCACCTCCCTCCACACAATTACTCATGTATGTGTAAGGCAGAGAAGACTACTCTAGCTTCTAATTTACCTTCTGCCTCACTGCAGAAATTCAGATATGCCACTTAACATCTCTAAACCTCAATTTTCTCACAGAGAAAAAAATCTAAATTTTCTTATAAAAAAATAATAGTAGTAACTGCTACTTAGCTAGAAAAGTACTTTATTGTATAATAGGCACTTGCTGATACTTTACAAAGGGTTGTCTAACATCCATTCCCATCTTACCCTTTTGTAAAAGCTAGCAGACCTTCATTAAAATACCCAGTCCATCCACCCACTCCAGCCATCCCTGACTACTGTCTCCCCTCCACCCCTCACCCCTCTCTTGCTGACTTCCATCTTTCCTCTCCTCACTCCCTCTCTCTTCCCTCTAGTTTCAGGTGGTAGTTTTATAACATGGACAGAAATTCTTTGATACTCCTCCCTTGAAGACAGTGAGTCTAAAAGTATGAGCTGGACTTAATGACTTGAGCCTAACAAAGAAAAGAGAATAGAAGTAATGGTGTACAATTTCACACACAGGTCCAAAGAGGCACCAGGGTGCTCCTTGCTTCTTCTCTAAGATTGCTTGTCCTGCACAAGACCCACTGCCACTTCAAGAGGATATCCAAACAACCCCATTGTGTTATTCAACTTTTGCACTGTGGCCAAAATACCGACAAGAACAAGTTGGAGAAGGAAAAGTTTCTTTTGAGCTCACACTGTCAGAGGTTTCAGTTCATGAGTGGCCAACTCCGTTGCTCTGAGCCCACTGTGAGGCACAGCATCACGGCAGAAGAGTGTAGCAGAGGAAAATAATTCAGGATACAGCAGCCAGGAAACAGAAAGAGAAGACTGGACCACAGGAAAGATGAACCATTCTGGGACACACCCTCAGTAACCTAAGTCCTCTAGCCATGCCCCATCTGCCTATAATTACCATCAGGTTAGTCCAATTAGTCCATTAAAACCAGAAGGGACTGGTTATGTTATGGCTCTTATAATCGAATCATTTCAACTCTGAATATGCCTGCATTAACATAGGAGCTTTTGAAGGATATTCAAACTACAACATCCATGAAGAGGAAATAAATCCTCTTGCCAATAGTCATTCAAGGAAATCACATTAGAAGTGATGCACAGCCCCAAACCTTCAGACAACTGCAGCATTACCTGGCAATCACACAAGAAATTCTAACCCAGAACACCAGTTTTGGTCTCAAATTTTGGACCCACAGAAACTGTGAGACAGCAAGTGCCTTTTGTTTAAAGTTTGTTAAGTTTTGTAGCAATTCCTTTTGTAGCAAAGTATAAGTAGCTCCAAGGACAGGGTTTGAAGGACTTATTTGTATAATTTTATTCCCATGGCCACTGTTGCTGTCAGAAGGGTAAACATATGAACTAGACTGGTTCATTTAGGATGAATCTTGGCTCTTTTGCTCAGAATACTGGAGCAGCCATTCTTCTCCCCGTTTACCCAACCATATGTAAAGAGGTTGTACACATCCCTAACTGTGGTTGCCAGTCATACTAACACTACGAGGAAGACCAACCCTTGGCATCAAGCTGCCACTGTGCATGGCTGTGCAGAGAGAGAAAGAGAGAGAGAGAGATATCTTGCCCTTGAACCACTGAGCCCAGTACCAACTATCTTTGAAGACTGTTTGTTAACCAATTACTTGAGTTCATAAATCCTGTTTTTTGATTAAGACTGAGGGAGAAAGCTTTTGTGGTTATTATTACTATTTGCAACAGAGGGAGTCCTAAAAGGAACAATAAGTCACACATCTACATGTATACTATGCTCCAATACAACTTAGTATACTACAAAAATAATTAAGCATATACACATCTAAAATTTATTGGTGTCAGAAAAAAAAAAAACATGTAAGGCAGTATCGTAGGGTGTGAGTATGCAATTTCTTAAATAACTGCTCAACTTTCCACATTACTTCTCCCAGAATGGGGTGTGTGTGTGTGTGAACACAAATACATAAGCATATATATTCCTTAGCAATAAAAGACCTGAGATAAAAGTTCTGAGCTAGTTATTAAAATACTATTCTACTTGCACATATGATTACATGATCAATGTAATGCCACATCATGTACAACAAGAAGAATGAGAAGTTATACTCCATATATGTATGTCAAAATACATTCTACTGACATGTATAACTAATAAAAACAAATAAAATAATAAAAATACTACCAAACAGTGTATTTATGAAGAAAAACTATATAAATTAAATAGCTAGAAAAGAATTAAAATAATAATTAAAAGTGGGATAAAGCTAAACTATTGTTATTATTAGAGGATTATATGGAAGGTGAAAGATTTGCTAAAATTCAAAAGAAAAACTTAACTTAATGGCATTTGAAGGTTTTCACCACACACACACACAAAAGTATGAATATGAAAAAATCTCTGACAATCTTAGAAGGTTACTACCTCCTTTGATGTATAGTACATTTTTGGACTAAACTATGATAAAAATAAATCTTTAATAAAATATGTTTTCTGATAAATTGAATTAGCATATCACTCAGCCACTGAGTATTTAGATTATATATATGAGAACTTTTTGTTTGAACTTCCATTTTACTATTTTCAAAAAGTAAAAGGATAAAAAGATAATAAATTTGTTGAGAGAATTTCTGAAACAGAACTAGAAACAACTATTACTATAACTGCAATTTTTAGATGATGCAAAAATCTTCTCTTTCTGACTCTCCTGATCTCAGTATTTCCTCCCTGTTGCAAGAGTAGCATTCACTCATTCTTCAACACACCCATCACTCTTACTCAGTGTGAGCTATGGTCTGGGAGAGAAAGTATGAAAGTTTCTTCTCTCAACATGTGTGCATTTGGGATGTATAGAAAAGACACCACATGGAAGCTTTCCACAAAAGACCGTTCTTGGGCCATACATGATTAAGGGACACATACACAGAGACATTAATAGTAAGCATTATATATGTCAGAATATTGAAAGATTTTATTTAATTTAATTAATTATTTAGTTTTTATTTGTTCTAATTAGTTATACATTGAAAGATTATTTTAAAAGGAGAGGTGAGGCTTAAGCTGGGTCTTCAGTATATGTAGGATTTAGACAAGGAGAAAATAAGCAGAAGGACAGTCCAAATGATATAAACAAAAGCAAGGAAGAATAAATTCTTAAATTTTTCTCCATGAGTTCTTCATTTAAATTAGTATGACTTACATAGAGGATTCCTATAAGGAATCCACAGGGTAGATGGGACAACACTACAAATTTAAATGGTTAAAAAAAAAAAATCAGATCTGGAGGTAGTATACCAGAGGTTAAGTATAACAGCAAACCCACAGGGTTGCAAAGGAGTAAGTGTCAATGAAGATGTGACATTACCTCTGAAGTATGCTTTCAAATAATTAAGCATTAAAAATATACAGGATATCAGATATGATAAAGAATTTCAGATGAGGCATGTGTGTTAGAAGGCTGGTTAAGTCTCCGATCTGCTTAACTGAGTTTTATTTCCATGTAATTTCATAATAAAGTTAAAGAGTTTAGGATTAATGTGACTGTTCACTTGACATCATTTTTAGCAATGTTTCCTCAGAGGAAGTATTCAAGGACACATTCTGTGGGCTACTCTGAACCTCATGGTTTAAAAATAATTATAATAGCTTCCACTGTGGTAAATGTTTTATGTATGTTTTTCATTTAATCCTTACAACAGTATCCCTAATACAAAAAATATTTTCTTCATCTTACAGATAAGGAAAGTGAGGCACAAAGAAGTTAAATTGCTTGCATATAGCCCAGAGAGCTTAAGTAACTACAAAACCCACACTTTAAGTCATTAAAAAATCATGATTAACTGCTTCTGTGTAGTTGATTTATTAAAAGTCATGAATATTCCCCTTACTTTGGTTTCTATCAATAAATATTCCAGTGACCTGAAACTTGAATCTATCTAAAATATACATATAAATGGAAGCTTTCTGTGGGCAAAACACTGATTGTTTTCAAAGGTCCTGAATTCTTTAATATACAGCAACTAATTCAGACAGGCATGTGCACATTATCAACAGACATCCATGAATACATCATCAGCAGGAGGCTAAGGCAGAGGCCCAAGTTTATATTTTGCAATGAAGGACTCTTGCTCATTATCTCGTCTACTCTCACAATAACTTTATGATATGGGTGGCTGTATTTACAGAAGAAAAAAGTGAGGACAAATGTGATTAAGTGATTTGTCTTAGATCACATAATATGTGAGAGGATTTCTGACAGATTAGGTTTCTGTCTCTCTCGCTGCTAGGCTAAATGCTAGGCCAAAAAATTTCAGTTTATCAGTTGGACAATGGATGTTGCTGAAAAGTTCTGAGCAGGGGACTGAAATAATGTGAACATGTATGGAATACATCAAACAGGTGGCCTAATTCAGAAAAAGAAAGCATCAGAGAAAACCAATGTCAAGAAGCAGTGCGACCTCTCTTGGCCATATGATTCTTCCCTAATAATTATAATGATAATAATAAAAGGCAACACTTTTACATGTGTGTCAGGTTCTAGACACTATATATAAATATGTATATATTTAATTTTCACAATATATATATTTAATTCTCAATATAACTCTATAAGGTAAATACAATTATTATTCCCATTTTGGAGAGGAAAAACCATGTACAGATTAAGAACTATGACCTAGATCAGAGTATCACTAAGTGGTGAATCCAGAGCTCTAATACAGGTGATCTGGCTTTATGTTTGTGCTTCCAACCACAACAGCATTCTGCTCCTCATTTATCTAACAAGTTCATTCCACCAATACTTCCTGGGTACTCATTATACAATAACAGGATATACTAAGCTTTAGGTTAATAAATTAGAATCAATGCCATGAAAAAATATATGTAAAAAAATATCTTATTTTAGACTTTTCAAGAGATAAACATAAACCAAAATTAGAAAATCATTATAAATAATTCAGCATATGTTCAAATGTTCATAATTAATAGTAGGTAAATTATCACACTAGTTAAATACTATAAACTCGTGATTTCAGGATTTTAAAAAACTAAACCCTGAAATCAGTATGAGATTGGAAAGAAATCCCCCTTCAATGGCAACAGAATGAGGAATCCTTATTGCACTGTATGGACAAAGGCTTTAAAGACATCGCTTCTTTTCCCTCCAAATAAAACAAGATGATCCACAATAAAAAATTCCCTTATACCTTTATTATAAGACAAGAGCAACCCATTTTTCTGCCAGGTTATTGCATTATAAAAACAAAACCAAATCAATATAGTCATTTTTCAAACATAATCTGACTAGGTGCCATGGATTATGCTATTTTATAAGCAACTCATTTATTCGTTACATTAACCTAAGATAAAGGTACTATTATCATCTTCAACTTCAAGGGGAGGAAACTGAGGCAAAGAAAGATCATAAAATATGTAAAGTATATGACTAATGAAGCAAGGGTTCAACTCAAACAGAATGAATCTGAAGCCCAGGTCCTGAGCATCATGCTATAGTAGCTCTCGGCTGGAGAGCAGTGTATGTACCACTCCACTTCTATCTGTAGGGTAGCATTTCCTGTAAACAACCTGCTCTCCCAGTCTACCTCTTTCTTCCCACTAAGTTCCTCACTGCTCTTTCTGCTTATCCTCTAGTTCACCTGCTGCACATTTGCTTTCCAGCATGAGCCTGTAGCTCCTGAAAGCATTCATAGGTTTCTGCTCAACAAACCTCTTTTGAAAAGTAGATCCTAGTCATTGAACTATTTGAAAGCAAATATTTTACTGATGCCTATTAGCAAAAATTCTACCTATTTGAGCTTTCAAGTTTTATAAAGGACAAAGACTACATAACTTCTATTTCTTCATTTTTATATCCCCCCAGTAGAACCTTGGTAAATGAATCAAACGAGAGATCATGAATTTCATACCTTGGAATAAAGTATTAATAAACATAGTGGTTCTCAATTTTTATTGGGTATTAGAATCACCATGAAGGATTATTAAAACACATATGACCCTGTGTTTATTCTGGCCCACCCCTAGTGTTTCTCATTCAGCAAGTAGCCTGGGTGGGCCGGAGCATCTGCACTTCCAAGTGATGCCGATGCTGCTGGTCTGGAGACAACACTTTTGAGAATCAGTGAATTGGAACACAGATATGAGGGTCATCACATCATTTCATTCCCATTCAAAGCAGATTTACCTTGGGAAGCTCCAGATGGTGCACATTTTTAAATGAACTGAGGTCCACAACTGTATCAGAAATAGCAACATTTGGTTCCACCTGACAGAAAAAGAAATGGCAAAAAAGGCAACTAAATGTTACACATTTTTTTTAAATATAAGGGATCTTAGTCAAAATTATCTCATATATTACAATTCATTATTACTATTTTAACATCTTATGGAATTTATGAACATTCCATTCTCTTAAAGTACTTAGGAGATGTAACTTATCAGCAACTGCTCTGGCACACAGAATGACTGTGTGGCTCCAGAGTCTGCGGACTGACTCCATAAAGACATCTAACAGTAGCTCAGCCATCCCAAGTAGAAATCACAGACACTCAGAGCACCAAGAGGGCACCACTCACTATTCTTCCTGCCTTAGTTATCATGTGAATTTAGATATTATTAAATGTTTTACCTGAGAATTAATGAAACACTCCTTTTTCTTAAGGGACATATTTAGTACTATTAATATGAAAATAAAAATTTCCCCTCTATAACCATCTTAAGTAATGATGAGACTCAGTTCAACATCAAGAGCAGCTAGGATACATCATTTATCCTATGTACAAATAAGCCCCCTGTTTATATATTCATTCAGAGAAGAGGGTTTCTGTTCCCATACCTTCTCCCACTGATAATCACCAAGGTTCCTCCAATTTTTAGCATTTCACTTTCTATTACCTCCTTTAATTCATCTTACATATATATTCTCTTCTCTCCTTAATCTGTTTGTCATTATTTGCTTTTTCCTTTCCTCACTGCTTTCCCAATAATCTCCAAGTTAGCAAATCCAAGGCACTTTCTGTCATGTTCTTACTGGGCGCCTCTGCAGCATCTAAGGTTTTGAAACGTACTCTTCTCCTTGAAACATGCCTCCTCAGTGCTGTGCAACATGCCCTTCTAGTTCTTTTTCCTTCTCCCTGACCTCCCTGTTCAGACTTTCTTCTTTTTGTTCATATTACATGAGTCTGCCTTTGGCCTTCTGTACTCTAACATTCTCTATAGGCAAGTGCTTTGTCCTCCTGGTCCACAAATACCAAATTTGTATCTATGGGGATTCATCTGTAAACTCTAGACCAATGTCCTAAGGTACACTTCTATATGACTTCCCAACAGGCACTGAATTTTTTAGTTGCTTCCAATAGAATGTGGATAGTTTGGCAAATATATACTCCTTTTTTCTTTATTTTCTATTTTTGACAATTCAAGCCTCACCAAGTCAGATATCAAATCAGATATCTGAAAGCCTTATATATCCTTTTATTCACCAGCATATACCCAGCCCAATGAGGCAGAATATTCAGAAAATATTTATTGAATAAATATTCAGTCACTTTTTTTGTTCGAGTTCCACTATTTGTTTGAGTTCCATACTTTCTCACAAAGTCAGCCTACAGTATTCTGTCAGGATGCTCACCATGATCTGGCCCTGTGCCCTTTATCAGGCTCTTTTCCTCACCACTCCCCATTCTCTGCCCTACACTGCTCAGTAATACTCTGTAGTTTTCAATTTCTGGCATGAGCCAGTGCTTCCATGCCATTCCTTACTTCATGCCCTCTGTCTGCAATGTTTTTGCACCCAAATCTTGCAACATACACTTCAAGAGTAACTCCTCTATAAAGTTTTATTCTCACTCTCTTCCTAGAAGCAGAATTGGCACCTTTTCTCTGGCTCACACTGCTGCCTATGTAGATTCTACTGGTAGCCTTCACATGAGTAGTGTGCTTATTTACGTGAGTATCCACATTTAGTAAGCCATAAACACAATGTACTGGGTTACAATTCACATATAAACTCATTATATGAAGCTATAATGCATCTATCTTTGATACTGCAGTGCATTTTCTATAATTGTTAGCTGAGTTAATAAGAGGGCATATCAATCAAATCTTTCCAGAGAAACAAACACAACTTCCAAATAATACCTCCTTATTTTGAAGATTCTCTGAGGTAGAAGGCAAAGATTCTACTGTACTTCCAGGACATACAGCCATCTGACTCACTGCCTCTTTATTTCTAAAAGGAAAAAAGAATCAGCCTATTATATCCCCATAATGATATTATTTTCATTTTCTTACTTGAAGTCAGATTATTAGGAAAAATTCTCTAACCATAAAGACTTGGAACTACAACAGTCAAACATATATATTTTACTTTCATTCAAAAGAACTCCGAGTTGAAATTCTACCCGCCCCCCAAAAAGTTTAGTAAACCAGAAAAAGAAAATGCTCACCTGATAAAAATTATTTTTACTTTAGAAGGGGCACATTTAATTATTGATGAGGCATTTTGATGACTTCTTCCATATAAAATTTGACCATTGATCTATGAAAAATAAGCATCATTAGTTAAGTCTCAAATTTCAATTTCATAAGATTTTATCATCTTATCTAGCTAATAAAAAGCACATTTATTTCTTTCTTCAAAATATTACATGTTTTTTCCTCCATAGAACATACACATGACTTTGGATGGTGAATAAAGAAAAGCTCATGGTTAAAGCCAACATTCAAGTAATAGGCACGAAATCTGATATCCATTGATTCCTGGTAGAAGCACTATTTGGAACAACTGAAGGAGAGTAGATAGCCAATTCCTGGCAGGCACTGGGATTCCAACATGCTCTATAAAGCAAGAGCCCTGTGACTTGCAAAGACCATTCTGGTAAGCCTCCCCACTGTCGTGTGTTCCAGTTGGTCCCAAGACTCAAGTCCTGGGAATAGGCCTCTGAGAAAAGCGAATCTAGGGAGATTCAAGATATAGGCTACAGATTGTGCCTAAGCTTCTTGTCATCTAATTGTTTACCTAGTGCTGCATGAGCTTACTAAGCCAACAGGGAAACACATTAAGCACAAGGAATTGTAGAAAGGCTGTAAGAAGACACCTGGGTCCTGCCTTTAGGCAATAAGGGCAAACAACACAAGCAAATAAAATTCTAAATGCTATAAAGTATTCTCCACAAATTTATTTTGTTTGGCAGGCTGAGTTACTGCTTTCATTATTTCATTCATTCTTTAGCCTTAACCTTGGCCTTTGCCTCATCTCACCCCATCACTTCTCCCATTAGGAATTCAACTTCCAGAATGTCCAGTGGGTCAGTGTCATTACTGGGGAATGATTATTTGGCTTTTCAAAAACTCCTAATAAAAATGCAATGCACACACACAAAAAAATGTTTTTGAAGTGTGATTTTTATTACTGTCTTGGGGCAAAGATTGTTTCTGATGCTACACAGTCATGACCTTTTAATGGAAGTTAATAGGAACACAGACTCTACTGAGTAGAGATTTGTTTTACAGCCAAATTTGCTGCAATGCATCTATTTTATTAGGCCGGTGATAGTTTTCTCAGTCACCATGAGGTGTGGGTGATTTTATGGAAAGAGAAGATTACATTGCTCTTATACAGCAAGAGTACATTCAAAGTTGTCCACCAGAACTTACCTCTAGAAGTTCATCTGCAATCTGTAGTCGACCATCTTTCCCTGCTGCTCCATTTGGATCAATTCCCACTATAAAGACACTCATTCTGGTTCGGTCTTTGTTCCCAGCAAGACTTAGACCCAAACCACTACGACCTTTCTCCAGCTGAATCATATGCAGCTCTCCTGTTAGGGTTCCATAACGCTCTCTAATATTTTCTGCATACAACAACAACACCATATGTATTTAAAGTTAATTCACATAATTCTTAGTAATGCTTTACTATGTAAGGTTATTTACTTTCATCACAAGAGGGAATTATTTGAATCAAAATGTAAAAAGCTAAATAGATGGGCTGCCTGGACATCAGAACTGGTTTCCTGAAGTACTCAAACTTTGAAGAATTTATTTGCATGAAGTGTACAAAGAACATAATGTCTGATTAATCAGTTCACCTCAGGCCCAAGAGAAATGATTCACATTTACAAACTCTCAAAAGCCACAATTAAATTTACTTTATTATTTGAAAAGTCGAAAAGTACTAATGCATCCAGAACAATTGTGCTGACTAATCAGTGGGAGCTTCTCTTCCACAGGAAAATCTACACTGTATATTACATTATGTATTACATCATGTTGGGCAGTTGCTCAGTGTGCACAACCAGAATGAAAGAAATGGGTTATCTTATTACACCGAGCCATTAGGCCAGAACAAATTGACTATACTTGCCTCAGCCTTGAGACAGGTCCTAATTAGGTGAGACCATTTATATCTCCTACTCTACATCTTTAAGAGATGGAATTTATTTTCTGCCCTCTTTAATCTGAGAGGGCAGGGCCACACTTAGGTCCTGCAAGGTCCAGATTAGTGACCAGTCAGTAGCCAGTACTAACAGCCAAATGTAAAAGTGAGTCCTCTTGGAAGTCTAGCCCCGCAGAGCCCAGTCAACCTCCATACTACAGATTATTAATACATTTTCGTTTAAGTCATTAAATTTTAGAGTGGTGTGATAATAGAAAACTGAAACATTCTGGTACATATTTTTCTCTGAGTACATTCTGATACTGTGGCTTTCTTAAATAAGGGAATTTGTAGATATTTTTAAAAATGTAACTTTTTAACAAAATGACACATTCATAACTTTTGGATGAACTTTTAATCTTTCTCTGCAAAATTTTCTTAAAAAAGAGAGATACCCCACGGATCCTAATACATCTGACTTTGAAAAAATGCTCATCAAATCTCCAAAGTTTTGATCTCAACAATTATACTATGTTACAACCTAGTACAAAAAGTACCAGAAATTCAGAGTATAATATCAACAGCTGCCAGATTTTACAATGAGGAATCTGAGACCTAATGAAGTGTAATGTTGGTGGTTCAAGATCACAGGGTGGGCTGATCTGGCATATCCTGTCCTTGTTAATTCTCATATGAGGAGCAAAGGGGTTTTGGGGATGCACATTTAAAGGAAAGGAAGAACATGACTTCATGCCTCAGGAATGTATGTTGTATTCAAGAAAAACAAACAACACATTTTTTTTTTCCGACTAAGAACTGCAATGTCTATCATAAAGCCGAAACATACTTGTTCATACAAGGCATAAGTCTTCAGGAAAAAAAAGCTTTTTAGTACCTCTTATAATTAAATGCATCACAAATGACAACTTACTCCAGCTGTAACCAAACTCATCCTCTTTGTCCACATCTTCTGAGATTTTGGTTTCAGATGACTGTGCATAATCACTGCCCATTTCTGCAAATGCTGAAGGAGAGGGTGGAGGAGCCTCACACAATGGAGCCTTCTCTGGCTCTGACTCTGACTGACTGGGTGCCTGTGGGAACAAGAAGAATGCAGTGGGTATGTGCAGTCTGAGGAAGAAAACCTTAAGGAAAAGACATAAGTATAATGTCAAAACAAAAATGGCCTTAAAATATCCACCAAATAATGAAAAGCTCAAATATAAATTTATTAAATGTTAGAGAGGATTCAGGTAAAGTTTAAATATACAGAAAAAAATAATTTCAGTAAACTGTTATTTGCTATTATAAGTGAATGAATTCAATTTGAAGGCTTAAATGACCTAAGATAGAAAATTATACAAACTTTCCCTGTTGAAAAATACATTTTCATTCAAAAGTTATCATAAATATTCAAGGGTCTGCGCAAGTTTGTGGGGGTCTAAAAAAGTCTGCCAAGAAACAAAGAAGAAAAAAGGAAAAAAATTAACGAAGATGTTGTCCTTTAAATCTTGTTAGCAAGACTATACAGAACAAATTCTTTATTAATACCTGAATCCTCTCTTCAAAGGGCCCTCAAGAAATCCATGAAAAACAGCATTCCACATGCAGGTTCCTCTACCAGAGTACCAGTCAACGTTAGCATATAGGACAGGGACTCATATCTGAGGAATGTGATTTTAAGGGATAGCACTGTATTTCTCTTGCCAAAATAGCTTAGGCAAAAACGAAAACAGAGTACTTCATAAAAAGTCCACATGTGGCATACTTACTGTCACTTAGGACCATCAGTCCTATCAAAAGAAATGGGGTTTGGTATGATCTGGTTCTTAAATTAGAGATTACCAAACAGAATATAAGAGTTTGAATTGTCTTTGAGCCACTGAATTCACTTTATTCATTTGTAAGATAAATAATCCTTTTGAAACAGGCCGCGAGAAGAGAAAAATTTTGTTCAAAGTTACACAGTCCTAACTAGACTTCCTTTTGCTTAATTCTTGATCCAATGCACTTTGTATTATACTATGCTGTCTCCTCCAATTTCTATGGTAAGGCAGTGCCTGACTCAAGCGTCAGAAAAACCTGACTAAACTGCTAGTCCTTGTAAGACCCTGTCGCTGATGCCTTCAACCTGTATTTTTTTTTTTTTTTACTCTTCTTTCCTGTACTTTTTTCTGCATAAAAAAACTTTTTTTCTTTTATAGGTGTAATTTATGAAACCATGTTTTTCTTTTTTAAACCTACTTCTAATAAGAACACACCAAATGTATAAAAACTTAGGAATTATTAATGGGGCCATGACTCAGAATACCATAAAATATACCTAACACTACATGACACTGAATAAGATCTTTCTTCAATGACTCAAAAAGCATTCATTTTTCTGGAGAGGTCTGGTTTATAGAGACTTTGGGGCAAATTTTTTTTTTTTTTTTTGGTTATATAATTTGCTACATACAACGATCAGTCAACACATCATTGGCCAAACAGATAAAAGTTACTAGTACAAATGAAATCCCTGTTATCTTCCCAAGATCTCTGCCATAAATCTTTCAAATTAATAATGTACAAATGAAAATGAGCAAACAAAAGATCATTTGATCTGCTCATTTAAAAATATTACTAAAGTAGAGAGAGAGAGATGTACTTCAGAATTTTTCCTAGTTTCAAACAACATTTATTTCTACATAACAACAGAAAGTTGTTATTTAGCAAGCATACATTAAGTCCATTTCATTTTTAAAAAGTGAAACAATCTATTTGAACATCCCAAAATTTAACAAATCTATGGATGTACATTTTATTTGCTGCATAATTTTTGACTATTATTTTGCTTAAGAACAAAGAAACAAAATTTGTTTATCTGTAGAATCCTTCAGGATCTTAGGTACAACATACTCCTAACTGTGAGTAAAATAAAATGGTACTGTAACCTCACTAATGAATCAGAAAACTAATACTACCTGCATTGACTCGAGGGACAATTAGAAGTCTTCTATTTTATCACCCCTAACACCCTTGTTTTACCAAGATCATATAATCAATTTGTTAGTGACACTTCTTAAAATTTATTTGGGAAAATATTGGTCTTTAACAAAGATCATTTATCCTTATTTGGCAAAAAGGCCAAGTGCAATTGCAATCACTCCATGCCACTAAGTAAAACATACATGTACTGCACACTGTAACACACCTATTTACACAAAATTTCACTTTGAGACAAACCTTAAATGGTGTGGGAGCAAAAGGGTTAGTTGGGGAACAATGGAAGATAACTCTACTTGAATTCTGTAATTCCTATAGTAACAGAAAACATATTCGTTCAGATACAGCATCTTTGCTTATCCATATCACAAAAACATGAAGATCTGATGAATATTCATAAAATGTTTCCTTAAAAAATTGTTGACAGCTTTCTTCATTTCCATGATTAAATTATGGTATATAAATTCTTGTAAATTTTTGTTTCAATTTTGGTGTTATAATTTCATCAGAATATGAGAATATTCAAGGACAGATTTAGGAGCATAGAAAGAGCTATGTTTCCTGATGGAGGGTTTTATACGGATGCACTTTAAGAATATTCAGCAGACTCCTGCACATTCACGTACACAATTATTTGCAGTGATTAACTTAAGGAAGAGCTTTCATGACATCTTGTTAAAGTCTGAAAAAGTTTTAAACATACACAAGGCTTTGAAGAAATTACGTGTGAGAGTAGTGATACCTTTTGGTAACTAATAAAAATTAAAGTGTCAGAAAATTCAAATCTACCAAACTTCAGGAAAAACACTGGACTCATGATCTCCCTTCCTTTCAGAAGGGCCATTTAACTTCCACTATAAAAATAAACATTCTGTGGCAGGACAGTGCACTTAAGAAAGGATTTGCATGCCCAATCCAAACACAACAGTTGTTTGTTTTCCACAACATATATAATAAATGGTGAGGTGGGACAAGGCACAGTAGTAACAAAGAACAAAACATTTTCAAAAGGCAATGTCAAGACAATGGGCATTATCCAACCTTGTCAGCGTTGAACTGGAGAGAGTCAGCAAATGGGTTAGTGCTGCTGAAGTTGTACTTAGGGTAAAGGTTGTGCGGCAAGGAAGGCAAAAGGGATTTCTAAAAGGAAACATAAGAGGCGCTGAGCGCAAAGGAACGTATTTAAAACAACTCAACTTTAAGAATAAAGTACTTACTGACTTAAAAGAGTTGTCTAAGTGATACTAGATTCTGTGTATTTGGTACATAATTAATAGCATCATCTTCTTTGACAGTCTGTTACTAAAGCTTTTCTTCTAATGACCTGAATCATTTAAACCTGAGTTTAAATCAGTCAACAAACCTCACAGGAAACTAGGTTGAAAGGGACCCCAAATTTCTTTTATTTCCACTGAATGGCTGTACCATCCTAAGTAAAGCACATTTGCCCATTTTATGTTTTATGTTTCATGCCTATCAATAAATATGTTTCAAATTTAAAACCACCCAAGTTTTTTTTTTAATTTACATTTAAAAGCTAGTTGTGTTATTTTTAATAGTCTGTCTGTTCAAGGATGCAAATTAAACATTTGTCTGTTGGTCCCTCAGTAACCTTTATTATTCCTTACTCTGTTTTCTGCTAAGGAAACTTCCATGCCTAGACTAGATATTAAGGCTGCTCCAAAGCAATCATACTCTTTAATTTAAAAACATGAAGAAATGAACCCCTCTACAATGGAGTTCTCTATTTCTGCCTGCTTTTGTGGAGTTGGGAATATGGAGTTTCATATATTTTTAAGTTTCTATAAAACTTCCCACATTATCAGGGAATTTATGGGCTTTGGATAATATTTGAAGTCCTGCCTTGAGTATTTCTCACAGGTTTTGTGGCTTGCCTGTATGTAATTCGCCCGGAGCCAGGAGTCTTTTAGAGTTGAATATACATATTAAAGGCAGGATGCCTGCCAGATAGGATTTAGCATTTCCATAGTTAGGATAAAAAAAAAAAAAAAAAAAAACAAGAAAAGTAATAAGTAATTTCCTTAGCACAATAAGTTATTCTCCTTCTTTCCACAACCACTATCTTTTGCTTTTATTGACTATATCTTTCAGGGGAGATTGAAGACATTTAAAATTCATTTTGGCTCCAATTAAATGTTTGTGTTACTTTTCTCTATAAAAAAAAAAGCCCCACTGGCAGGCATGGAGTGTAGAGAGGTTGTCATGTGACACACCACCCTGTATGGGAGAACACTCTGGAAAGACGCTATCTTCAGTGTGCCTGTACCAAAGCTTATGCCACATTACCCTTTCAATCTGCTCTTCTTGCAATGTTTTTCCTACAGAGGCAAGACAGGAAAAAGATATGGGCACAATGACATTTATGCTCATCTCAACTTTCTCCCTACTTTTCAGTTTAAAATGTCAACTCCTGCTTTACAAAAGAGAAGATCATAAATGCCAAGGAACATGACCACTCATTAAGGTGAAAGAAATGACTGGGCAGACATGAAAGACATATCCTAGATAAAACGGTTTAATGCTATTGAGGATAAAGATGATTAATTTTCATCCATCATATATTTATGTTTTAATTATATAGAACAACAGAAAACAAAACCATTATAGCATGAAATGAAATATTTAAAGACAGCTCTAGTTTTTTTTTTTTTTTTTTAATTTGCAGATCTTATAGGATTAGAATTTGGCCCTGATAGCAGAGTGTAAATAAATGTACAGCAGGAGAGCAGCAGATGAAATATAGGACACTATATTATTAGGGAAAGATATATAGAAAAATGACTTTTTGCTTAAAAAAATCAATGATGAACTTCTATTCATAGTCTCAAAGGCTGATAAAAGCAGAAACATAATTAATAGAGAAGAAGCAAAGAGAACACAAAAACATTCTCTAGCTGGAATTAATAGAGCCCCTCTTCAATCAAGACAATGGACCAGAGTGAACTCTGAAGCATCTCACATGTGACATTATCAGACAGACTGAGAAGTTCACATTCTTGAACAGGCTAAAGGCCAAAGAGATAAACTGGCTTTTTAGCCTACTGGCTTTTCAGTCTCTGTATAAGATTTCCTAGGAAACCTCATCTTCCATCCACAAATAAATAAACATTTACCACTAAGAAACTCACATATGTGCATTGTGGTTTCTTTTTTTTTTGTTTTTTGTTTTTGCTTTAGATTACTGAAGACATGATTATTTCCATAGGGAAGTAAATCAATGGAAGCAAAGTATACTTCATTTAAAATGCAAAAGTTATTCTAATTTCCTGAAGCAAAATATGTGTAACTTGACTAAACACGTCATTTTAAAAAAGATTTTTCATGGAATAATTACAATAAAATTAGGCATCATTATACCTCAGATAATAAAATAGAAATATTTTCAAGTTATATGAGACAATATCCCTTTAGCTCACTAGACTGCAATTGAAAGAAATGTTTATAGTTTAAGTTTTTAAAGTAATATTAAGAATAACTATTCTGCATTAAAAAGTAGTGTCTCAAATGAGATAAAAATTAGAAATTTAAAAAAATTAAGACAAAAAAAAGAAAAAAACCCACCCACCCACACAAGAAATAGCTTAAACTTAACTTAAACAGCCATTTACCAACATTATCATGCTGTGTTTATGTTTAACACAACAAATTGAAACAAATGTATAAAGATTTGTAGTTATTTAAACAAACTGAATAGCATTTGTAAAGAATGCAGCAAGATGCAGCCCTACCATTTGGCAGATTTTCTATCTGAATGGATAATTATTACCTAACAATAAACAACTGAATAATTAAAAACTGCAGATGTGAATATAACTGCATACATTAAGAACTACTAAATTTGTTCCTTACAGTGAACCCAGAACAGAGTTACACCTGCCTAAAGGACAAAAGGAAGACCAGTAAGACCAACCTGGTCACTCTGTACTCCATGGCATACAATGCTGATGCTACTTTTACTGGCCTCACACACAGGGCTGTTTACTAATTTCCATCCATCATTTGAGCATTTATATCTTAAATTCATAATTTTATAATTTACAACTCAATATATCTTGCCTTTAACTTCCCTCATATATGTTGATATTTTTCTTTTAAAGATAACCAACTCTAAAAACTGTAAGCAGATAATTCAAAGGGAATTAGTATGAGAAGGGTTGTTAAATCCAGAAATGGAGTCCCTAAGAGCTTCAGGAGATTTATGAAACTCCAGAAATGGTATAAAAACTTATGAACGAGTGGGTATGTTCTGAAGAACTTTCTCAGGGGTATGTGACACAAATATATTTAATAACTGCTATATATGAATTTTTTTTCAATAAGACATAAAGAAGGAATATGAAGAACAATTTTAAACTCAGCATAATTTTCACATTGAGCATCATTAGGACTTAGTTACAGATGATGATTTTGGCTAGAAACAGCAATCATGAACTCTTGTAGATAAAAAATATATATATATATCCTCATTGTAGAAATCTTGTCCAGTGGGATGCAGACACATCAAAGACAGGAAACCGTATAGAGAATATGTTTAAAGAAAACATAATTCTTTCCTGCTCCTCAGTTTCTCCATATTAAACTGAGTGCACCATATTCTGTTCAATAGCTTGTATAATTTGTGTCTATAATGAATAAAAATAGTTAACCATCGAGAAACCTATGGTCACCAGTAAAACCTACTTCTGTGAGTCTTCAATAGACTTCAAGTCTTTATTAAACATAGTTGAAGGGATGTTCAGGAAACTCAATGTTTAAAAAACAAAAGAAACTTTCAGTAAGTCTTTGAAACTTCAAGAATCCATATCTGCTCATACAGACAACTTGGCAGTTGCTACAGTAGACTCCAAGTTGAGCTCTGTTTGGAGACTCCTACCTTGCCCTCTGTGTTCGCTTACCCTTGGTCTGTTTATAATGCTCTGTACCATAAAGACTACGGGGTTGCCTGCTTTCCGAATGGCTTCCACAGCTTGTTCATGGCTTGCATCTCTGAGGTCCATTCCATCCACCTGCAATGGAAGGCCTCAGCTTAACATTTCAAGAAGCTACAGAACAAAAGAACAATTTGTGGATCTCCAGTTTTGAGGATCCTTGGCTAGGCTCCTGGAAAATCTGGTACAGTATCAAAAATAATTAAGACTACTTGTGAGACAGCAAAACGTTTCATCTGTTCATCAGACTTGTGGGCCCCTGTTTTGGACACAGGTTTCTGACTCTGATCCTTAACTGAAATACTAAGCAACTGGAATGAAAGCTTGATTTCTGCATTCCTTACACTGCTCAGTTGTCCTTTAAATCAGCATCATTAAATAAATAATATGAGGTAACTACCTAACAGCATTGTCTTCATCATAAAAGTCACTGTACTGAATTTTTCCTAATTCAATATAGAATGGGATTTGGGAAGTAGGTAGGTAATGCTTTGTTTATTTCTCTCTGTACAAGAAGTTGAAGTTAAAAACAAAATTCTGATATTCAGAAAAACCAGATGATGGTAAGGTTAGTTTTGAAAAGGAATATTTGCAGTAGACATGACAGGAGCTAGAAGCCAAGAAGTTGTGCTCATTTGTTAGTAATTACTACATAAACAGCTTAAAAATTATTTTGTAACTTTTTATTGACCACGGCTTGCCCCTGGTGATGACCAGCTCAGCTTATACACTACATGAACGAGAAGGAAAATAGTTTAAAAGGCCAAATGCTAATCCTGTCAGAAAACTGTAGATATTATTATCATTTCCAATTACCAAATAAGGTCTGAGTGAACACAATTCTGGAAAAGAAAATCAATTATTAGGTCCTGGCATAGAATATTTTCATCTTTATCTGAAAACCTACCTCAGGTTGATACTTGAAGGCATAACAATATATTTTTCAATGTTTTGTTTATGCTTTTATAAAACAAAAGGGAGTATACATATCTACTATATATTACAGTAGTGGGAAAATTTAACAGGATGCCAATGCATCTGTGATCAAGTCCAAAGAACTCCATACTCTATATAGAATACTTTGAAGGTCTCTGCTCACCTAACCAATATACATTTCCAGAAATGTAGCACAAGCACATTTTAAGATCCTCAGTGTAATAGAGGCCTGAGGCTTTCTTATTTCCCTGAAATAAAACACTCCACAAATCACTGCTAAATTACATAGTTATTTTACAACACAAAAATGATCTCCTTTTTATTTGAAAGGAATGCTTTAACTCAATATATTTAAAAACTATTTTGGGGTAAACTCTGACCAATCCTTTCTAGAAATAATTATAAATAATTCTTACATTTTTACTTAAGTCAAAGGCTTTTAATAGTGAAGTACACATAAACCAAAATTCTTACTGATAATCTAAAAATGAAAATTTTAGATGGAACTTTAATTAAAAAGAATTCTTTAAAAGGGGACTAACATATCATCTAACAAAAGGTAAGCCAAGCCACAGTAGGGAGAAAGCATATCAATATAAATTGCTACAGAGAAGAAAAAAGGAACAAATTGAAATATGCTTTCTCTCAAATCTCAATTTCTTTCTTCTTCAGCTTTCAGAGACAATCAATGAAGGACCAGATAAGCAAATCCTAAAAAGATTCATTTTAAAGTATGGTTGATGTGTCATAGCCTTCTAAACAATTAAAGCATTTAATTTTTTTTTAGTTGTTGATGGACCTTTATTTTATTCATTTTTATGTGATGCTGAGGATTGAAACCAGTGCCTCACACATGGTAGGCAAGCACTCTACCACTGTGCCACAACCCCAGCTCAACAATTAAAGCACTTTAATGTGTAAATGATATGTGTTTAGAAACTTTCTTTGTAAGTTTCCCTTTTAGACTTCTATAAATCAGAAAATCAGGTATACCTACCTTTCTACCATTTTAAATAAAACTATGCTTAACCTGAGAAAATAATGTATCTTACTGCTTTGAAGTTACTTGATTACTTTCCAAATCTGTCCCTCTTGCTGGGCAGGCGTCCAGAGCCTGATACAGCACCTGGAATGCAACAGCTGCTCCAGCAATACTCTGTGAGTAAATGACTGAATCATCGGAAATGAATCTACCTAAAATATTAAGCTTTGAACTAAGGAATTAGGTGCAACTTGACTACTTGCTTCTCTCTCATATATAAGAAAACCCACATGTGCTCACACGTGAACATATGCCTATGCACATGCACACACACAGGCTTCAGTGGTGAATGGTGCAGCCCCAAGAAGGAAGAGGATCCTAGCTAAGACAGAGGGAAACATTTATTCGAAAAATAATCAATGTCTTATCGAAGATGTTACCAAAAAAGATGCATGTGGAACAAAATCTCATCCAAGAAAGTTTAGCTGCAATGAAATTATAATTATAAAGTATTTCTGGAAATAAAATCTCATTGGAAAACTATATTATAATATGTACATTTTATATGTGCACATAAAATTTTAAATAATTCAGTTTTTCTTTGAGAAATTTGCTGTACTCTTTCAAACAGAGCATAATTATTTGACCTTGGGGCAATGTTTTCAAAGGTAGCTAAGTGTATCTCTAAACATTAGTCTCTACATCAAAATAACAATCTTTCATCATAGATATAAAATAAAATTATACATTAAAAAAAAAAAGAAATACTTCAGCCATAAACATCATGCTCTAACACCGGGTTGAATAACCATGTAAAGATGACAAGCCATTGGCACAGAGGGAGAAGAGGGATGAACTTTAGTACAGAAAGCTCACTGGAGGGTACCTCCACTATTCTGTCTCCAGATTTCAAGGTTCCATTTTTGCCAGCTGGACTATCTTCAAGAACATGCTTGATGAAGATGCCCCTCATCACTTCACCATTGCTGAGGCGACTTCCCATTCCCCGTCCACCAACAATGCTGATACCCAAGGATTTGCTTGGTTCTCTCCAAAGTTCAACCCTACAAAAAAATTAAAATTTAAACTCTCAGAAGAAAACTTGGAGAAAAAGCTTCTTGGTGCTGAATCTGGCAATGCCTTCTTGTTTAAGACACCAAAGACACAGACAATACAAGGAAAAGAGACAAACTGTATTTTATCAAAATGAAAACCTTGTAAATCTAAGGGCACCGTCCAAAGCAAAAGAAGACAACAACACGCAGGAGGAAAATAGTTTGATAATCACATCTGGTAAAGGATTAAAATCCAGAACATAACCTAGACAAAGGACTTGAATGGATGACTATCTAAAGAAGATATGTAAGTGGCCCATAAAAACATGAAAAGATACTTAACATCACTAATTAGCAGAGATACAAATCAATACACAGTAAGATACTATTTCATACCCATTAGGATGGCAATTATCAAAAAAGCAAAAATTAGAAGTACTGAAGAGAAAAATGGGACCATGTGCCTTGCTGGAGGAAATGTGAAATGGGGCAGCTGATGTGGAAAGCAGAATATAGCTTCTTTAAATAATTAAAAATATAATCTCTATGATTCAGCAATTCTACTTCTGGGATATGTCTAAAAGAACTCAAAGTAGGGTCTCAAATAGACATTTTGTCCACCTATGCCACAGAAGCATTGTTCACAATAGACAAAGGTGGAAGCAACACAAGTATCCATCAAAATGAGTGCAATGGATAAACAAAATGGTATATAATGCAATGGAATATTAGTCTTAAAAGGGAAGAAAATTCTGAAACATGTTTCAACAAGGATGATGTTTGAGGACACTATGCTAAGTAAAATAAGTCAGCTCAGTGAAATAAAGGACAAATGCAATATGACTGTACTCATATGATACAGCTGGAACAGTCAAGTTCATAAACAGAAAAGAGAATGGTGGTTGCCAGGGGGTGGAGGAGGAAAGAATGGGAGTTACTGCTTAATGGGCACAGTTTCAGTTTTACAAGATGAAAAAAAGCTCTACTGATGGAGGGTGGTGATGGTCATATAGTGATGTGAGTGCAAACCACTTAAAAATGGTTAAAAATAATAATGGATAAATATTTTAAAACCAATGGCATATTAATAGTAAAATAAAATAGATTTTAAGTACTTTCACAATTATGTGTTTTGTAGAGTCTGATGTAAATACTATTGTATTTATGAAGCTGATTTGTTATAAGTAAATATTGCTCTCACACACCAGGCTGGGGCATAGACCAATATAAAAGTACCATTTTGCTGGAGGTTTAATATTACAGACATTAAGTAATCAGGAAATTCTGCTACCACTGAACAGATGGCAGCTTCTAAGCTTAGCAGCCAAATCCAGAGAAAGAACACTCCTGCACATGCTATGTTAGAATCTTGCCTGTGTAGAAGTCTTTCCTGCCAAGGCAGACCTGGTCATTAATAGTCAGGGCATGAATAACAGTGGCTGACAAAATCCTACATGATCTGATCCTTCCACTATCTCTTTAACCTCCCTAAACTGCACTATGCTCTTCTCACTCCGCTACCATATTATCTCCTTATTGTTCCTTAAATTCATAGGCATGCTCCTGCCTTGGGGCCTTGGCACTTGCTACTTCCTCTGCCTTGAAAGAGCTTCCCCTACCTACAAAATAAATGCATGACTCATATGGAATAATTGTAAATAGTTGTAAGAGTTATGAATGGATTTAAAGTGAAAAGGCAGGGATACAAAAATACGGTGATTTGCAGTGAGATGAGGCAGCAGCTGAGGGTGCTGGAAGACAACACACTGAACAGAGAGCTTAAGGAAGTGATGGCAACCTGCAGTCTCTTCTATGCCTCACCAAAGAAGGCAGTGTTAGACATTAGGCAGGAGAAGACAGCATGGCCAAATATGCCCAGAGCATAGACATTTGAGATGCTCCCTCAGAGGAATGGTGGAAGTAAGAACTCCTACAAAATGGAGGAGGTTCCAGAAAGAAAAGTCTGGGGATTAAAAAGCACTCCAAACAGGTAGAGTGGGCAATGAATCAGATAAACACAGACACAGATATACAATTATCCTTTGGTCAGTACATTTTCTTAACTAAAATCTATAATCCCAGAAATTTTACCTGTTTAGTTTGAAAGACTCTTACCATGATACTTGATCATGCAAAATGTTTGTGGATGAACTAGTTAAAATCCTATCCATTATTTTTCTCTCATTCATTTCATTTAATTCTCAAACCATCCCCACAAAGTGGATAGTCTTGACTAGTCCCACTTAACAAACAAGGGGAGAATCACAGAGAGATGAAGTAATTTTTAGGTAATAGTTCTGTATGCTTCAGTGGGTTTGGTACAGATAGCAAGGGTATAAATATACTGCTTAGATCTAAAGGCTGTAAATTCTTAATACAGGCAGAAGACAATGGAAGACAGAGCTACCAAAATGACCACAGTGATAATTCATTAGTCACTGAACACAGCAATGGTAAATATCCCTGGGAAAGACAAAGAAGATCTGTAGAAGAAACACTGTAGAACAGGTTCATTTTTACTTCTACAGTAAAAAAGGCAGTCTTTCTGGAAATTTATACATAGATTTATAAAGAATGAAACTTAGGTAAAAATAAAACACAGCTCACAGGCCAGACTGCTTAGGCTATAAGATGAGTTTCTAAAATCAAGTCTGCTCTTCTACTCTTTAATAACACATAACATGATCACCTTACATAACTATGAAATGGAACAAATAATCAGAGAGTTATGCAACCAATTACTTAAAGCATATAAGTGCAAAAGAAAAGGTTTGGCATGGTGTAAGCAACCATCACATGCTTTATTACTAGAATGCTGCTGCTGATGATTATTGCACTAATGGAAGGAAATACAAAATTCAGTTCATATGATGTGAGTAGAGGTGCACCCCACCGCACTGATGCTGTTATACCTATAGGTCTATCAAGTCTAGGTGTCATGTTCCATCCACCAGACTGAAACAACACTCTGTGACGTGATAACAAGGATATAGAAAAAAAGGAACTCATATATTTAAAACAGAACGAAAACTTGGTATGGCCACTTTGAAAAGCAATTTAACAACTGATTTAATAAATTAAAAAATATATTAATTTATGGGACAGTAATTCCTTTTCTGGATAAACAGCTAGATAAAGTTTCCTACAAAAGTACAAATAGATATATTTACTACACAGAATTACTGTAATAGCAAATATCAAATATTAACCTGAGAATGGGTAAACTGGTATATTCACATTGGAATGCAACAGAATAATAATTATCCATTAAATATAATAAAATATCCACTCCAAATTGAATGAATAAGATATTAAGTATTAAATATGACAGATCTCCAAAATACTGGGTTGAAAGAAAAATTAAGAAAGGTGGAAAATGATACATAAAGTATTAATTCTACAAATGAAAACCACATGTAAAACAAACAGTAATACAGCCTATTTTACAATGTTAAGATTTATAATTCAAAAATACTATTCTCTATTTCCACAGGAAGTAAATTCTTGCAGATTTCATGAATGGATGAAATGAAGCATGTCCTCGCTGACTAAAGGTTCTTATTATTCTGGTAAGCTTTCTCCTTATATTCTATAAACTTTTCCCCAAAAGTACCTTAGTGCTTCTATATACAGTTGTGAACAAAAGGTATACTGTTTAGAAGGGTTAATGAAAACTTCCTTTTGTCTATGTAAGGAGCTACATAATGATAATGATTCCTGTGTTTGGTATCTTCTCTTTGCTTAGTTATGAGTATTCTATATCACATCACTACAGACAAGACAAACCATGAGGAACTCACTGTGCGGAGCATTATGCTAAGGCTTTTAGGTGTATTAACTCACTGGCTCTTCCCCCAAATTCAAAAAGTTCTGCCTACACCCTATTTTAGAGATGAAGCAACTAAGACCTAGCACAGATAAAGACACCTGTCTTAGAAAACATCAAAGCCAGAATTCCAATGTAGCTTTTACTTACTTTCACGTTTAGTATATGCTTTTTAAGAATTATTTTCCCTCTCATAATGCTGTTAAAAAAACTGACCAACATATCTTCCTTTTTCCCCTTGATTACTGTCCTCTGACAAAATTTAAGTTAACCATATGACCATCTGCTACAAAATAATTATATTTAAGTTACTTCTGCCTCTGTCTAAAATAAATAGGATACCTTTTATTTTCTGACATAGATCTAAAACTAATTCTTAATGTGGGTAGTGCTATGCAGAAACCTTGATTTTTTTTAAGCAAATTGAATACTTTTGAAGAAATTCAATAAAAGCTCATTCAATAAATATTTACTGCTTCTCTGAAAGAAACAGAAAATGATGATTTCTGTATTTTAAAATAATTAAATATGATGGTTAGAGGCTCAAGTTCATTTTTCAACTGGGAAAATCATCAAACTGTATTCCATCTCTGGAGAATTTTATTTATTCTGTGTAACAAATAACAATGTTTACTAAAGGCAAGGAACCATCAGGATGGTTACCAATAGATTTGTTTGGAGACGCTATCCAATGATTACTTATATTCACACTTACTGCAAAATATCTTATACTGTTTTTTTTTTTTTCACGTGTCTCTATATCTTGCCCAGCCAAGTATATAACTTCCTTAGAGATAAGATTTATATCTTATATTTACTACTGTGCTATTTACAAAATCATCAGCTTTAGGTCTGTTTCCATGTCAGGACTCGATACATTCCTATTAAATTGAAGTTGATTACACTCAGCATGAACACTTTAATGTACCTTAATGATTAAAACACATTAACATATCTGAGCATATTTAAGAAAACCACGTTTTCTATTATATATTAATCTGGTGCAAGACAGAGTATTGCTTAGGATAAGTAGCCTGTAATAACAAGGTATTCTCTCTCTTCCCCTCTCCCTCCCCCTCTCCCTCCCTCCCTCCCTCCCTCTCTCTCTCTCTCTCACACACACACACACACATACACATTTTTAATATATTTTTAATATATACCTGAATATCTAGTTTCTACAAATGCCACGTAAATTTAATTGAACATTTCATGTTATACAGAAAATATCCATTCCAATTACCTACACATTATTTCTTTTTCTACTTTTGTTTTGTCCCTACTACATGCCAGATTCTTGGATTTTAACTCTGTATGGCATTCATATTTTCTCCACTGTGCACATGAAGAAATAGAGGGATAAGAATATTAAACAACTTGTCCAAGGTCACAAATGACAAGATATAATCTGGTACTTGAAACCACACTTCCTTCTTTAAACACACCAAATGGGCAAAAGAAAAAAATTCTTACCGCCTGGGCTGATTCCAATTGCTATATGCTGCATTCTGAAGTTCACTCTCCTCTCCCTCTCCTTCTTCTCGCTCTGGTAGTTCTGGAATGTCTCTAGTTAAAGAATTACACAGAGAATTCTCCATTTAATCTTGTCTCATATATACTTAATTTTTGGTTAAGCTAAAAATGCAGAACTGCTTTACATTTTCACCATATCTGGCCAATAACTATATAATATTTTTACAGCAGTGGGAAAAGAAAACTAACCACCACAAATTAGAATCTTACACTATGATCAATCTACTATAACTTATTCTGGAGATAATAGCTGAATCCTAAGAACCTTGTCTAGTTTGTTTCTTGGCTGATAAAGAAGGAAATAAATAGTGGAATTTTATACAACTATTCCACAAATACTCCTAAATTTCTATCATGTGCAAAAAAGCAAGAGGCTTTACCAAGTTGGTTATAAGCATGTGTAATCTTGCTCCCTATCCTGAAAGAATTTATCAAGAACCTCAATAGTTTAGTATTTCTTCCTAAAAATGGACCACACTGAAACATCTTGTGAGGAAAGATGGAAAATGCTTCTGGTCCAGTATCTGCCCATCCAGGGGTCCCTGACATAGAATATCTGAGTAGAAAGTTGTTTATAACATGCCTATTCCAGATCATTTTTCAATTTTTGTAGAAATTGATTTTGACAAATGCCAAGCATATAACAAAACGTCTGTATATAAATAAAACTACACAATAATTATATCAAGAACTATTTGTTTTCCCAAAGGTACACTTTGTATCAACAAATGACAATGTACAGGCAATCGAAAATGTTAAATTGATTATGGCAGGTTTTTAAGCTATTAGTAAAAATTGGATTTCTTATTTATTTATTTATTGGTTGTTCAAAACATTACAAAGCTCTTGACATATCATATTTCATACATTAGATTCAAGTTGGTTATGAACTCCCAATTTTACCCCGAATACAGATTGCAGAATCACATCAGTTACACATCCACATTTTTACATAATGCCCTATTAGTAACTGTTGTATTCTGCTACCTTTCCTATCCTCTACTATCCCCCCTCCCCTCCCCTCCCCTCTTCTCTCTCTACCCCATCTACTGTAATTCATTTCTCTCCTTGTTTATTTTCCCATTCCCCTCACAACCTCTTATATGTAATTTTGTATAACAATGAGGGTCTCCCTCCATTACCATGCAATTTCCCTTTTCTCTCCCTTTCCCTCCCAAATCATGTATCTGTTTAATGTTAATCTTTTCTTCCTGCTCTTCCTCCCTGCTCTGTTCTTAGTTGCTCTCATTATATCAAAGAAGACATTTGGTATTTGTTTTTTAGGGATTGGCTAGCTTCACTAAGCATAATCTGGTCTAGTGCCATCCATTTCCCTGCAAATTCCATGATTTTGTCATTTTTTAGTGCTGCGTAATACTCCATCGTGTATAAATGCCACATTTTTTTTATCCATTCTGGAAAAATAAAAGACCCAGAATAGCAAAAGCAATTCTAAGCAGGAAGTGTGAATCAGGCGGTATAGCGATACCAGATTTAAAACTATATTACAGAGCAATAGTAACAAAAACAGCATGGTACTGGTACCAAAACAGGCGGGTGGACCAATGGTACAGAATAGAGGACACAGAGACTAATCCACAAAGCTACAACTATCTTATATTTGATAAAGGAGCTAAAAGCATACAATGGAGGAAGGATACCATCTTCAACAAATGGTGTTGGGAAAACTGGAAATCCATATGCAACAAAATGAAACTGAATCCCCTCCTCTCGCCATGCACAAAAGTTAACTCAAAGTGGATCAAGGAGCTAGATATCAAATCAGAGACTCTGCGTCTGATAGAAGAAAAAGTTGGCTCCGATCTACATATTGTGGGGTCGGGCTCCAAATTCCTTAATAGGACACCCATAGCACAAAAGTTAATAACAAGAATCAACAAATAGGACTTACTTAACTGAAAAGTTTTTTCTCAGCAAGAGAAACAATAAGAGAGGTAAATAGGGAGCCTACATCATGGGAACAAATTTTCACTCCTCACACTTCAGATAGAGCCCCAATATCCAGAGTATACAAAGAACTCAAAAAATTAAACAATAAGAAAACAAATAATCCAATCAACATATGGGCCAAAGACCTGAACAGACACTTCTCAGAGGAGGACATACAATCAATCAACAAGTACATGAAAAAATGCTCACCATCTCTAGCAGTCAGAGAAATGCAAATCAAAACCACCCTAAGATACCATCTCATTCCAGTAAGATTGGCAGCCATTATGAAGTCAAACAACAACAAGTGCTGGCGAGGATGTGGGGAAAAGGGTACTCTTGTACATTGCTGGTGGGACTGCAAACTGTTGCGGCCAATTTGGAAAGCAGTATGGAGATTCCTGGGAAAGCTGGGAATGGAACCACCATTTGACCCAGCTATTGCCCTTCTCGGACTATTCCCTGAAGACCTTAAAAGAGCGTACTACAGGGATACTGCTACATCGATGTTCATAGCAGCACAATTCACAATTGCTAAAAACTGGATTTCTAAAGAACATATCCACATCTTCCCTTTAAAGCATAGAAGGCTACAACAATTCTGATTTAAAAAACATTTTAAATTGTTTTTTTCTATAGGAACTGAAAAATCTAAAAGAAAAAAAGGTATGTTTAAACTATAGCCATTCTCCAATATAGTAATACTGAAGTTTCCAAATTATATAATCAGAAGTCATTGAATCCAACCTCCATATATGCTTGAAGGAAATCTACCTGCTATTGGTCCTACTCATTGGTTTCATGTTTTAATTCCCCTCTATTATACTGAAGAATAAGGTTCTGAGTATGGCTAGGCTTCCTAGAGTCCAAACCTGACATTAGGGCAGAAGAGCTGGCAAAAATTCCAAGAAAGGAATTCCGAACTTGTGTCAAGGAGCCGCCTGAGAAACACAGAAGATGCAAGGCAGAGAGGTGAAAAAGAGGCCTAACCCTCTGGAATTATAACTGGAGAGAATATGATGTTATAGGTAGGTTTTGGAGACAAATAGAATGAGAACTTGGGAAGAGTCCCTAAAATATACAGTGACAGTCATGAGGTGGTGGACAGATTCTTAGGCCTGAAGTCTCAGCAGGGGGAGCTACTCAAAAACACTCTTAGCCAAACTACACCATGGTCCTGACTTTTCAGCTATGAGAAGACTAATCCTGAAGGCTCTGAAACACAAAACTCAGTCTCTTCAAATTTTTCTGTAATCTTGAATCCTTTCACTAATCCAGATATGCTCCTCTGAATGTGTTGATTATTCTTTATCCATCTTAAGAGTGTGGCTTCAGCAACTCAAGCGTTAAGGGTTCCTTAGAGCAAAATGCACTAATTTTCTTCTTTCTGGGCTCACTTAGCCAAAAATGAATTAGATTTTTTTCTACCCTATGTTACACTGTTGAGAACCAAAGAAATTTCTATCAATTATCCACACTAACTCTCTTTATACCCACACGAGTGCCAGGTGAAGTAACCGGGACAAAGTCACATAGAAATGCAGCAATCTGATCTCAACTGAGGCCATCTTTCCATAAAACCTGAGTTTTGTAGAAAACAAAAGGTGATGCTGCCTTTTGTTTTTATGTGGCACATTTTTTTATGGACAACTATGATTCTTTTTTTTTTTTTGGAATAAATGGTTAAAAACAGAGTCTCAATGCTTATATTCCAAGCTTGACTCTGACACTTATTAGCTGTGCAGTTTGTGTAAGTTATTTAATCTCTCTCTACTGCAGATTCCTCCCCTATAAAATGAAGGTAATTTTGTTTTATTTTAAGCAATCTGACATCAATAGTAAGCAGCAAGCAGCTGGTCACAGCATAGACCATCAAGGTTCTTCTTTCTATGCTGAGGGAAGCGTAATACTAAAAATAGCTCTTACTTTCTAATACCTTTTGATATTTTGAAGGTCTAGAACTTAACAATACTAAGATATTACCTGGTATATTCTTTAATTATGCCACTGGAAACACTAAAGAAGGGCATCTCAATGATGGCCATTCCCATTTTGGCTGGATGCACTAGGAAACTATAATCAATTCATGCCACTAACCCAGAGATAAAAATACGACAGTGCAGTGTAGCGGAGATTTGTATAGGGTGGAGTGCATGCTCCTTTTCCATAAAATTCACAAGACACCAAGGACTACAACATTCCTTCCTCTTATTAAACACATAGCATGCCTTTCCCTTCCCTAACACTTTTAGTACACTATGTAACTTTTGGTCTTATGTAACTTGCAGAGGAAGTGATTATACTATATCATGATTCCTGCAGTGTTGATGGACCCCAGATTGTTCTGGGATGTTCTGACATCCTCTCAGGCATGACAGAACTCTTCTGAGAAGACCCCAGAATGCTTTTGAGGCTCTTTCTGTTTTACAGCATGCTTAAAGAGGAATTTGGCATTCAGTTAGTTACCTGTGTAATTTTTTTTTAAAGTCCACAACTGAGATTGAAGAAAAGGCACATTCTTCAGGGGAAAGAAATTTGATATGATTTTTTTCCCCTTGCTCTGAACTTAGCAGAAGCATTAAGCCCAGGTTGCTGTCTTTCCTAAAGGAATAACACTTACCATTTCTTAATATACAGAACATCAAGAGCCTATAAAAAAGCTAAACATTCTGTGTCAAGCTATACATGCATATATACCTCACATTAGGCTTAACATTCTCCAGAGTAAAAATGTATCTATCAAAAATGTTTCTAAATCTACATCTATCTATATATTTTAATATCTATATATTTTAATGAAGGAATAAATAAAATTCTGAAGATGTTTGATAATATTATGGATAAAAAATATATACAAACCATAAAAATTGTGTTTTAAGGAACTAATGAAATAATATTAAAACCTGGTGTGAATTACCAAAACCTGAATTACCAAAAACCTGGTGTGAATTACCAAAACTTCAAAGTGCTACACTAGGTGGAAGAATTGAAGATTATTTTAATTTCTTGATTTGAATATTCATATATTTCCCAAATTTTCCACACTATACAATAATTACTTAAGCAGTTGAGGGAAAAGTGGAGAAAATGTTTAAAAATCTTGAAAGAAGGAAAAGAACTCAAACTTTTACTTTGTTCTTAATCTCTGACTCAGGATTCAAAATTCTTCTTTATAGTTTGCTGTATAGTTCATTTACGGCAGTAGATTTAATGCTTCATTTACCTGCCAGTGTATGAAGAAAAAATATCCAGTGCCATTATTCCTCCAGATTGTTGTCCCAAACTTATTCTGAACTCCTCCAAATGTTCTGCAGGCACATAAGTAATTCTGAAACAAAACAAAGTCCATGAGCTGGGTGCAGTGGTGTATGCCTGTTATCTCAGCGGGTTAGGAGGCTGAGGCAGGAGGATAGCGAGTTCAAAGCCAGTCTCAGCAAAAGTGAGGCACTAAACAACTCAGTGAGACCCTGTCTCTAAATAAAATACAAAAATAGAGCTGGGGATGTGGCTCAGTTGTTCAATCCCCAGTATGCCCCTGCCCCCCCAAAAAAAACAAAGTCCATGAAAACAAAGAGAAGCAAAGTTTTACCCTTTAGGAAAAGCTTTTAAAGTGTAGGAAAAAATTATATTGCCCCCTCACTCCTGCTTTACTCAGCACACTCAGCAAATCATTCAACTTCAAAAGGCCAAAAGTATTCTATAGGCAAAATAACCAAAATTAAAATTTTAAATGCGTAATAAACTATATGTTTACTAATAATCATATGAGAAGGAAAGTGGCATTATTTACATTTCCAAATGAGAAAGCTAACAGCAATTTTTTTTTTTTTTTAATTAGGAAGATGCATAAATCCTTAGAGGGATGGGGATGTACCTCAGTGGAAAAGCACTTGCCTAGTGCACAAATCCCTGGATTCAATCCCCAGCATCACAAAATAAAATAATAGTAACTGTCAATACTACCATTCATTTGTGTCCAAAGATATTTGGGTTCCCTAGCAGAAACAAATTAGGTGTATGCTATTAAAACACTAAATATCTCAATTCAGTTTATATTTTTTCATAATAATTCATTATGGACATTTAACAAGCATTACCAATAATTATGTTAGCTCTGTTATGTGATGAATTTTCAATTCAGAAGTATGAAGTTACTGAACCACTTAAGGAAAGATCTAATTTATAGTAATTTCTCATTAGTTCACTTTTATTTCAAAGGAAAGTCTACTGTTTACAAGAGAAAGACTATTTGTTAATTCACCAAGTACTCACTTAATGCCTATAATGTAGAAGGCACTGTGCTAGATTCTGAGCATAGCCATTCTATTTAGAAACTGGTATTTGAAAGTTTAAGTGTAATGCTTTCCTACAAGCCTATTTTCAAAGTTGATACGATTTTTGAGTAGTCTGTTCAATATCCTCACAATAATAAAAAGTAAGGTCAGAGAAATACTGTACCTGAAGTTAGTATGATTATCTTGTGCAACTAAGAAAGAAATATGTATAAAACATGCCCCAAATAGAAATCCATGCATAATTTATTCATTAGGAGAATAAGTTCAGAAAAATCTCAGCACCAGAGAGCAAGGCCACACAGACTGCATTTATTTTATAATAAAATAAAAATTTCAAAATTAGCATAATTTCTGCAGTGAGAAGGATGCATAATATCAGCTATATTGATGATTCCACAGAAAACATTCACTCTTTCACTTCTCCAAAGTGTGGGGTCACTTGGGTTTGGGTTCTGTCTGTCATTAGGAGCATGTTGAGAGGTAAATCACCATAGCTTAACCATACATACCCTCAACCACAAAATAAAGAGGGCAGTATAAGCTAAGAAGTACTATACAGATGTAAGACAGTGCTCCAGCAGGACACACGCTCTGTTTATCACATCCACAACTCCAGCAGAACACACGGACTTTTAGGAATTTCTTAGTAATTTCTTCTTTTACCTTAAGGATCAAAAACTAAATCTGAAAGCACTAGGTAGAGTGAGTAAGCTTCATTCAAATTCTAGCCATACTTGATTTATTCATCTATAAAAACACCTTCTCTAAGGTACTACAAAAAATATTGAATAGTAAAGTTGCCATTATCCCTTCAAAACTAATGAGTCAAAAATGTGTGATACATTGCATCAGGAGACTGCATTTTATACAAAGCCCAATAAAGATAAACACAAAACCTAAAATATGAAAAGGCTATTTCAAAAAACTGTATAACTTCTGAAGATTTGGGAAAACTAATATAAATAAAGCCTAAAATCTTAAGTTAAAGCCAGGAAAAGGTGAGGGGGCAAATGCAGGATGCAAAACCAATAGTAATAATAAGCTCAAAGCATTCAGATTTTTAACTGGTTTGAGAAGGTAAAGATGTTCATAACTCAATGTTCAAGTGAGTTTTTCTCTATATTTGTTTAAAGCTTTTTTTTTTTTAAACAAAGGGGAGGGAGTAGGGGGAGTTTTATAGTTTGAGTAGCAGTGAGAAAGAGCAAAGGCAGCAGTTTTCACAAATATTTAGCCCAATATAAACAGTGAAGCCAGGAGAATAAGCATCCCACAATGCAACAGTGCACAGAGCAATCCCAACACATGCCTGGTTACACGACCACACAAAAACATCACATCACCAACAAAGAACACTGAAACCGAATTACAAACTGCATAAACACTGAAAACAGATTATCTGAGAGTTATACTAAAATTCTTCAATGTAAACTAACCTTTGATTACACATGGAGTAGAAGAAAAAAGAATACCATTAGTGATGCTGAAATATGATATAGCTATTAATCCAGAGACTGTGCCTGCACGTGCAGACAGGATTATTCTCTTACAAAGGGGGTTGAAAGCTTAGTAGTTGGAAAAAATGATTTTCAAATGAGTTGCCAGTCATCATTGCACTGTGAAATGTAACAATTTCATAGCTCTGTTGGAATTTATGTTCTTATATACATGAAAGAAAAAACCCAAAATGTATACAGTGAATCTATATCTGGATCTATCACTACATTGGGACAGTTACAAAAGCACGAAATGTTTTTCACAGACAAGTTGTAACACACGGCCATAATGAGCTTTTGAATCACCAATACTCACACATAAAAGGGGGCTCGATCGTCAGCAGGTGCTGCAGAAAATCTAGAATGTGAAGCATACGCCGTGGCATCTTTTTACAATGGTGTTAACAAATGTCAATGTCTTGTGCTGAATGTGAGATGCATACATATGTAGTTAAAAATGGGTGCTCCTGGTTGTTTTTTTTCCTTTTCCCTTTCCACCTCCCTCTCATCTACACCTCCCCCAGAAAAGCATCTGCTCTTTACTAGTGTCTATAGCAGTGATTATTAACAAGCATGGAAAAATGTAACTGCAATCAATCTTTTATTCTTTGATCAGGAATTCATCCCACACTTTAGGTTAAGGCAGGTGAATTCTGATTCAGCTTGGTAATTATCTGGCAGATGTTACAAGCAGCTGCTGCTAAGCACAAAACCCTGGCTATTATTACAGAAATATAAGAGCTCCTGGCAAGGTGGAGTGAGAAGTGAAATAGAATGCATTCTGGTGAGACTTCACATCTGGTTTTTCATAGAAAATAATGAAACCTGGAACTTAAACTGGCTGTTCTTGAACTCTTGAAACTCAAATTATCTATCCAGGCATGCATGAATGCACATACACAAAGTTCCTAGCTATCTATGGTAAATGGCAAAAAAGAAATCCAGTACATTGTCTGCATGAGCAATGCTTTCCCTATAACCAATCAGTTATGTAACTGAACCAGGCTTTTTGTTATAATACACCTCCCCACCACCAGCCCAGATTAAGCTAAATTTATAAAAAGAAATAAAGAGAAAGTGATGTGCATGGAGCATAAATCCAGGCACTGAGTACAAAGCTTGATTGGCCAGAGGCAGTGCTATGCTTCCAGGCACAATAATGAAACCACTAGACTTTCCTTTTGGGAGGATTATTCACACAAGATTCAAGGTAATTGTAAACTTTTTACTTCTTGAAGGGCAAGAGATAGAAAGGGATGGGGCCAAAAACACTTTATGCAAAATGCAGGGACCATGCTGCTTAGCCCTGATCAATCTAAATGGCTATTTTATTTCATCATCTAACATTTTTTTTTTTCCTGAAAAAAGATCATGCAAGGATGACTTTATATTCCTTTTATCATTTACTCAATAAATCAAGCTATACCACCTGAATCACAGCATTAGTGGGACACTTGAGAAGAAATGAATGTTTTGTGCTTCTGCGTATGTATGTGTATGTATCGGTGTGTAATGTATATACGTATAAGTGTGCACGTGAGAGAATGACTCCCAGAGGAGGGAAGGCGATAGTATTTTCCTTCCTACCTCCCTCCCTTCCTTCCATCTTTCTTTCCTTCCTTCAATATAGAACTTCATAGTACATTTTGACTGCTGAGATCTGAATGCAATTAATTAGAAAACTAGCTCTCTAGATATCCTTCGAGGTAATAATGAAGTGGCTGTCTCTATCAATGGGTAATTCTGCTGGATCAGTGGGTGGGAGAGAGGGAAAATATGCACACGAAGGAAAGGAAAAGGAAAAAGAAAAGAAAAACCAAAACAATAAGGGAGGGAAGGGGTGATTTTTGAGCTTCAAAAGGTATATCAAAACTTCTTCAGAAGTAGCTAGATGCATGATTTAGGTTAAACTGATTCATCAATATTCATATTTGGGGGGCCACTTTTTAATGTCTGTAGTACATTAGAACAAAGGGGTAAGGCTAGCAGCAGATACTGATTCTGGTGCTTAGAGGGCAAAAAGTGGGCAGGGAACCTGTGCCCATACACAGACCATATGCAAAGGAAATACATAGGAAACAGCGCAATAAATCAAGAACTCAGTAACAGGTCATTTGTATTTATACTACATCCAATCTATGTAGACCAAAACCCCTACGATAGTCTCCATATGCATCTATATCATTTATCTTTTTTATTTGTTCTTTTTAGATATACATGACAGTAGAGTATATGTTGACATACCTACATGGAGTATAACTTATTCTAATTAGGATCCCATTTCTGTGGTTGTACATGATGTGAAATTTCACAGGTTCTGTATTCATATATGAACATAGGAAAGTTATGTCTGATTCATTTTTCTGTCCTTCCTATTCCTATTCCCCCTCTCTTCCCTTCTTTTAAGCAAAAGGAAGAAACACTGGCCACAAGAGGTAGGGAATGCACTTAGTTTCTATTTTCATACAACAGAGGGGCTGACATTTTTAAACAATGTTCACTTTTACTCTTATCATTGTAAGATAATTAAGAAAAAGTAACATGTTCTCATGATCTGTGCAACTGTAAAATAAAATAGGCATGCAAAAATATGAAATCCCATTAGTGAATATTCAAAAATAGTATCTTCTTTTTATAAGACAGCAGAAACCATTGCAAATGGTATATACTTTTCTGCTTTTTATTGCTGGCCGAATGGAAAACATATTGTAAATATAGCCTTTCCTACCAAAGCTACATCAGTGTACACTTTGCAATAATAAAGAATGCTATCAGCAAAATATTATTAATAAATAAAGTCTCCCATATCAGTAATCATTATCTCACATTAAGGCATACCATCCTTCCCTGATCTTTGATTTTATCCTTTATATATTAAACACAAATATTCAATAATTGATATTAGAGGAACATTGATGAGGTGTAACAATAAAGTCATGAACTGATTTTTATGATGACTCAAGGAATATTTAGCGATTCAGAAACTAAACCACACATATGATGTGCTATTAGAACATTATGGGGTTATGGGAAATTTTAAGCACTTCCAGAAAAAATAACCCATGACATATAATCAGACCATACCAAACATATTGTTGAATCCCTTTGGATCATGCAGTAGTTCATAAAAGGGTAAATTATGCGTCAGATGGGCACTGTCCTGCATGATCTTTCTCATGCTTGGCTATTAAAGAATTGGTTTTATTCTAGGGTTCATAGAGACAATTAGGCAGTATGTAATTCTTTATATTGAGGCCAATTCACACTTCTTTCTAAGAATCTAAAAGTGTACATCCCCACTCTGTGGGAGATTACTTCTCACATCTAGGGTTATTACAGAAATCACTGGAAAACTAAAATTAAAAACACAAAGTAATGTTGTTTTCCAAATTTCAACAGTTGTAGTCTTAAAGAGACTATATGTATAAACAAGAACTATTCAGAGATAGTCAAATTCTGAAATGATTTTGTTAAGTATGTGATAATTTTCACATATTTAAGTGAAATACATACTGAAAAAAATATTCTAATACACTGGAATTCCTAAAACTTTCCCAAGCCAAACTAGTGTCCAATTGATACTTACTTTATGTCAGGCCCAATGAGAGAATGTCTTCTCAACATGGCTCGTGCCTGGGCATTGGTTAAACTGATGGTAGATTCTTCATTAATGGATAAAATGCAGTCCCCAACGGCAATCCGGCCATCTCGACTAATGGCACCTCCGTGAATAATGCTTCGTACAATCATCCCCAAGCCATCTTTATTAGCACTTACTGTCATCCCTATGGAAATTGAGAAGTGCAGATATGGATTTAAATACACAATTTTCAAATGTGTTTTAATATAATGATTGTGTTTTAATATAATAATCATTATGGATTTATAGATAAAAATAGGAGTAACATTTTTAGTCAATAAAAACAAGAGAAAGGGCTGGGGCTCAGCGGCTGAGCGCTTGTCTAGCATGTTTGAGGCACTGGGTTCGGCGCTCGGAACCACATATAAATAAATTAAAAAATAAAGGTCCAGTGACAATTTTAAAAAATATTAAAAAAAAAAGAAATGTTTTTCTAAGCAAAAAGTTTTAAGTGCACATTAAAATGTTTGTGAAATTGTATGTTGATAAAAATACTCAATGTGTAATACGTTAGAGATGCAATCTTTTTACATTATGGAATTAATGGGAGGGATGAATGTATTGGTGGTCATCTGATGTCTTGCCCCCTTAAATAGAAAGCTTTTTCAAACAGAATGCCTTAACAGTATCAAATCAATTTTACAAGAGCAGTTAGTTCATTTCTTATACATGTAAGAAAATAAAGATAGGACTTCAAATGGAAAATTAACTTTATAAATTAAGAAATTGCTACTACATTATTTTTAGGTTATATGTTTGTTCACAATCTATTTACTATATGGTTATTATTTGCCAAGTACTACATAGGTTGCTTAAGAAAAAAAAAAGTACAGCACAGAATTCCTAAAGCTTTTATTCTAAACTTAATCCCCAGTGCCTATCACGGTGTCTATATGCACAGCGTTCTGCTGACTAAACTGAACTTAAATCTAACCTATTCCCATTTTCTCTCTGAATTCCTATGAATTCCCAATTTGGATATTCAATTGCCTTCTTGATATGTCCCTGGATGTCTCACAAGAAATGTAACCTTAGTGAGTATGAAATTGAACATCCAATTTTTTTCCTACTCTTATTTCCCCATCTGTCTTCCCTTTTTTGATTAATTGTACTGCCACACAACTCTAAGTTACTCAAAACAGAATATCTGGTTTATTCTTTATTCCCACCTCTTTCATCCCCTATATTTAATGCATCACGAAGACCTGAGGCTGACCTCAAGCTTGCAATTCTCCTCCCTTGGCTTCTCTGGTCATTGGGATTACAGGCATGTACCATCTTCTTCTTTAAAGTGTTAAATTAGAAACACGTGGAGAATGTCTCAAAGTATCTGGCACAAAGTACTCAAAAGTACAGATGTAAAACTAAAAACAAAAAGAAAACTCATAGGATATGTTTAAGTGCACCTCCATCCCAAAGCAAAGAACACTGCTTTCTAAAGGCTAAATACAAATCTTGATTGATCTTCAAAATGAAACAAATAGCAATCACAACGTGCTCTTGGGTAATCCAAGTACTATACTGAGTGCATTATAAGTTTTGTGAGAACTAAGACAGGTCTGGGTCCTGATTCTACCTCTGAAGGGTGTGAGTACTTTTAGGGAATTCCTGGGTTAATCCATGATTCCACACCTAATCAGTGAAGGGAATATATCATCTTCCTTTTCTTCCCTGTCCCCCTAAAAAACTTTGTTTTTGCCTCTTAAGCCCTAATACAACATAACTAGCTAATGAACTACAGACATATCAAAAATTATAAAGATTAGATAATTATAAAGGTCACTATATGCATGTGTATGTGTATATCTGTATACAGAATGCCCACCCAAAAGTTAACAAAGTGAAAGTATAACCCAAGTTATTTATGAAACCAAAATAAATGAATTTATTAAAGTTTTTGTAGAAACCTATAAGGCTTTTTTTTTTTTTCCGTGCTGAGCCTGTGCATGCAAGGCAAGTACTCTACCAACTGAGCCACTTCCCTAGCCCAAGTGTAATTAAGAGGGTCTTCTGCGCTCTTTTTTCTTTTTTTGCGGGGGGGTGCTGGGGATTAAACCCAGGGCCTTGTGCATGTAAGGCAAGCACTCTACCAACTGAGCTATATCCCAGCCCCATTACTTACTAATAATTTCTTCTGGCCATCAGTAGGGAAAAAAATTTTCCATAAAACTAAAATTGCAAACCTCATATAGCTATCAAAGGGAGACTGAATCTGAAAAAATGGGCTCACTGACAAATCCCCTTATAGCACACTCTTCTACCAGCACAAAGTCAGCTCTGTTCAGATTTTCTAAAAGATTATTTATCATATTTTTTGTCACTTCACATTGTAAAGGCAACCCCTTCCCACTTTAAAGCTTAACTGAATGTTTTAATTTCATTATTTTAATATATTACACAGATAGTTAAAATAGGCTTTTTTCATGATTCCTTTAAATTGTTATCTAGGTGATGTAGAAATCTGAACATTAAACATTTCCTGTTAAAGGACATAAAAGAGAAATGATCTCACCCTGGCACGTGGTGAATTTGAACTCTAAAAAGTAGAAGAGCCGAGCGCGGAGGCGCACCCTGTAATCCCAGCAGCCCAGGAAGCTGAAGCTGGAGGATCACGAGTTCAAAGCCAGCCTCAGCAAAAATGAGGCATTAAGAAACTCAGTGAGACCCTATCTCTATATAAAAAATAAGAAACAGGGTTGAGGATGTGGCTCAGCAGTCAAGTGCAGCCGAGTCCAAACACTGGTACCCAACCCTGACCCCAAAAACTGAAAAAAAACAAACCACTAAGGGTATACCAAGAAGTCAACCAGCCAAGGCTAAAGCTCTATAAATATTGTGAGTATATAAATTAAATCATATAATGGAAATGAAGCAAAAAAAGTACAACTAAAAGTTACTTATGCTTTGATAGTACAATTTGGGTGGTGAACTAATAAATCTCTGATTTCACACATAAACAAGTGTTACACAATCACAGAACAAATAAAAGGGCTCTTTTACACTTCAATTTCAAAATGGAGCTGTTGAGGTTTAAATGGATTTGCACACAGTAAAAAAAGAAAAGATCCTTCTACCTTTCACTATTTTTTCCCAGAGCAAAATTAACCTACTATATTTTATAGCAAAATTAAAAACCAAGGTGGAAACAACCCAAGTATCCTTCAACAGTTGAATGGATAAACATGTACACCTACAATGGAATATAATTTAGTCTTAAAAAGGAAAGACATTCTGACATATGCTACATGAATATGAACCTTGAAGACATTATGGTAAGTGAAGTAAGCCAGTCACAACATCACAAATTCCCCTTATGTGAAGTACCTAAGATAGTCAAATTCATAGAGTCAGAAAATAGAATGGTAGTTGGCAGGGATTTGATGAGGAAGAAAAGGGGAGTTACTATTTAACTGATACAGAGTTTCACTTATGGAGGATGAAACAGTCTCAAGACAGATAGTGATAATTATACAACAATGTGAATGTCCTTAAAGCCACATCATGAATACAGAAAATGGTTAAAATGATCAATTTTTATGTTATATTCATATTTTGTCACAAAAAATGCACCTTGATGCATTAACAGAATAAGCAAGAAAACTCATATAATCTTCTCAATAGAGGAAGAAAAGATTTTAACAAAATTCAACACTGAATAAACTAAAAGTAGGTAATTAATTTCAAATAATCAAGACAGTAAAATCAGATGTACTCAAACTCTGGCTCTTTATAAGAGCCTCTAAATGCTTCCAATCTAATTCACCAACTATGTTGGAATTTTAAAACAGAAATCAATCACCTCACACTACTGTTATTTTCTCCCACTGCAGTAGAGGGTTACAACAGAAGTCCTGTGCCCTCCACATATGCTGTCCACCTATCATTCCTTCAGCTTCCATTTATTTTACCAGCCATCTCACATACCTAACCCTAAGCAAACAGGTTTTAGTAATGTTTCCTCTACCTCTCTATATATGTATGTGTACATACATACATGTACATATGTATATATACACACACACACTCACACACATAAACACACACACACACACATATATGTATATGCCTGGAGCACAACAAAGCAGAAAAATCTGTGCTACAATTCTTTATTTACTTGCTGTTAGTAGTACTCAACCATCACCAAACAGAACAAAATCAAGGAGATAGAGACTGGAATTTCACTCACCAAAAAAGTACTTACAGATTCCTCTGCTAATTCTCAAATTTAACCAGGAAACAAGACCCTGCCATAAGATACTAATGTAAGGAGTGTTGGTACTTTATAAAAGAAACAGGGTTTTTAAATGAAATAACTGGAGTCTTGGACATTTGGACATTCATGGCAACTAATCTATCATTCTGTTTATCAAGATGAATCAACAGGAACAGGGCTAAGTCACATGACTGCTTCACTCAGTAAGAGAACAAATGTGTTCTGTACAGACTCAATTTTAGCTACTGTAATTGGGATTTATTTCCACAGGAAGTCTTCTTTGCTCAATTCAGAGGGTATGTGATAATTAACTAGCTGAAACAATTTATGGGTAACAGAGGACTTAAAAATCCTGCCACCTGGAAGGTATTATTGAATAATTTGCATTTATATTTTGGTAGTGGTACACCTGCCTGTCTTTAGTCTTTATTTCAGTGAATGAAAGAAATTAAATACAAAATGACTTATGTGTAACTGGTAACACTCAAAGAGACTAATAATTTCCTTCTCCAAAGAATTTAAAATTCCAAATTGCTGACTTTTCATTTCCTAAGAATTCCTTTTCTGATTTGCTGTGTCATACACAAACAATTCATATATTTTTTACTTGAATGTAAATGAAGCTTTTGAATACTCTGAATTAATTAAGTAAATGAGAGATTTAAGCTAGTATGAAATAAACAAACCTGTTAACCATTTAAGGAAAAATAATGAGTACATAAAAAGAAAACACATAAAATTATAAGACATTTTCTAACATATATTTTCTTATTTACAGCAACAACAACAACAAAAAATGTTGAAACCTACCATGTTCAATATTTCCCTTTGTCAAGGGGGTTGGAAGAGTAGGGATGTATGGGTAAATGCGGAACTTACCAAGACTAGAATTGCCTTTTGCTATAGTAATAGTCCTTTCAAAAGATTCTTTGGATGAATTTTGTAGCATGATACATTCCACATTGGAGGCCAGGGAGCTCTGTTCAATTAAGTACTCAGAGCCCTGAAAAAAAATAATGCAAGTCACATGGAAAGGAAAACTAGACTTTGGAGCATGATTTCAACACTACACATCTTTAGTTCTATGTTTTTCAGCAAGAAAAACAAGATCAGAGGTTGCCTCAGGGCATGTGTCAGAGGAGCCTCATTCCAAATGACGGATTAGCCAGAACTCTAACTCTCCACTATCTCCTACCTCACTATGATGCACATACCACAACCTTTAAAATATTACCTTTCCAGTTGAATCAGACAGCACAGGAGAAGTAAGTTCTGTTCTTGATACAACTTCACTTGGTAAATGAGATTCAGTCCAAGATATTGTGTTTTCACATTCATATTGTTGTTCAGTAGAATTTGCAGGTGTATAATCACTTGTGTTAAAACCAGAAGGAGGCCCCAAGCTCAAGTCTACTGAAGATGAATTCTCATCCTGTCTTTGGAGGAGATTCTGGGCATATAGTTCTTCCAAAGACATATGCAGATCAATTACTGGATCAGAAGAATTTTCAGTTATATCCTGAAAATGAAAGAAAAAATATTAAAACCAGAATTAAATCAATTTATTTTATAACATTGCTTCTTAATGAGCAACTATTTAGTGAAAAATAAATCACAAGTATTCATTACTTAAAGAGTGTTAACAATGCTGGTGCAATGATACATACCTGTATTAACTAGCTATCGGGGGGCTGAATAGGCTAAGACAGGAGGATAGCAAGTTCAAGGCCAGCATGGGCAATTTAGCAAGACCCTAACTCAAAATAAAAGGGCTGGGGATATAGCTTAGTAATAGCCTGCCAGTAGGTTCAATCCCCAGTATCACACACACACACACACACAAAATAGATAGATAGATAGATAGATAGATAGATAAATAGAGATATGCATTAACAAATATTTCACTTAGCATAATTTTCTGCCTTTATTTTCATAAATACTTTTGAATAAATTTACTGCAAATCACACATTTCCTATTCTGAATTACCCTTGTACAACATACCATACCTAGGATCATTTAGGTAGAATATTATGTTCTATCCATAAAATAATATTATTCTGACTTCACATAGAGAAGCAAATAGCTTCGAATCTAATCTCATTTAAAGTGTAGTCCATTTCCAGTGAAGATCTACTTATTGAAATGAATGCATGCAAACTATAACATTAATTGATTTGGATTCATGAACCTCCAAGAGAAAATTATTTTGACTTGAATTTATAGGTATTTATGGAGAAGAAAAGAAAGGCTTGAAACTCGGATTATTATAGGGAAAATTTATATAAATATTCTTCAAGATTTAATAGGAGGAATATTAATCTGAGTGGTCATAAAATGTAGGTTTTAATCTAGGCTCTGTTATTAGCACAGACTCTCTCTCGGCTATATATTACGCAATTTCTACAATTCTCTGAAATTCAAATTCTATAGATCTGTATAAATACATGTAATCTACTTACAGCAGATATGTTGTATCACTTATATGCTTTGGGCAAGCAATTACTTCCTGAATTGCTGCTGAATAAACACATCAGTTTTCCCTTCAATTCTTTGATTGATATTTTTAAAGTACAAAAGCAGCATATGATGAGCACATAACCATGTAAGATTCAAGCTTTATGGGGGCAGGAAAGATGGTGGAATGAGATGGACATCATTACCCTATGTACATATATAACTGCACATATGGTGTGATGTTCTATCATGTACAACCAGAGAAATGAAAAGTTGTGCTACAATTGTATATGATGAATCAAAATGCATTCTGCTATCATATATACCTAATTATAATAAATAAGTTCACAGAAGAAATAAATTGATCAACAAATATATGAAAAAGTGTTCAACATCTCTAGTAATTAGAGAAATGTGAATCAAAGCTACTCTAAGATTTCATCTCGCTCCAGTCAGAATGGCAATCATCAAGAATACAGGCAACAATAAATGTTGGCGAGGATGTTGGGGAAAAGGTATGCTCATACACTGCTGGTAGGACTGCAAACTGGTACAACCACTATGGAAAGCAGTATGGACACTCCTCAGAAAACCGGGAATGGAGTCACTATTTGACCCAGTTATCCCACTCCTTGGACTTAAAATCAGAATACTATAGTGACACAGCTTCATCAATGTTTACAGCAGCTCAATTCATAATAGCTAGACTATGGAACCAAGGTGTCCCTCAATAAATGAACGGATAAAGAAAATGTGGTAAATATACTCAATGGAATATTACTCAGCTTTAAAGAAGAGTGAAATTATGGCATTTGCCAGTAAATGGTTGGAATTGAAAAATATCATGTTAAGAGAAATAAGCCAATCCCACAAAACCAAACACCGAATATTTTGTCTAATATGCAAGTGCTAATTCACAATAAGGTAAGGGGCACTAGGGAAAAATGGTGTTACCTTAGATTAGGTAGAGGGAGGCGATGGGAGGGGAGAAGAGGGGATAGGGGGATAGAAAAGATAATAGAATGAAACAGACATTATTCTTGTATGTATATATGTGACTACATGACCAATATGAAATTATATCCCATCTATGTATGATATATCAAAGTACATAAATGGATTCTACAGTCATGTATAACTAATTAAAACAAATAAAATAATAATAATAAAAAAGAAAACTGTTAGGAGATTCACAATTGCTAAACTATAGAAGCAACCTAGATGCCCATCAATAGATGAATGGATAAAGAAACTATGGTACATATACATAATGGAATATTACTCAGCATTAAAAGAGACTAAAATTATGGCATTTGCAGGTAAAAAAAAAAAAAAAGATTCAAGCCTTACAGACGTACACTGTGTATGAACACAAAAGTCTTCCTTCATACCTGGTACTCTATTACCTTCTCCAGTGAAAATGGCTGGCATCACTTAGTTGTTTGATCATATTTTTATCCATCTGCATAATACATACATACGCATACACAGATACACACACATTCAAGTTGATATATACATACATTTTTAAAACTTAAACAGAACCATACATTAAGTGGCATTTTTAACTTGTTCCTTTTTTATCCCCAGTATATCCACATCTCAATGTAAGAAATGGCCATGTCATTCAAAAAAAGAAAAGGTCAACTCCAGTGTTTTATGGCTATCAATTATTCCTAAATATGAAAGGCACTGGAGTGTACACTTTGGAGTCAGGCTACCTGAATTCAAATTCTAGCTCCACATCTGGTTAACTGAGTTTGGAAAGTTAAACACTCTGTACCCTTATTGAGGTTGAAATATTAGGTATCTGACAAAAGTGTATGTGTGAAACAATGTAAGAAACTCTAGAGGTGAAATGATTGGATTATGAGAACATTACCCTAGTCAGTGCCTCAATCCCTGACAGGGATTAACTGGGTAGTAACAGCAGGAAAGTAAGATGTGGCTGGAGTATGTAGGCCCTTAGGAACATGCCATTGGAGTTTATATTTTGTCTTGGTGAAGATCTCTCTCCCTCCCTCCCTCTCTATCTCTCCCTCCCCCCCTCCCTCTGTCCTCTCTCTTTCTATTTCTCCCTCCCTCTCCCTCTCTCTCCCTCCCTCCTCTCTTTCTCTCTCTCCCTCCCTCTCTCTCTTTCCCTCCCCCCTCTCTCCCGCCTGTCTCCCTCCCTTCCTCTCTCTCTCCCCCTCTCTCTCCCCTTCCTGTTGTGATGTCCTGAGCTCCTTTCCTCTCCCACACTCTTCCCACCATAATGTCCTGCCTCAACTTAGGTCCCAAAGAATGAAGTCAGCCATCCACGGATTAAGACCTCCAAAACTACAAGCCCCCAAATAAACATATTCTCTAAGTATTCTTATCAGGTCTTTTGGTCACAGAAGTGAAAAAACTGACTAAAACAGCCCTGGTTCCCTGGCCTATTAATAAAGGAAAACAACAGAACCCATATTATCTGTTCTGTTAGAACCAACCATTAATTACCACAAAGTACAGGCCCAACAGAAATGACCCAATAACTATTAGCTTTTACAGTTATTTATTTATATTATGTAACTTTATACACATGTGTGATAATGTGTTTCCTATAAACTACAGAACTGGAGTAGTGGGTCAAATCATATGCACACTTAAAATACTGCTTATTTATTGCTAAACTATCTTTCATTTTCTTCCACAAAAAAGAATATGTGAATACCTATTAATCTTACCAACTCTAGATCAGTTTGGTAATCCGATCGGTCAGAAATATATTCAACAGTGTTTTACTATGCATGCTTCTGACAATTAGCAAGATCATATCATTTATACATCTTCTGTGAACATTTTCTTCATGTCCTTCCTTCAGCTTTTTAATCAACAGATTTTCACTTATTCTTGATCTTTTCTGAATATAAAATCTTTGTGATATAACTACAAATATTGTCCCAGTTACTTGTCTCCTAAGTTTTTAATAGGTAATATTTATGTCATTACAAAGATAAATTCTTTGTGTAATCAAATTTGTCGATATTTTTGTGCTTCTAGGTTTTATATATAGCTTCATAAATATCATAAATATCTCCTTGACACAATGTAAATGAAATGTTTTCTGGTATTTTCCTTGTATTTATATAATTTATTTTTAGATTTTAACCATCTACAACTTATCTCAGATATAGTATAAGAGATGGCTCTCTCTTTGATTAGTTTAACAGCTCCAATGCAAATTATTATACTTCTCTTCTTCAATACAAGTTATCATTTCTCTATAATTATCAAATATTTCTGACACAAAAGAATCAACAGAGTAGTTCTATCATACAAGCAATTAATATATTTAGAATCTTCAGGAACAAATAATAGTAAAGTAACATTCTCCAATCAGAATCTGAACAATAACCTGTTGGCTCATCCACCCAACTTTATTTTATTTATTCTCATGAAAAATAACAATGTGCTTACTAAAGGAGTGGTTAGTTTCAGTATTACTAAATTAATTATAATAATTTTCAGTAAATCATCTCACCCACGCCTCAAAGAAAGAGAACAATTCAAAATTGCTTTTCATCAGAAAAAGAGGTCAAGCCACCCTTGTGAGCTGAGGTTTACTGAAAATCATGCAGCAGAAATTTCCATGCATTATTCATGAAGGAATTAACACAGACATACAGAAAAGAAATAGCTAATCAACACAGTAGACAACATACACCTACTTCAGAAACATTTCTGGTTGCTGAACGACCAGAGTTTTATTTTTAAAAGTCTTATGGATCTAAAAGAAAAATATTTCTTCCCCCATAAAATGTCCAAAAATAACTCTATGATTTTCCAGTGCAACTTGGTATCTAAACTGAACTTTTCTAAAAACCTGTATTAATATATGCCTCTACTTGATACATTCTTGTTCTTTTCCTATTATAGGAAAAGACAACATCTTTTATACCTTTGAGAGTGCAGTTTTGTCACTAAGACTTTCATAATTACTCCTACTATTTTGACTAGAGTGATTTATTTATTTTTTATTCAAACCTCTTCTCCAAAAACAAAATAATTAAGAAACAGCATTAACATTCTAAACAAGATGTGAAGGCAACAAATTTCAGCATTAGAGAATGACACTATGTGGAGATCTATGGTAATATATAGAATTTTTTTAAAAAAAGGAATCTACTATTTGTGTTTGGTGTGTGAGGTTCAAAAAAAGATTTCTATCTTGACAGACACCAACTTCAACCTGCACTAGAAATCACAGGACTAACTGGTAAAACCAATATTCTGGAATGAAGAATGTGTACCATATCAGTTTTTTCCTGTCCGTACTGAGAGACTGAAAGTATGAATGTACATTACAGGGCAGAGAATGGGATGTGACAAGGAGTACAAACAGAGACTCAATATATAGCTATTAAATCTTTGTTGGTTGTATTTTCAAGTCAAAATAGGAAAAAAATAAAGCATCTTCTGAGAAACCATGTGAAACTTTTAAAGAAGTCTATGAATATTTAAGTTTGGAAAACAATTATTTTTGCATTTTATCATGACTTTGGAGGTAACAAGAAAAGGGAAATTGAAAGATTAATAAAAAATCAAAACCCATAACAATGAGAAAGGGAAAAAAAAACAATGGCTTCAACCATGTTGCCTTTAAAATAACACATTTCAATCAACTACCTCTAATGAATCTGAATGCCATGAAATGGGTATATGTAAATCCTTACATGATAATTCATCAATGAAGCAAACACATATTCCTTTCAAAAGGCAAAACAGAATCGACCCCTAATGGAAGGCTTCTGTGAACAGGAACAAGTTATGGCTGTGGTCCTTAGGTGCTTAAGCTGCTGCTCAGTCCTCAACTCTGCTCTGAATGGTAAGTCCATGCTCTGGTGGTCAGCTCTTTTAACTTCTGGTAGGATACCTGACCAGGGTCGAAAGATCTCTCATCAAGGAGAGGACAGGTAAAATAACGTGTCTATTTCCAATCACCATTTAAGATCACAAGATTACCAAAAAAATCTGAGGAATGACTGAGATCCTTACACTCTATCCTTCCTTCAAATCAGTATGGAGGTATCTTTGTTTTTCTTAAATATCCATATATACTTTATGGTTATTACAGTATAAGATCATATATATTTAAACAATCATATATACTACATGATTTTATTTTATTAAAAAGTAAGCTCACTTTTTTAAAAGAAAAATAGTGAATTCTAAATTGCATGACAAATCACCATTTTGTTTTTTAAAATAAATTTAGTGCAAAAAAAACCCAGAAAAAAATGCATTATATAAATTCTTAATCACATAAATTTTTTCACTAAAAAAGGCATAGAGGAAAAAAAAGAAAACCCAGAGTTTCAGAGATTTACCATGATACAAGAACAGTTCTACTTTCTAAAAACACTGAAAGCACACAGGAGTTTCACAATGTGTTTTAGAACACCCTCATTAATGTCTTCTTTGTTGTTTTGTAGTTTAAATATTTCACTTGTTAGGCCAGCTTGCCAAAATTTGCTTCAACAAAAGAGAAAACTGCTTAGGGAGAAAAACAAGAAAAGAAAAAGAGGAGGCAAACAGACGTCAGTAAACCAATATGTTGTGCTGCATACAGCCAGCATTCGCCCTGTAAAATGTATGCTTCTCAGTATGCAGATTGTGTAATCCCTTTAAGTAACAATTACTAAATTAAACAATGCAATCTGTCCCACTGGCAAGAAGAAGTGTGCTATGCTATGGATTAGGAGATTCCATCAGGAGATGAACTAGCTTCCAGCCCTGAGGCCAGTAAAGGCTGAACACATTCCAGACAGGAGGCAGCCAGACAGTCTCAGGTGTGCTAGGAGAGGAGCAGCTGCTCCACTCAAGATTATACCTTACAAACCAATTCAAGGAGATTGCCCAGCATCATTTGAAAGGATAACAGGTGCACCTTGAACATAAAAGAAAATGCTTTCAAAATGTTCTGGCCAAAAAAATTACTTGTTAATCAGGAAAGGAGGAAACTGAAAATCCTACTTTCCAACTTATTCATATATGAGATCTCTTTCCACTGAATCCAATTTATAAGTATGGTATAATTCCAGCCTAGAAAAATAAACAATATATATCCATAAATGAACTCTTTGCCTAGATTAAATAGATACATTTTTCCATATGTTTTTTAATTACTTTTTTCTTAAAATGATATATTGTAAGTACAACTATATTTCTATGCTTCATCTTTTTCTCCAAAGGTAACTCCTTTCCTGAAGTTAGGAAGTATCATGCTCACACATTTTTAAGTTTCCAACACACATGTATACACCTACTCATAAAAATATATATTGTTTATGCATCAATTTCCATAAAATAAAAACTTCAACAAATAAACAGATAAGTAATCAAAATAATAACATTCAAAATAATTGAAGAGATCATTGATAAAAAGTGACAACCAAATGGCCAATATATGGAAAAGTATTCAATCTCACTAATAATGAAGAAAACAAAATGAAAATGTTGTAACACACCATTTTTCATTCAATATTGAATGGGTTTTTAAATGCTACTTAACCGAAAATTATAGCGTATATAACCAAGAAAATCAATAGAACTGGGGCATTTATGCCAATTATTTATTTCTAAAATATAGATGGCACAGATAGTCCAACAGTAACTAGACCCTTCAATTACATACACTGATATATACATACTTTGTCATTCACTGTGATTTTTATATAGTTTGCATTATTTTATATAAAAATGTAACATTTAGTTTAAGCTAGCAAATGCTAAATTAACGTAAGAAATATTTTACTATCCAACTTTGCCTAAAAGTTTTAAAATCATTAAAAAATATAAAGTCAATCTTGTAATTTTTCCAAAATAGACACTGCTAGTAATTTTGGCAACAGTGAGATCTATCCTTTTCAGCAATTCTATAGTCCTTTCTCCCTATCTCCAAGCCTCTCAATAAAATTAGTAGATTCCCCCACTAAAAAGTAACCATAGACACCACTAAAAACACAATCTAATAAATGTATTTCATTAAATTTTCTTTATGATATGAAAATCCTAAAAGTTTTGAACATTTATGTCTACCACTGTCTTAGAAACACTAGAATTAAATAGCCCTTTATAGTCTGAAAGCTATAAAATTAACACTAGCTAAATTAAAGTGTAGTTTAATCTGATAGGTAATCCATGACTAAAGAAACAAAATGTTTCTAATATGCTACTCCCACAAGTCCCCATCAACCCTGACCTCTGGAAAGGTATTCACAAAGCTTTCTCAAAAATAAATGACATTGTCTCACTACCTTGGGAGGAGATGATGGCAGAGAGGAGCCATAGTTCAGACCATCACTGCAAGCACTGCCATGAAGAGATAAAACAGAGGCTTGGGTAGAGTAGACACTGTCATTATCAGGAGAGTACTGAGACTGAAATGTGGATTCATCTACCAATTCAGCACCATGTGTGTCCACCTAGGAATCAAACAATATCATCAGTTGGGAATTTTGTTCTAGCACTGAGGTCTCCACTTGAAACACAAAGGCATAGTGGCATCTTTCTTCAGTCTATCCTGCTCTACATTCTCTTCAGCATGTCAGAAACTGACTATATAGTACTTTACCTAGTGCAGCACAAGAGCAAATTGCTCACTTGTAGCAAAGGGTGCTGGAACCCACAGCTGCTTCATTTCCTCAATAATACAGCCAAAGGTAATAATTAATAAAGGATCTGGATCAATTCTAAGTTTAAATAGCTCCATTAGTCATGGAAAGTGTTTACTTTTTTCCAGTTCACCTGACAAACTCTTATCATTTTATAATAAAATGAATGAGGACATGTCTTCTATTCAACTAAAATAAACTGCTGTTCAAAAAGGTAGCCATGCAATTATTATTTGTAAACCTCACTATAAACATATATTTTAAATTATCTTTAGTTAAACTTTAAATCCATTCAAGTCATAGAAACCAGAGAACATCTGAGATGTCATGCTAAAATTATACCAACAAATAAGGGGTCTAATAATGATATGATTAGTGAAGCTTTAAGTTAAGAACTTCTATTAGAAAGCTCACATAGAATGAGATAGAAAATTTCATCACACATTATCTAAAAATCCTATTACAATCTTCTATAGTAGACATAAGAACTGACCCTTTTCTTGTATTTCCAGCATTTTCTGGTTATCTTAATGGCAAAATCCCATTTTTCTATTTATTTTTTATTCCAACTTACATGTTTAATATAATTTAGAAGCTTTATCACAATACAGTAGGCTGTGCTCTTATAAAAAACTCTTAAAAATACACTGGGGCCATTTCAAAGTGACCCTCTTGAAATATAATTTCATAGGCCTGAAAAATTATTTTAAATACACGTTCAAATGCATTAACAAATCACCATGTGGAGCTTTAGCCATTACAAATGTACATTATGTACAATAATCTAGATAGTAAATAATTAGTATTTACTATCTAGATAGTATTAGCTAAGCCTCGTGCCATACATTACAGTGCATAAACATTTGTTTTAAGTGACATTAAGGAAAGAATACCTCAGTCTAAGTTGTATACCTATCACTGATGCCTTATAGTCCCAGAGAGATCATTACAATTTGCTTAATTGCTGTACAGATAAAACACTGGAGCCCAAAGAAGATGAACAGCCAGTCCAAGATTATATAACTGGTTAGAAAGAAGATCCAGGACACCTACTTCTATCATAAAGACTAGTTAAGCCTCCATAAAACTGGAACTAATATACTTTGTGATTGGGATTCTTTGAAGTTTAAGGAAGATATGTAAACTCTAGAAACAATGTTATTCTTAAGATACTTCAGGGATAATGATATATTTGTGTCCTATTGCATATAATTTTTTATTTTTATTTATTTATTTGTTTTGTTTGTTTTTGCTGTGGCTGAGTACTATTTAATACCAGAGTACTCACACAGTTCACTGCATACTAAATGATACTGTGCAGACAGAGCAAGGCCAAAGTTCCCTAGTGTGTTAAGTATCAAAATGTGAGATTATTGTATTGACTATAATACTGCAAACTTTCCAAATAGGTGTTTCAAGAGCTTGCAATTTCAAAATATTAACAAAAACAATTATCTTCTTCAAAATTAAGACCACAAATGGCACTAGGTCAAAGATGTGCACAGTGCACATAAAATATTGAACAAGGAAAATAGTGAGACTTTTCAGAATATTTTATAAGATAAAATAAGACATACAAGCATTTGAAAAGAGAACTTAATAAGTTGTAGCCACTAACCAGAGCCAAGTCAGCCCTGAAGAGGGCTTTGTCAGCCAGCCCTTGCTCCTCGCAGGAATGTGGCGGGTACAGAAAGGAATCCTCCTTAGCAGAAACATAACCTTCTTCAGGTGAAAGCTGCAGGAGAATGATATTTGAAAACCAGTTCATGAGAAAGACAGAGAAAAATGAAGGGGGACAAAATGGAGGAAGGCAGACAAATAGGAAGGTAAGTGAGGAGAAAAGGAAAATATGGGAGTTTTTAAGATAAACATATGACTTCAACATTGAATAAGTATGAAATATAGCAAATATCTCTATTAAACATTTTATTTGAAAATATAAATTAAAATATTTTGGTATGAACATCATCTGTTAGATCAGAATCCATTTCTATTCTTTTTCTCATTTTTTCGTATTAAAGATTACCAAAATCAATAATTTTTACATTATAATAGTCCTCTAGTAATTCTTATCTGCCTACTATTATGGCCAAATACTGAAAAGCAAACTTTAGTTATTAAGACTTTTAAAAAGATTGGAGAAGAATAATACAACAATAAAAAGAGGGATCAACTTCTGTCATATCCTCTTAGAATATTAATTTAAGGAATGTAATTTACTTGACAGGGAAGGTGGCTGAATCCTACAGTGAAGCCTTTTAATTTAGCATAGCTTTTAAGACAAAATAAAGCAAAACTCTTCAAGTGCAGTCTGCTTATATTGCAGTCTTGAGCTCTATTACCTTCTAACTTGATCACACAGACTGAAAAACCTAAAAATTTTATAACAATTTCTGAAAAATGGGCCAAAATATTTAGATAAGGCCTTGTCTACATAACTCTGTGTCAGCAACACATGCAAAAGTATTACAGGGAAAAACTTCCTTTTTTTCCTCTTTACCAAAACATGAATTTAATATTTACTAAGACTCACTTTGGGAAACAGATATTCATATGTTACAATGCATATTGACACCAAAATATCAAATACTGTATTGAAAGAAATTTACTTTAGAGCTAGCTAGAAACAGAAGACTCTGCTTCTAAATAACTGGTACAGTTTCTTTTAAGGGAAAAAAAAAAAAAAAAAACATGTATTAAGTCGTGTTCACTATTTCTCTTTGTAAAACAGAAAGACCAGAGCCAATTTATGGTCCACCTTCGATAAATATATAGAGCCTCATGATGTGCCTTTTCATTTTTACATTCCCTTTAGTACAGATCTTTTCCCATTATTTCTATAATCCTGATTTGATTTTTAGGTTGGATTACCAGTCTTCATTCTTTTCTCCCTCCCTCTTTTCTATTATTTTTTCATAAATGCATTTCATAGATTACCAAAATTCCTTGTGGAGTAAAACTGGAACATAGAATAATTCTAATTAACACTTAAAAATACTAACAAAGCTTATTATTTGAACAAATTCTCTCACAAAAATCGAACAAATCTTTATTGATATTCATGCATATATATGTTGCACTTCCTTTCATTTAAAACTATATTTATACCATGGAAAAACCTCACAAATAATGATCATGTCTCTTAATATTTAATTGCAGTACAATGGTAAATGCCATGTTACAATTACTACACCTAATAAAACATGCTGCTTTATACAACATAAATTGTTTTTTCAATATTGCAGTATAGAATATGGGAACTATTCCCTCCCAGAAGAAAGAGCCACAAACTGATGAACTCATTTTGTATTGTTCAATAAATTATGAACAAATTATACAACAAATAGTGTTGAAGTCAACATAATTAAGAAACTTAAGCCACTCTATCAGAGATCCTACTTTACTCCCCTATGATTAAAGGTTCTACTATTAGTTGTTAATGCTTTTAATTTTTTTTTAAAGAGAGAGAGTGAGAGAAAATTCTTTTAATATTTATTTATTTATTTATTTATTTTTTTAGTTTTCAGTGGACACAACATCTTTATTTTTTATTTTTATGTGGTGCTGAGGATCGAACCCAGTGCTCTGCGCACGCCAGGCGAGCGCACTACCACTTGAGCCACATCCCCAGCCCAAATGCTATTGATTTTTAGTACCCCCGCTACATTGTTATTTTAATATTTGAATCCATATTTCTTTGAAATATATGATTCTGCTTCATCATGACCTTAATAGCTAATAATAAAAAACGTCAAAAGATAATCACAAAGTAATGTTATAAATATATTTCTAAATATCCTGGCTCTTTTCTTTCCTTATTTTCTGAAAAATATAACTCAAATTAAATTTTTATGTTCATGGAGCCAAAGACCATATTGCTGAAAAGTACCAAAAATGATGATTCAGTCATGAGAACACCCAAGGCTAAAAGAAAACCTGTGAGCCACTTTTCTTGTACATATAAAAATAAATCAATAGAATCCAAATTCTTACAGGTAAAGGCTTGGTCACTCCTATTCTGACAGTTCCTGAGGGTGCCCCCTTCAGTGCTTCCACAGCTTCTTCAAGACTGCTGTTTTCCAAGTTAATGTCATTGACAAACATGAGGCGATCTCCAGGAAGAAGTCGTCCATCCTTTTCAGCAATGCCACCAGGGACTAAGGAACGAATTACAATCACAGTGCTTGCTGGATCAACTGGATCCTGACAGAATAGGAAAGTAAAGAGAACTCAGTCCATTTTTAGAATGAAGAAAATTTTTATAGGTTGTCCCTCTGATTATCAATGGATGGGTTATTGTTTCAAGTGTATTTTTAAAATTCATACAAAAAGAATTTCTGATGAATTATCTGAGCAAAGGTTATCTCTGTTTCATTTTAGCGAATCCATAAAGAGTTCATCTAAAACAAAAGCATTCTCATTTGCTAGTGTTCCCAAAAACACCTCTTCAATTGTACAGATAACTTTAAAATTATAATTTTAATTTTAGATTAAGTTGTCAAATTTTATAACTACCATTGGAGGCTAGATGTCATGTATATTCATTATTAACAACAGCATTTGTTAAATAATATGTCACTGGATGGAAATGTCTGAATGTTTGACCTGTCCCTTTGAAATGAAAACATACAGAAAGAAGCATTTGACAATGCAGTGTTTTCATTTACACAGCAACCTCCACATTAGAACAAGGCTCCAGAATCAGGCCCTATGAACACATCTCCCTAGTCATCTGAGACAGCTTTCTGTTCAGTGTTAATAAGGAGCAACAGCTGTGCTCTGTCAGACAGGCTTTAGCAATTTCCTCATTTATGCAGCATAGAGCACAAGGCAGGCTGCACTTGACCAATTTAAACATATTCATAAATATAGTAAAATGATTGGAATATCAGAATTCATAATATATCCAATTATACATTTATCATTTGCAGCAAAGAAATATCTAATACTTAATGACTGACCATTAAATTATGAGCCATCAAGACCATGGAAATAACAATAATAGATTCCTCAAATTATTAAAATAAAACACTGGGCTGGGGTTGTAGCTGAGTGGTAGAGTGCTTACCAGGCACCGCAGAAAAATAAATGAATAAAATAAAGGCATTGTGTCCCTCTACAACTAAAAAATATTTTTTAAAAAATACTATGTCTCTATGATTTTTTTTTTTTTTTTTTTTGGTATCAGGCATTGAACCCAGGGTGCTTAACCCCGGAGCCCCATCTCCAGCCTATTTTATACTTTTATTTAGAGACAGGGTCTTGATAAGTTGCTTAGAGCCTTGCTGAATACTGGGATTACAGATGTGTGCCACTGTGCCCAGCTCTCAATAATATTTCTAAAATGTGTTCTACATGTTCCTCAAATTCCTAAGAGCTGAATTATAAAATAGCTGAATAAATTTGACATTAAAAGAAACCCTTATGATAATCAATGAGTCATATTAATTATTATTTTGAAAGACTCACTACAAACAAGAAAATGTCTTTGATGACTATTTTCTTCTTCTCTGCTATCAACAATATGCTTTCAGTACATAGCATTGTTTTTTAAAACTTGTTAATGGTAGAATACATTTACCTGATAATCTAAAATGCTAAAACCAAGGCCTCTGCTCCCTTTCTCCAGCTCTATGTGCTGAATGCCAGCCTCCCACATGGCCAAAGGTACTTGAACCTCCTCTGGAGTAGGACCCACATCAGTCATGGCCACCACTGGCTCCTCTGTCTCCGATGACCCAATGAGCTCCCCTAGATCTACATGGGGCTGAACAACAGACCAGACATCTCTTATTTCACAAGCGCTAGAGTAGAAGACACACATATGAACACTTGCAAAGAAAAGGGAGATTCCCAACATCTATCCAGAACAAAACATTTTCAAATAAGCACCAGCTTATCAAGAAACCTTTAAGATTTAAGGTACAAAATGTCAAAAGCTGTTAAGAGGAAGAAATACTTAATTACAATAGGCATTAAAAACATAAGATTAGATGATATCCTATAAAATTATAGAATTTTTTTGTGGGTGAATTTCACTTCTTTTCAATGTACGAATCACGTCTATAGACAGAAAAAAAAAGGAGAGCTATTTTGTTATTAAATCAAAATAATTTCTCTGATAAATAAGAATAATTCAAGATAAGAGATATATGTAGAAGTTTTATACTCAATGCAAATAAGGATTATAAAACACTTTGACTTGAGTACTTGAGTATTTCATTAATAAAACTAGTGTAAACAGTGACCAAACATAGATTTAAAATCAGATTTGCTTGGGCTTAAAGCATGACTCTATGATTTCCTATATGTGTTACCTTGAGTAATATTCTTAGCATGGGCTTCAGAGTTACTCATTTCATAGAAATTTGTGAGTATTAAATGAGGTAACATTTATAAAGTACATGACACAGAAGCTGGAATTCAAAATTTTTGCTTCTTTCAGTAAAAATAAAGTAAATAAAGGTTACTCCAACTTGGTCCTTCTACAGGAACATATCAAACATAAGAAATATGTGTTCATCAGGATGAATACTATCTTTGTTTTAAGCAATTATCACATGACCTAGAACCATGGATGCAAATCTCTCTACCTGTCTTATCATGATAATCCCATTTACACCACACAAACACAGACACACACAAAGAGCATGGATGGATATAGTGCTAGCCTTTGAGCAGTAGATAATTTAGAATTATATTTCTTATTCTAACATTAATCATTTATGTGAATATGGAAACTAGGCACTTATTCTTCAAAGTTTTCAAAATTATTCCATTATACTGACTATTTCAGTATAATGTAAATCAAATCCTAATATTACCTTACATGAAATTTGTCTAGGTTATAAATTATGCAAAATCAGTTTAGAAATGTATTGTGCATCTTCCAAAAAGCTCATTAGTTTCATTGCTTGACATTTTGATCCAAATGGAAAAGAATAAGTAGATAAGAAAATGGGAGTTTCTGAACACCACAGAGAATTAACTGGCATGTGTTAGGAGCTCAAATTCCTCATACTTTAAAAATAGAGTGTGCAAGTAAGTAAGACCTATATATGCTAAAATTATCTATCCATCCACACTTTAGCTATTCACTAAGCAGTAATTGTATGCCAGGCAGACTTGGGTAGGTTATATACAAGTATCTTTTTTCCATATGTGTACTATATACACACACTATTTACATATTTGAGTTTTCTCTTCTGCAAATGGGGACAATATGAACCTCTATTTCACAAAAATATTGAAAGTAAATTATACAAATATATATATAGTGTGCAATAAAACCTAATATTATTGCTTTCCTTACATCTTCAGAGAAAGAAAACAGAGGTTCCAAAAGATGAAGTGACTTGCTCAAGGTCACACAGCTAGTAAATATCAAAAAGTCTGGTTTAAACCCAAGCTTGACTTCAAGGTCAATCCTATAAGACACAGACTATGTAAGGAAACCAAATGCCAAAAAAAAAAAAAAGGCAGGGGTTAAAAAATCATGAACACCATTTAGTCTTTCCATTTGTATTTTCATATTAGCCTCACTTTGCAAATTTTCTACCTTTTCTGTTAGTTCAATATCACTTAGGTCCAGGCTATCCAATTCTGACTGGGAGGTGGGTGGCACAGTACGACGACAGCACACCATTGTCACTTCTATAGGCAATTCTTTTAAAATATTGACCACATCTTGGTGATTCTCCCCAAGCAAAGTTATACCATTCACCTGTAGAAAAGATACATTCTTTAAGTAAGGAAAACATTTCAGAATGCAAATATTATTCTGAAAATGTTTTTTATTAAACAAATATACATTTTTGTTTGGTGATGATAATGTGATTCTGCTGGATCTAGAACTGTAGTTAGACCTATGGAAGTACTACCTAAAACAATTTAGAGTTTTGCTGTAATTGGATCTTCTAAAGAATTCACAGGAAAACCATTAACTTTTACCCATATTTGATCTGCCAGTGTGGAAATCTAGAAAAGGATAGTCAATGAAAATATTCCCAAGGATGAAAGGAAAAAAAAGAAGTTACAAAAACCTGACATTTTAAGTAAGGAAAAAAAATAGAATATTACATATATTGTATATTGATAAAATGGGGGGAAAGAACCTCTTCCAATTTTCTTATATTTATCTTAAAATATATGGCTGCCTGCACATAAACAATACCAGCAGGTACCTAATGAAGGATGATGAGAATGGGGTGGATGGGGTCAGGATGGAGATTTTTTTTAATGTTTATCTTTTTATTCTCTGTTGAAACATGTGAATGTATTACCTATTCTAAAAAACAGATATATATTTTAAAAGTTTCAAAGAAAGTTTTTATAGTTCTCTGTACCTGAAACAAAACAACAACCACACAGAACTAGATCTGAAACTCAATATAGACACAGATATAAAATTTCTGCTTTGCGTGGATTTTTATGTGCAGATCTCTCTCAAGAAACCTCTGAGAGGAAATTTAAAATAAGAACTTACAGATCACATTAATCCTCCTTCAAGGCTTTTTGGAATCTTATTTGAAGAAGAGAAAGAAAAGTATAGCTCCTTACTTCCAATAGCTCATCACCACTGAAGAGTTTCCCACTGTGTCCAACAGGACCTTCTGGTAGAACTGATCGGATAAAATGATGTCCCACTGTTGCTTCCAGGCTTATTCCCAACCCACTATTCTCACTAAACTTGCTCACGTGGGCCACCTAAAAGAATAAAAATAATTACAATTCTAACATTCCTTTCTTTTTCTACTCATGCATACATTTTGTATTCACCCCAAAATGGTCAACTTTCTCATAAAAGCTTCAAAAACCTACTTGTAAAGTTTCAAAGCTTTGCCTTTGAAAGAGTTCTGATGTCTATACTGGCTTCATGAACCAACAGACCAAAAGGAAGCAGCCAGCTCTTTACTGGCCATAGATACTGACAGCAGATGGAGAGCAGTCAAAATTACAATAGGACCTGAGCTCATACAACAATAAAGAAAACACACTCTCTGTACTTGCTACTGTATGCCAGGGACAAAGCTGATCAGCAACCCCCCCACCCCCCAACCCCCTCTGCTCCCATATCATAGATTGTCTCATATGCTTCTTTTAAATAGGTACAATTTCTCTCCTTGTTTCCCAAGTTAGGAAAATAAGGTTCAGAAAGGTTACCTTGGCCAGAATTGCACAAGGAGAATAGAACTTTGAACTAAAGTGATCTCACCCTAAAACCTCACTCTTGATTTTATGCAATACTGAGAGACAACAGTGATCTTTAATAAATGAAATGAAGTTGAAAACAAGGGAATGAAATTCTAATTTCTTGCAGTTATACCAGATAATGGAGAATGTTAGGAACTTACTCATTTTCACACAGAATCCAATAATCATTAAAATCAGAAGGGATGCTAAACATGATCTACTTTAACCCTTTTATTTTGCAGCTAAGGAAACTGAGGAATAAAAAACTGAAAAAAAAACTCATTATCAAATAGTTCTTTCCATGTCTTAATTTTTTTTCCTAAGAAAGAAAATCAATTTTATTTATTTTCTAATTTTTTTATTATTTTTTAAATTTGTTGTAACTAGTAATATATGACCATTTATTTTATTTATTTTTTTATTGGTTGTTCAAAACATTATAAAGCTCTTGACATATCATATTTCATACATTAGATTCAAGTTGGTTATGAACTCCCAATTTTACCCCAAATACAGATTGCAGAATCACATCGGTTACACATCCACATTTTTACATAATGCCCTATTAGTAACTGTTGTATTCTGCTACCTTTCCTATCCTCTACCATCCCCCCTCCCTCCCCTCCCATCTTCTCTCTCTACCCCATCCACTGTAATTCATATCTCTCCTTGTTTATTTTCCCATTCCCCTCACAACCTCTTATATGTAATTTTGTATAACAATGAGGGTCTCCCTCCATTACCATGCAATTTCCCTTTTCTCTCCCTTTCCATCCCACCTCATGTATCTGTTTAATGTTAATCTTTTCTTCCTGCTCTTCCTCCCTGCTCTGTTCTTAGTTGCTCTCATTATATCAAAGAAGACATTTGGTATTTGTTTTTTAGGGATTGGCTAGCTTCACTAAGCATAATCTGCTCTAGTGCCATCCATTTCCCTGCAAATTCTATGATTTTGTCATTTTTTAGTGCTGCGTAATACTCCATGGTGATCCATCATACATAAATGGAGTATAATTTCTCATTTTCCAGTTGTACATAATGTAGGGTTAAATAGGTCATGTAAATATGCATGCACATAGGGCAACAATGTTTCACTCATTATACTATCATTCCTAACCCATACCTCCTCCCCTTCCTTCATTCCCCCTGTCTAGTCCAAAGTACCTCTATTCTTAATGGTAATTGGTGAAAGTTCAACATCAATAAAGTTATATGACTTTGAAATAAAATGCTAGATGAAAATCTCACCCCTGAAAACCCAATTTAGGCATTTTTTCCTCTCAGAACACTTCCGAGTCTCTACTGATAATGCCTACAAGGACTTTTCTCTGCTACACCACTCCTACATTTTCATGTATGCTGCATAACTAGATAGCAAACAAAGTCAGATCTTTTTCCTTTACCGTTGTCTCACCACAGCCCAAAGAACTTAGTTCTTTCTTATTTATTTTAAACAAACTGGTTTTATTTACATGTAATTCTTAAGATATCGTCTCTAAACTTCCATTTAATCACATTTCTAAATGATACAAAGTATCCAGTTGTCATACTGTATATATAAAGTTCCAGGTATCATAGTGGCCTGAAATCAAGGACTGTGCAGTTTGGGTAGGTAGGAAAAGGGACCATAAAAATATGTGTGAACCATACCAGCTTAGTTATAAAAGTAACTCTTTCTGTATATAATGATAGCACCATCTGGGTATCTTTCATCATCTCTTGAACACTTAAGCACCAATAAGGCAGGTGATATTAGTTCTATTTTATAGAGGAAGATAAAGGCTTAGATGGTTTACCTCTCAAAGTTCTGGAGCTAATAGGAAATTTAATTAAGTAAATATAGGTTTCTTTATCACAGCACACTTCTTCCTTTGCCAGATTACTGGAAGTCCCACCAAAACAATATATGCACAGAGGACAGTTAGAAGTTCAGTATTGTTTCTGAGTCTGGGATGAAATGTCTAATCAAGGGTAGGTGTCCTTTAACATTCAGTTTCAACCTAAAGAACTGCAGGCTCAGTTATGCATGCCAGTTAAGTTAACCCTGTCCCTTAAAAGGAAATGCTAAATTAATTGCTGTTGAGCTGGACCTCCTAATTGTATTTTTCCTTGACTCAATTATAAAAGGTAGCAACAGCTGTACTAGCTCAATTCTTATTTGTTAATTATTCTGAATGTTAAAAGATTATTGTCATGAAAATTAAATTAAAAATTAAGAGCACTACTTAGAAACAAAGTGCCTCCTCAGTAGAAACAAAGTGTCCCTAAGTAGTGGTTACTAACATTACATATTATCATTTGCCTTTTATCTCCTCCAATTCAAAGGTATATAAACATTTCTGGCAATATGAAAAATTCTAACCAACTTTGCATTTTACTTTTCCTTTTCAAATCCTTGAAATTTTCTGGTATGCATGTAAAATTAATGATTTGTGTCAACTTTCTTAGACCTCCCTTTAGAATAGCACATTGTGATAGGTTGGCTAGATATACAAAGTGCTTCATGTTAATAAATATAAAATATTTACCATGGCATAAGTGATAGGGAAAAGTAGACAGATTAACCTCTTCAAGGAAAGTAAATACACAAAAATAAAAAAGAAGGTGAGGGAAAGAGTCCTTCCCCAATTCTCTACAGACATGATAAATCTGTCTTATTTTTAAGAGGATTCTTTCTATAAACCACAGGTGTAAGAATCAGAAAACCCCTCCTTCGTGTATAATCTACACCATTATAAGAAGTATTAAAATACTGATGATATACAAGTTCTAAAACTTCCATGCCATTTATTTCCACTCCTCGTTTACTATATAACTTTCTCCAAGTTGAAATTTTCAGTACCCAAATTAGGATACTTAGGTCTTCTAAAAAAGCCTTGAATATTTACTGCTTCTCTAGAACTTCTTGTGAAGATGATGTCTATTACTGCTATGAACTTCCTGTTCAAATACATTTACAAGTTAGGATATTAGGGAGGGTAAACTAACCTACCACTATTTCATAGTTAATTCCCATAATCCTCTGCCACTTTGTCAGCAGGGTAGCTTCTTGTTGCGTATCTTTTGTTTCCTGTGCCTCAGCTGATATCAACTGATACCCTGAAATAGTCAAAGCAATTAAGTTAGTGACACATTACAAAATTCTCCATATATTAACATTCTGTTCCAGAGACAGTGATTAGAACATGTCGTACCATGTCAGACATTTTTTTTTCAACTTAATTGGTTCTTTTCAGTCATACATAACACATAGTATTCATCTTTTTAGTTATACATAACATTAGTATTCACTTTGACATAATTATAAAAGCATGAAATATAATTTGTTATAATTCAGTCCCCGTTACTTCCCTTTTCCTCCCTCCTCCCTCCCCCGTTTCCTTCCCACTACTTTACTGATCTTTCTGCCATTTACTTACAGCTTTCTTTAAAATTAGTGTCTAGTAGTTATACATGATGGTGAGATTCACTGTGGTATGTTCATATATGTACATAGGACAGTTAGATCTGATTCATTTTATTGTCTTTCCCTAGCCCTCTTCCCTTTCCTTCATTCCCTTCATTTACTCCACTGATCTTTCTTCTCTTTTAATAATTCCACATCCTGTCTTATTTTGGGTGACCTTTCACATATTAGAACAAACACTTGATCTTTGACTTTTGGGGACTGGCTTATTTCACTTAGCATGATAGTTTCCAGTCCCATTCACTTACTGGCAAATGCCAAAAGTCATTCTTCTTTGTGGCTGAGTAATATTCCATTGAATATACCACATTTTCCTTATACATTCATTTGTTGAAGGAAACCTAGGTTGTTCCATCAATTGGCTATTCTAAATTGTGCTGCTATAAATGCTGATGTCACTGTGTCACTGAGGTATGCTGATTTTAAATCTTTTGGATATATATCATGGAATGGATAGCTGGGTCATATTATGATCCCATTCCTAGATATTTGAGGAATCTCCATACTGCTTTCCAGAGTGGTTGCACTAATTCACAGTCCCACCAACAATGTATGAGTGTACTCTTTTCTCCACATTCTCACCAACATTTATTGTGATTTGTCAGACTCTTTACCCAGTAGATGAGTACTCTCACTTCTATACTTTACAGATTTAATTAAAAACCCCATTGCATATTCAACACTATTATCTTTTAAAAGATATCTTTTAAATCCTAACCATAACATTATCCAATTTAAATATTTAAAAGAATGAGGACTCTGGGTTGCTTTGGGATTCTCTTCATCATCCTTTGGTGACTCTACAGTAAAAAGCCATGTCTGTCACCTCTATGTTAATTTTTCTTTTTTGTTTTCATTTGTTCTACAGTGGGAAAAGGAGTATGCTATTACTTAGCCAAGCAAAAACAAGTTAACAAATAATATATACAATTCAATGTATAGTGAGAAAATATAAATTTAAAAAAAAACATGACAAAATGAGATTGCACATTAAAATAAAAGACTAGCATGGAATCTCACTAACTGGCAAAAATAATTACAATTAAAAAGAAAATAGAAAAATATATAAATAAAAAGAAAAGAGGGAAGAAGCCCACCAAAAAAGTTACCCAAACAAATTAATTTAAAATGCTTAACTTAAAAAAAAAAAAAAAAAAAAAAAACTCATGAAAAAGAACTTTACAATCACATTTCAGAGACAACTCTGTATCATCATGGTTCTGACTCTTTACCCAGTAGATGAGTACTCTCAGGTTGTCTTTTAAAACTCTCTATTAGGCAGTACTCTATCTATCCCTTTCAGCATTCAAATCTAAAATTTAAAGAGTGTTTCAAGGGCTGGGCTGAGGCTCAGTGGCAGAGCACTTGCCTATGATGAGTGCAGCACTGGATTTGATCCTTAGTACCACATATAAACAAACAAAATAAAGGCATGTTCTTCACCTACAACCATAAATTTTTTTTAAAAAAAGTGTTTCAAAATTCAAATTTCTCATTAGATGTCTCCTGTGCAGTAGGAATTCAGGAGCTCTCACTCTAGGCATATTCTGCAGATTTGTTACAACTTGGGTTAAAACGCCAATTCTGCTTTCACCTTGAGAAACTAGATCAAATAGTTCATAATTTTAAAAATATTTGGAGGGCTGGAGGTGCACGTAGGTCAGTGGCACAGCACTTGCCTAGCATAATGTGGCCCTGGGTTCATCCCCAGAACTGTAAAATCAAAGATTGGAGATTACTCCCCCAAAATAAGTGTTTTCTCTTCAAAATTAAATTAATTTCTGAGACAGATAACTATGCAAGAGTGAACACAACTTACAGGGAACATTTAAGCCAAATTCTGGGAAAGAAAGATCAGTCCTACCTCCTCCAACCCACTTTCTCCTATTCCCTTGTGTTTATATAGCTGGGCAGGAACTTAAGCAAAGTGGGATTATGAATGGTCAATGTGGGTATTTAGGAATTCACTGATTAAAATAATCTCAGATTCATATTCATTCAATTAACCTATGGTGATAAAATTCTCTGTTCACACTTTTAAATAATCCCAAGACTAGTTTTCATGGATTTTTTAAAAAACCGTAAAGTCTGGTTCTCTGTTTTTACTGAGAAGTCAACTTACATATCCAGACTTACACAATGTATAAAATTTTAGTGAAAGAGGCAATAATGACTCCTCATACTCCAAATGAAAAACAGTATTAGAGTAGACGCATGAAAATCACTTAAACATTTCTGCTTTGTTTACTTTGTTTAAAAAAGACTCTGGGACTCCTGATTTTAAGTCTAGAGCCTCCCCAACTCACTTCCCACAAATATATGCACTTCTCATGAGCTGCCTTCACCAGGGTAAATATATGGTTCTGAATCTTCAAGATAACCCCACACCATCCTCACTATCTCCAGTTTCAGACTCTGAACATTTGTATCCTTTCCTTAGTCTTGATACTCACTTTAGTCTTAATAATATCTTTACCTAGTAGCATTAAAATGGCAGAATACATTTAAAAGTAGTGTGAATCTTGCATATCTCCCTTACAAGATATTTTGATAAGCACAAATATTGCTTTAAAATGATAAAAACACGTTAAAATTTTCAGCAGAAAAGAAATGCAATAAAGAAAGAGCAGATATGTTAAAGAACTACAAAGCCTCTGTATTATGTCTTAATAAAGGGTGGAATTCTAGGACTTTATTCAGTCCTAGAATAGTCCCAAAGCACCTAAAGCAATCTGTCAGGTAAAGGAAGCAACATACTGGCATAATCACAACTTAAAACAATGGGCTCTGAAAACATTTTAAATAACTCGCTAGATCCTAGACTTACAGAGAAAGAATTCTCAGAAAGGTTTAATTTTTCTATATAATTACTTTCCAAGATCAACTTCCCAATGATAAAACTTAGAACTCTTAAAAAATTAAGAAGTGAAAATGGCCTCCCAAAATTGAACAGCTTCATTCTAAGAATTTATAAAGACTCTCCTTTGTTTATTTTTAAATATTTTCTAATTGTATTATTGTTTGCTGAGGTACTGATATCTCAGCTATACAGAAGCAAAGGAATTAAATTAAAACTATGTTATATAACCAATTGAGTCCAAAAGGCTTCTGGTAAAACAAACAAAAATGTAGCAGAAAGAACAGACTGATTCATCAAGAAGACAATCAGCTATAAATGAACTGTTTTAATATATGAGAGCAATTAATCATATCTATAAATAGAGATTTACAAGCATAATGTTTTTCAATATTTTTATTAACGCACAGTATATCCCTATTGCTTATCTCACTTGTAAAAAATCACTTCTCTTAAAACACAATGAGAATGTCTTAGCCATGTTTACCTTCTTCTTCAATTGGTAATATGCTGGTGTTTCTCCTCAAAGATAAAGAATCTTCATCTTTTTCATAATTTTCTTAAAGATAAAAATATTTTATTAGTAATATCTGTATTAGTAATATCTGAATAACTAAGCACTTGAATTTTTCTAAAGGCACTATATTTATTTGAATCCCTAGATGAGAGTCTGTTTTATAAAGATAAACTCCACAGTAACCAAAAAAAAAAAGGAAAGTCCCCCTGCAAATGGACAAACATTCTCCTGCAGCCCCATCGCCTAGTGCTGCAGTTAGGTAACACAACAGCATTTTCCAACCAACAACCTGACACCTACCAATAAACCCTTCCTGGGGATTTTAGCAATGAGAGATACTAATATACAAACAGCTCATGAATGACATTTCTAAATGTGATTCCTTCAAGGAATGGCTGGGGATTTAGTCATTATGGCTCATATAAATAATCCTGGTAGATCTGCATTCCTCCCCCTAAAGATAAAACATTATGCTGACATCTAAAAGTAAGGAAGGTATAGAAAGGCAGATGCCTGCGCATTTCCAATTGAGAAGTGGTGGCTAAATGAATACAACATAGAAATACACCTTATGAAGTTTATGCATAGGATGGATGGTGGTTCCACTTATTCCCAACTTTACTAAACCTTTTCTTTTCCTTGGTTTTAATAAATGGTTGAGGAAAAGAAAAACAAATGATTTTAGAATTAGAAAAATATCTGAGTAATATAAATGTGTAACTGAAAAGCAGATTAACCTGGCATTACCTTTGCTTACACTGGCATTAAAGAGAGACATGTCAGAATCTTTCATGATTTCCTCCCTTGATATGAGCTCCCCTTCCTGCTTGGTTCCTCTCCTCATTAGAGTCAGGCGCACAGTCTGACCTGTGTGTCGCAACACCTCTACTGCTTGTTGATTGGTGAAACCCTGGAGGTTGGTGCCATCTACCTGTGATAACAAGACGTTGAAAATAGATGGAGATTTATACTGCTAACTCATAAAATGGATATTTACTGCTTATTACTGTGAAAAGAAAGGGGAATGAGTAGTTCTATAACTGGGTATGGACAATGACATTCCAACACTTGCTTGAGGACCAGTATTAACGTAGGTATGCTAGAATCCTTGAGGAGGGATAATCTAGATTCTGGGGTAACACTTCTAGAAATTATGAGCCAAGAGTTTTAGGATGGGCCCAGGCTTATATGCCTTTTTAAATGTTACCACCAGAACATAGTGCTATGTGCACAGTAAATATTCATCCCACATGGGAGGACAGAACCAACAGATCACATATCAAAGATTTATCTGGAAAACAAATACCTTTGGGGAAATATAAATAAATATAGACTAAAACATCATACTTTTAAACATTCATAAAATCACAATGAAAACTGGAAAAGTAGACCAAACAAATGAAATGTTGAAATTCAAAGTCACTGATAATTCTTTTGAATTGCACAATGGATGTAAATGTCATGCTTTTCTAAGCACAATGATAGCAGCCACATTCGGCATTCAAATGTTTATTAAATGACTGAGAATTATGACATCTAGATCAGAGATCTCCAAGACAAGAGTATCCTTATTACAGAGATTTCTGGAAGAATATAATAAAACTTCTAAAACTTTAAAAACTCATTGGTATACACACACACATATATAAAGTCTATATCAATTATATATAAATATATATATAAACATATAACAACATATATTTGAAGATACAGAAGGGTGGAAAGAAACTGAGGAAGAAATAGATAAATATTTTTATTAATCGGCTATTCAAACCAAAACTAGAGACTGTTGATCTAGATAACCATCTCACACTAAGGGGTCCTTAAATCTTCTATAATTTTTCTGGGTAAAACAGTAACTTGAACACAGGTATCTGATAGTCTTCTTTTTCCATGCCTACCCTGATGATTCCTTTTTTACATAAACTAACAAATTATAGTAATGGAGAAATCCTGCAACAAAACTGGAAACAAATAATGAAAGTAAGTTCTTACACCAGTAACTTGAAGAAATTTCTACTAGCAATGGTCTGGCCGTGATCAGATCAAAGGCAGGCCAGCCAAATTTCTGTAAATGCAGGAACAGCTTGTCTGTTCTTTGAAGAGAAAATTCTTTCAAACAACATTCTCGCATTAAAAGAGGTGGATCAGTTGATACATGTGGATCCCAATCAGTGACTCTGAGTAATCTAAGCCTAGAGGCCACAGCAACCTGGGAGCATGCAGCAGCACAGAATTACTGACATGTAATAAAAATCACCTTTGTGATGCATATGTGTATGGATACATGGATGTGTGCACATGTGTGTATACACACACACAAAAAAAAAAAAAAAATTCTAACTGACTCCTGTTTACCCTAAGAAACACAGAAAACAAATCTGTCCCCACGCAGAGCCAAAGTTCTCCACTGTGATGTTCAAAAGCACTGGTTTCCTTTCTTTATTTTGTTTATCTACAAACAAATCAGGTGAAATTCTGTATGGTAAATTTAAACTTATACCTTAATTCTGGCTCTCTCAATTCCCAAACTATCTGAAAACCCACACAATCTCCAGTAAAGTCCACCTCAGTTCCCATTTGTACAAGCACAGCTTTTTTCAGGCATGACCAAAAGTCACAGGATATGAAATAAAATGCCACAGTTCAAAAGAAGGTATGCACACTGTGCTGTCAACCCAGGTATCTTCCTGTGAAGCTGTTATTCAAGTGAGCAAGAAAAAAGATATTTCCTGAAATTTCCTTTCAAAATGATTCAAATTTCATTGTATATGTGGAAATAGAAATTATAGTTACAAAGAAAAATATGTATCTATCAAAAAAAAAAGGAAAGAAAGAAAACTTACAATGAAGGCAGCTTACAAGATTTTAAGTACTGTAAAAACAAAGCTAGGAAATGGAAGACAGGATCATGCAATTTTCCCGTATCTCAGAGGAAAAGAATAAATAGATAAAAATGATTGGTAAAATAAAACTGGCGACACACAGGCTGATCTGAGAAACCCAATATACTTTGAAAGGCATTATGAGAAGAGAAAAGAAATGAGAAAAAATAATCAAAGAAATGACTACAGGGAAGGGAAACTTACCCAAGTCTACAAATCAAAGAGACACATGAAAAATGAAAAAAACAAAAAAAAAGAAAGAAAGAAAAAGAAAAAAATCTAACACCTGGACATAGTCTGGTAAAGCTCTTCTATTTCAAAGATCAAAAGAAAAAAAAAATCTATCAGCCTCTAGGCCCTGGAGAAAGTAGGCTATCTAAGAACTTCAGTAAAGAAAGTAGGAAACTAGAGTTTTGTATGCAATGCAATGCATGTGAAAATGGAAACTGTGGTTGGGAAGCTAAGAGTACTGAGATCCTATACCAAAATGGGGAAAGGGGCCACCATGCAGACATATAAATGAGGTATTAAGAATGAAAATTCATGCATACTTAGGGCATAAAATGACTGGGTTGTTCAAACTTAGTAAAAAAATTAAAAAGAAAAGTCTTCTTTTTAAATAAAAGAGGAAAGAGTGCTATAAGTCCCATCCCACCCACCCAGGTATACATTTACCCCGATGACCTCAGGTCAGAAGATCTGTCATCTGCAAAAGAGAAGGGACTGTATAACTCCATCAGGATGACAAGGCCAGAGGCTATTTACCTGCTCTGACAATGAAGCAAAAGCAAACTGTGATGTTGAGACCTGCTCAACTCCCTGTCTTTGGGAATAGACCATAGGGGAGCCACACATATAAGAAATCCAAGCTCAAGTCACTCTGAAAGCTACCCAAGTAGTGTCCCTCAGGAATCACAGGACCCAAGAGAGTATGTAGGGAGTAGACTGATGACAAATCAGGGTTTAAAGTGTTGAAGAGTTAGCCAGACAGAAAATCTATCATCTATCATTCATGCAAAGTTAAGTCAAAAATCTCCACTGGGATCTCCCAACAGACCCTAACAGAGAGTCAGTTCTAATCACCTGCCAATTCCATTCAGCATAAAGACATCTTCCAGCAGCACCAATCAAAGAAACATGTCCCATCCTCCTTCAACATTCTCAGACACAAAAAGTTTGGAAAGTCTATCAACATATTCTCTTCCTGTGAAATTTTCCCAGAAAACTGTTGATATATTAATCCAATTTAAAATTCAAAGAAAATTGTGGCATATAAGAACTAGTACTAAGAAACAAGAGAAATTCAAATCCAACTAATACTATTACAGCAACAAAACTGAATTCAAATGTTTTAAGTTTTCTTTAAAAATAGAAGTTCTATAAAGTAGTATATAATAATCTGTTTATAACAATTGAAAATAAAAACCCTCTATGATTAAGGCTGCTTAAACATATCACAGTAGATCCACATGTGCTTATAATCACTATACCTCCCAGGTATATTTTTAAGCAAAAATATCTTAAAAGGTATAGATAAAATTTTAAATTTTTTTTAAAAAATTTAAAGGTATAATACTTCTTAAATATACATACATGGCTCTTTCTTGACCTTTAAATAATAAACTATTAATAATGGTTTCTATGAGAAGGTTTTTTAACCATGTTCAAATTTTATATTCTTTGAACTTCAAAAAAAAAAAAAAATTAATCTAAAATAAATGAACTTTTTTTTTTTTTTCAGTACTGGGCATTGAACCTAGGGGTGCTATACCCTTGAGCTACATGAGCTACATACACACATACCACTTTTTATTTTTTATTTTAAGAAAGAGTCTAAGTTGTCCACCTAGAACTAAACTTAAGATCTTCTTGCCTTAGCCTCCTGATACCTAGGATTACAGTATGTGTCACTTTGCCCAGCTGCTACTTATTTTTATTACTCTTGTGGTAATGAAGAAAAAAAAATTTTTTAAACTTTCAAAAATCTTAATAGTGAGATTCTAAAAAACTTCTTAAAATACACAAAATTTAGGCTACAAATTTTTCATTTGCAATAGATTGTTATTGCTCAATTCTTGCATTAAGAAAAATAGAATGTGTGTGATTTTGTAAGAATAATATGCCTCAAATGTGTGTAGAAAAAAATTATTTCCCATGTTTTTCAAAACTTAGTAACTTGGATTTTATAATACATTCCTTACCCAAATATTAGAGGACACTACTAGAAGAGAAAAAATTGCTATAATGGCTTTTGACTTCAGTTCAAATTTCTCTAGTATCTTCATCTGTAATATGGAACTAAGGATATCTATATTTCCAGAATTGTAATACACAGCACGTTGTACTGGGAAGATAGTCAAGGGCTGGCATTATTATTAACAGAATGAAGATATGAGTAATAAACATACAAACCCCAATATTCCCTGGGAGCAGTTTCTGTTCAATATATTCACATCCATCTACATATGAGTCACACTTACCACAAACTCAGGAGCCCAGTTCAGACTCAGTGACACCAAAGAAATGTGAAGTGAAATTAGGTACAATGGCAGCAAACTGCCTCTACACTTTCTCATGAAGAAAAGATAACATCTCCTAATGTGCAGTGCAGATACTGCCATTTACAGGAACAATTTAGGGAAGAAACACTAGTTGGCACAGCTCACAGACCTAGGCTCCTTAGCATATTCAATGTAGACTGCCAAGCCCTCCTCCAACAGAGCCATTACCTGTAGAGAACCTGAAACTCTTAACAAAGTCACAGAATATCAAAAGCAACACTTGAAACTTTTTCTAATTTATATATTTGTTTAATATTTTATCAGTCATAATTAATCAGTCATAATGGTTTGGGCATGGATCACTGAATATCAAAATATAATAATAATTTAATAATAATGAGTTAATTATTATCATTAATATTAATTATAATAAAATAATTTTATCTAACAAGCTTGTCAACTTTTTGAAAACACAATAGATCTTTTTTCAAATAATCATTACATAGAATACCAACAAATGAAAAGGGGGAGGAAGGAATAGAATATTTACTCTATTTCCTGCCCTGTAATGCCTATAGTGGAACCATACACATACACAGAATAGTCTGTGAAACAAGAATTTTAGAATAAAGTACTTTTAAGTTATAAAACAATACTCCCTAAAAATAGTAAGAAATAGTTTCTCAGTCTTCTCACAATATGACAATTACAAAATAAAAATAGACTATAGCTCCAATAGCTGCTGTCACAACAAAAATAGAACAAATAGACAAAAAAAGACTATAGTCGTGAAAATGCAACTACCATATATCAAAAGTCCACAAGATGGTGACATTTTGCACAAAATTAATGCATGATCTAAAGTATTACGTAAGTGCCCCAGGATTTACAGATGCTTCTAACTTTGAAGTAAGAAAATGTTGCTAGAAGTTGTTAAGTAAAACTCAAAATACTGATGACAAGGAAAGCAAGTGATTTCACTGAATATAAGAAAACACTCCAAACAAAAAGGCATTTCTATTTTTTGAGTCAACAATTTCCTTTATCATTGACCTTGCCTAAGAGGAATTATATTTGAGATTCCACTTACATAAGAATGAAGATAATGATAGGTTTAGAGAGAAAGTACTGTGAGACTCTTTCCAAGATGTAACCATTTTAGGCCCTCAAATAATTATCGCCTTAATTAATTAAAATGTACTTCTATGCTAAGTATAACATCAGATATTTTGAATGAAGGACTTACTTATGTGCTAAGTATGACATCAGATATTTTAAATAAAGATCTTATTTGGTTCTCCTAAACAATCATACAAGTGACATTTCCTTATTCTAATTTTGTAGGTAAAGAAATTTTCAAAAAGATTGCTAAGAAGATACCAGAAGTAATATAGTCAGAAACTACATCAGAACTTGGTGCAAGTTACAGGAAACATAGCTCAGTAAAAAAAAGTATGAGGCAATATGGTCAAGACCTCCCACCAACCCTGGACTTCTTGTATTTTGGCAGCACTTCATCCTAGAAAGGAAGAATATCTGAGTACCTACCATTTGAGTCTCTCTCCCTGAAACCCATGGTTCTTTGGGTTTCCCATCTTGATACATTTGATATCATTTGTTGCAATGTATCTTAGAGGTGATTACAGTAAAATTTAACTACTGGTGGTGCATTTATACCACAGAGTGGTCATTTTTACCAAGCTTCAAATCCAAACATCTACAACACTATTTCACATGAATTATTCAGTGAATAGTGTTAAAATATAATTTGCAGAAATGCAAATCATGGCAAACACAAAATGGCTTGCCAAAGATTTTAACTTGTTAATGAATGAAAGAACTAGTAAGATGTTGTAATTGGTTGAAGGAGCATTTAAGAAGCAAGAGTGCTTATATGCAATTTAACACAGTATTAAGAGACCATTGCTGAGTTTGATACTAACTGTTTGATATCCAACAAACCATAAATCATTGAGATAATATATTCTTTGAACAGAAGTTTGTATCACTACTGGACTAGTCTGTGACTTTTAAATTATTATTAACTTTTAAAATTCACAAATAAAAATTATATACACACACATATATAATGTTTATGATGTACAAGCAATTAGCTAAATGGTTAAACAGAATTATGATAAGATCCATCAATTTCACTCGTTAGTATATATCCAAGAGAAATGAAAATATACATAAAGCAGAACATCGTACATGAATGTTCACAGCAGCATTATCCATAAAAGCCAAAAAGTGAAAGCAACCCACATATTTATCCAATGATGAATGGGTAAATGTGGTGTACCCATACAGTGACTATTATTCAGCAATAAAAGAATATAAAGAACAGACACATGCTACAACACAGACAAACCCTGAAAACACTCTAAGTAAAAGAAGTCAATCACAAAGGACCAAATCTTATATGATTCTATTTACATGAAATGCCTCAGAATAGGCAAATCTACAAAGGCAGAAAGTAGGCTGGTGGCTGCCTAGGGCAGAGAAGATGAGGAAATTAGGGAGCAACTGCTAAAGGGTAGGGGGCTTCTCTTTAGAGTAATGAAAATGTTCTAAAATTGATTGTGATAATGAACTTCTAGCAATGTGAATATATGAAGAGCTACTGAAACATATACTTTAAATGGGTGAGGTTCTTGGCATATAAATAATATTTCAATAAAACTGGTTTTTAAGAAACTTTCTGATGAACTAATATAGATACAGAGGAAAAAGTAAATTAGTCAAATTTTCAATTTTTAATTCAGCATCATATATGAATTTAGACTCTCTATCTATTTATTCTCTCTCCCTCCCTTTCCCTTAAAATAAAACCACAAGGGGACTAATTTGTATTGCATGGTAAAATGGAGATGCACGAGGGAAACCAGTTCTAGCAGGTAGCCAGACGAGGTGGTGAACTCAACTTGATTTCAAGACTTGAACAAGTGTGTAGGTAGGAGCTTCATAGAATTATACTCAAGAAGACTCAGGGAGATGCAATTAGACTCAAAAGGCAGAGATAAAAGAACCCTATATCTTTTTTTTATTGTGGTAAAAAACATATAAAATTCACCATCTTAACCATTTTATTCACATTGTTCTATGACAGATCTACAGGACGTTTTCATCTTGCAAAATGAATCTCTATTCCACTGAGCAACTTCACATTTGCCCTTTCCCCAGCCTCTGGTAACACCATTCTACCTTCCATTTCTCTAAGTCTGATTAGTTCACACACCTCAAATAAGTGTAATCATACAGTAAATTTGTCTTTCTTGACTGGCATATTTTACTTTGCATAATATCCTTGAGAATTATCCATGTTATAGAAAGTGACAGGATTTCCTTCTTTTAAAAGACTGACTAGCATTCCACTGTATGAATATACCCAAATTTGCTTATCCACTCATTGATCCTTACACATCTGGTTGTTTCCATGGACCATGCATAATGCTATACTCAAGGACTCTTTTATCTATGCCCCACCTCACTATCATTAAGATTCCTGAGGAACAAAAACAAAATAGGCTTAATTAAGCATACACAAATACTTATGAAGATAAATCAGCATTACCCAAGATGTCTTCCAAAGAAAGAAAGATTCCACAATTATAAAATTTGGAACCATCAGGGTAAAAGAGGTAAACAAGTTTCTCTACTGCAGGACTTCACAGAGTCTTCAGTTTTTCAAGGTACACAGTGAATCTCTAAAAGAAGATATAATATATATTTTTCACTAAACTTATTTCAATTAGGAAGCAACTGGTATGGGACTAATGAATTTGTGTTTCAGGAAGCGGTTTGTGAAGTCTAGTATTTACTGAACACTGATTTGAAGGTTAGATTCTTCTATACACTGCCTCAAACAGACATATATACTGATGTCATTACAATAGCATGATGAACTGACCTAATTAAAAGTGGCTGAATCTGTTTGTTATTCTTTTATATTAGAGCTAAAAGGTGCTCTCTGCCCGTGGAGTCAAAGCAGGAGCATCATTCTGCTGATAAAACAAATGCCACACATCCCAAATTGAGACTCAAATACACTGATGGTCATTACATCTGGTCTTTACCTTTGTAGTATCTCCAAGGAGAACTGTAATAGTAACAGTAAGAAATTCATTACAACCAGAAATCAAAACTATCAGAAATTGTTTAAGAAAAAAACCTTTGCTTTAGAATTGAGATCAGTAGAGCTTCTATCCAATGCTATTTTGTTTCCACAAAATAATAAAAAGGATAATTGTAATGAGAGCCTCAAGCCACTAAAGAAAAGATTAAATCAGTACAGTTAACTGTTTTCTCAGAACTGAGTATAAACTAGGAAAATGCATTCTCGACCATGAAATTTGACAAAGCTATTATTAAATGTGTAACTTACTGCTATAATTTGGTCTCCAATTTGAATTCTTCCATCATGTTCAACAGCACTGCTTTTTGTGATGCTTTTTACAAAGATTCCCGAAGGTTCTAAGATTAGAAATAGGTTATTTTTCGCTATTTACAAACACATTAAAAAAAATCCATCCTACAGTCTCCAAATAAAAAGCTTTAATTGTGAATAAATAACTATCAAAAAGCCACACAAACAAAATCTCTAGTAGAAAGGATAAGGTAATTGTTTTGTTTCTTTAGAGTTACCTACACTAAATTATTTCTAAGGATGTTTTCAAATAATTTACCAAACTATTTGAAAACATATAATGTTGATTAAATATTTCATAAGACACAGATACTAGAGGCAATTCCCAAGTTTAAAAAAAAATTTAAGATTTAAAATTACCTAATTTTTTATCTCCAATATAACCAGCAATGGTAATTCCTAATCCTTGGACATTTTTAGTGAGTTCCACATCAAATGTCTCACTTTCTTCATTTTTCTGAGTAGAAGCATCAACCTGAAATAAAATTGATAAATAAATATACAAAAAATAAACATGTAAAAAAAGAAAAAAACAAGTTCACAAAGCCATAGCTTTAACTGAGGAATAATATGACATAACAAGGTGTCAGAGAACTCTGTTAGAGAGTTACAGTAGAGATTATTACTTCAATCATGCAACATTGATGAACTGAGAATCACATTTTTACTCAGAAAGGAATGTTAAGATTGAATCTCCCCTTATTGGAGAGATACACTGTTTGTACACACTTTTTTTTTAATTAAATGGGTTTTTCTTAACAAATTCTGTTTTCATAGATGACACATCTTCATTTCTGAAGGAGTCTAAATGTGGCTCAGTTGAAAGAATTCAAGTCTTGAATTCAGATCAACAAATACAAACCTAGCTTTGCCACTAGATTTTCTAAACATTAGTTTGCACAACTGTCTAACAGGAGAAGAGTAACAACAACCAGTCCAGCTACTATTTATTAAGCAGTTTCCATGTAAGAGGCAACTGACATCTTAATTTCTTATTCCTTATAATGATATGTTTTATATTCCTTTTATACCATGAGGTGGTACAATTACTGAATCAATTGTTCTATGAGAAAACAGGCACATAAACTATTTTAAAGACAAAGCGCTAACAACCTAGTAGAAGTAGAATTCAAATCCTAACACTTATTGTGGAGCTGCTACTCTTAAATGACACACTGTATGGACCACTTCTAGTAGAACAGAGCAGCCACAGTGCCTACATGTTAGCTGCTATTATTATCCGAAGTTTGTAGTTGATTCTAATAACACAAATATGGATAAATCTATCCTTCAGCTTTATTATAAATAGGCTGATGGCTCATTTTGAAAACCAATAAAATGCATGAAGGAAGTCTTTTAAACTGCCCTTTGGTAAATTCAGACTTTACTATGAAAATCCTTTGTTCATTAGGATTCCTCCTTCCTGGAATGACAGCTGGAAGTAGGTTCCTCAGATGTAAGCTTTTAATAACATGCAGAGTTGTTATTCATTATACAGTAGACTGAAGGCTCAGTTTTCCCACATTAAGCATTAGTGGACTGGTATAATATGTCATCAATAAGTTATTGGGACTATGTATTAGTGTGAAGTAAGCAAATTCTACAGAGAACCCTAAGAAGAAAATGACAAAATCAAGACTCTGAGTTCTAATCAACATGCAGTTTGGGGCTAGCTGATAATATTTCTGATTTTCTTCAAACAAACTGAATATATCCCACTGTTGGTCCACCTAAATGAGATAAATTTTTCAGTAAAGTTTGATTTATTTTTTCATTGCACATAATTATCTGTGCAAACTTAGCAAAAGTTTAAAGTTTATATAATTACAAGAAAATGACAGGATGAAATCTGCTTCAATTGAAACAAATGTGTTTTCTATTTTTAATAAGACTTATGCGAGTGCTATTTTAGAGGGTGGCAATTTGACTATCGAATGGTTTTAAAAGGGGCACAAGCTTCAGAAATGATGATATGCACAGAATAGATATTTTTCTAAGCTTTCAATTACATCAAGTAGTTTTCGGTATTGCATTCATTTATATATTGCTGAATAAAATGTTTTGTTTACCACAAAAGAATGCCATTTAAATGCTTTCATAAACAAGCTTTCTTTCTTACTTCTCTTTGCAAAAAATAGCAACCAAACTCAATCCTAAAAACAACAGAATCATGGAAATTTCAAGTGTTCTAATAAAGTTTTAAAGGGCTTATGAAAGAGATTCGGATTTGAAAAAAGAATTTATAGCAAATGCATAGAAACAACTTTAATAGATAAAAACATATTATTACTGTGAGAAAGGAATATAGGATTTGCATTTGTTATAAATCTTATTTAGAAATTGGTATAATTCTTTTCTTAACTATTTAAGATATTTATGGATAAATTTATTTTGTTGATATTTTAGCCACTATAGTCTTACAATCTGTAAACCAGTTATGATAGTTAAAACCATTCAATCATTTTGAAATTTTCCAGATTTTTTTCATATCAAGTTAAGGGAAAAGACAGAATGTTACACCTATGAGTAAAGTTTCTGTTACAACATTTGTCCAAAAACTTATAAACTTAAGGTATAACATTTGTCTAAAAGCTTATGTAACTGAGTCAAGAACAATGACCACTCATTTCATTACATATCTGATCAACAGTTCTAAGGCATACCTTAAAACAATAAAACTGAAGGTTTTGAAAAGCTTTATTCATCGCCAGCAATCCTGCTCTCACTTTCAGCCTCCACACTTCCAAAACAAAACATAAATACTAAAAAGAAAGCTGTCAAATGGGAATGAAAGAACTGACCCATTTTACAGAAAGTCTTCTAATTAAGAGAAAAATATAATTCAACATTTTAGGTATTAGTAGTACATAATTCTTTATATTTCATCCATACTTCAAAACATCACCCTCATAAATTGGCTACTTAGAGAAAAAAAAAGTAAAATAGTCACCCAGCATTTTTAGGCAAGTATTTTTCATCTCTTTTAAACATTACTCCTGATTAATAAATATTATTAAAGCTGAAGCATCTCTACAAAATTCTCTAAGTTTTGTTACATTTTTAACACCAATAATAAACATAAGTAAGTCTAGTTTCTAAAACAATATCACTGTCATCTAAGTGCTATTTTCTCTGACATTCACATTAACTGTTTTTATCTACTTACCCGCATCTCTGGCGCAGATGTTGGGGAAGAGGAGAAGGTGATGCCCAAAGAGGTGGGTGCTGTAGTTTCTTCTATGGCACCTCTTGCAATCATCAACTTAACTCTATTTCCACACTGCCTAAGGACTTGTGCTACTTGCTCACTGCTCATTCCTGCCAAATCTGTATCACCAATCTTTAGAATGTGGTCTCCACTGCATAATCGCCCATGCTGAACCAAAAAAAGGGGGTGGTGGGTTGCATCATTAGGGTATTGTTATTGTAACTCCATCAGAGAAATCCTAAATGAGGGAGAGGGAATAATACTAAAAGAAGATAGCAATGAGATGACAACATGGCAATCATGAGACACTGAACATGTAACATGAACTGTCTTCTGAACTATTCCAGCCCACTCAGTGTGATATAAGTAAATAAAATTCACAAATACTCCCTAAATTGATGGGCTGATATGAACTTGTCATTCTGATTTCTATCACTAAATGCAAGCAGAAAAAAAAAAAAAAAAAGGCTTTTTTGTGATTTTTGTTTTTTCAGGGACAGAAACAAGAAAAGTCCTAAGCAAAGATTAAGTATGAAGTTACTAGACAAATATAGTACATATTATTCAAAATATGTTATGAACCACAATAGAGTATTATATAAATCTCATAATTTTGTCCCTTGGTATTTCAATTATAAACATCAAAAGAATATACTTTCATATGAAATTCTAGCGAAATAAAAGACAGATAGACAAGAGGCATGAGAATTAGTCTTATAAGCCTCCATGTAATTGCTGCTATTTTCTGCAATAACAGAACTTTCACACTGTCCAACACAGCAGTTACAAGCAACCCTTGGCTGTGGAACACTTGGAATATGGTAGTCCAACTGGGGAAAAGATTTGTAATCTCTTTTAATTTTAATGAATTTAAATTTGAATTTAATAATATTGGAGAGGATAGCTCTATATTGAAGATAAAGCATAGATAAGATAGATTTCTCAAAGCTTATCAACTTTATTGGATACTGCTATATGCTAATGTCTTAAAGGAAGAAAATGTCATATATTATTATATTATTGTTAAATCCCTAATGAAAAGGCTTCCATTAATAGGCCTTTCATTTATGAATACAATCAATGTTTTATAAACCTGGCTTTCTAGTTTACATTCAAACAAACATGTAACAACAAGAACTTTATAAATGAAGTGTTATAATCAATATAGTAGTTCACCATAACCTTGGTTTAAGTTTGTGGTTCTAAGGAATATTAAATTCATTGTCTGTATCTGAAACTCAAGTTCATTGTCCCTTTTCAAAAGTATTTCTCCCCAAAGAGTATTTCTCCTTTGACATTATTTAAAGCCAAAGTTTCTTCTTTCCAACAGAATGTATAAAAGATGAAGTCATACTTTGGGGTAAACATCAATGAAGACCTATTGGAGTAGCTTACCTGATCAGCTACTCCTCCAGGCAGAATGGTTTTGACTATCACACCCGTTGCTTTTCCTCCGATGATGCCAAATCCCAAACCAGACCCATCATTCACCAGTTCAATTGTTTCTACATGCTGCCAATGAACCTAAAGACAAAGCTCCTATGAGAATTTCTAAAATTTTATGAAACACTAAAATTTTACATCACAATGGATATTTTGTGATCACTTTATTAGTATTAAATAACTTATTTCAGATAATACAATGAGCCCTAAGAATACCCTTTAATTCAGTATACTTCTCTTTCAAAAGACATTTATTTCTATTTTTTTATTAATATATCATTAAAATGTTTACATTTCCTCCCAATTAATGATGAGCACTGATTTTTCAATATCTCCTGTAGAATGTCTTTAAAAAAAAAATAGAAAAAGATAAAGGAAAAAAACTGTCATGTGTTAAGAATGTCTTCCTTTGAATCTTGCCTACAGGAAAAATTCCAAATTACATGACTTCTTAAAGTCACAGACAGCCAACTGTAACAATATAATTGTATAATTTATAAAGCAAAGTCAAGATTGTATCTGTCTACTGAAAAGTCAATTTTGTGAAAGAACCATACTTCTTTTTGTTGTTGTTGTTGTTTTTGAGGAATGATGATGTCAAAAAACTATACAAAGAAAAGGCTGTTTTAGAAGCTGCAAACAATCATAATTAAATGACAAATATTCCAGGCTGAGAGATATGAATTTTTTTTAAAAATTCAAGAAATACAAAGAACCTATAGGAATTAGAAACCTGTACACAACTAAAAAGAATTAGAAAAGTACGTTCTGTTCTGTTTGAAAATCTCAGGCACTCACGGGATTTGAGTGAGCTGAAATTGTACTGGCTGCAGATGGAGAACGGGAAACTCTGGGGCTGACAAGCTGAGGTAAGGAGCCTCTGGCTATAACTAGCTGGACAGCATCTTTGGCCTTCTGCAGGATGCTGATGGCCTGCTGATGTGTGATGGTCTGATCAAGTGCCTGTCCATTGATAGCAAGGATCTGATCAGTTTCCTTCAGTCTTCCATCTCTGTCAGAGGTGAAAAACAAGGTGATAAAAAGATATTTGACAGCTCTCAAGAAAGAAAAAGCTTCTTTAGCATATATGTTCAGGTTACTTTAAATCCTATTTTTAAATTTCCACACTTTTTAAGCTTTTTCCTGCAGTTCCATTTTTAAAGTATATGCTTGAAGAATGTTCTAATATATGGATGCTAACCCACAACAAGGGAAGGGAAGATTAGAAGTTCATTGAATTAGACAAAGGGGAATGAAGGGAAGGGAGGGAAGATGAAAACAGGAAAGACAGTAGAATGCATCAGACAGAATTTTCCTATATTCATATATGAATACACAACCAGTGTAACTCCACATCATGTAAAACCACAAGAATGGGAAGTTAGACTCCATGTACGTATGAAATGCCAAAATACACTCTAGCATCATATATATCTATAAAGAACAAATAAATAAGAATTATATGGGCGGCTTTTACCTCTTGTGCATCCACAATAAAATAAAGCATGGTCTTCTTCAGAGGTCTATTTTAGATGGAGAAATTACTGACACAGAAAAATAATAAAATACTTCTTAAGAAAAAATAAAATATATGCTTAGCTCCAGGTGGTCAACTTTCTTAAGATAATTCTACTGCCATTCCTAAGCAACTCCTCCATTTAAAAGGCCTCTTTTTGTTTTTTTGTTTGTTTTTTGAACTGCCCATTCAACCTACTCATTGTATTTTAGATGGTCCTATCTTTTAAAAATCAAAGTATAGATACATATATTGCTTTATTTCTCTTAGCATATTTATAAAACACAGCTCAAATTATCATCACTCATTTCTAGTACAGCAATTCTTAAATCTAATCAAAAAGCCCAGTTATTAACAATGAAAATATTCTCCTCAAATTTTTCTTTCCTTACTAAAATAAATTCATACTATTTAAAAGCTACAGTTACTTCAAAGGACTTGCTTTTCACCACAAAATGTTAATGACTTCCCCAAACTGGTTAATATCAGGTCATGTTCAACTCTCATTATTGTTTGTTTTTCTTTGTTTTTGCTTTTCTAAATTTCCCCATACTGATCAAATTTTCTGATTATGATATCAAAAACAAGAGAAGATGCTGGGACAATCTCACCTGTGAGCCACACTGCCCTCTTGTATCTCTTGCACAAATATACCCAGCTCACCCCGGTTTTCACTCCTGAGTCCCACAACACTAAACCCAAGGCCTCCACATGGAGGTTTGAGGAGCTCAAAAACTTCCACGTGGCGACCCTGATTAGAAAACAAAGCAAGAAATGAAATTAAAAGCCAATTAATGCAGTTGACTTCCATCTTATGACTAAATGGTATTACTTTGTTTATGGGAATAAAAAAAAAAGACAAAACTGAAAAATTATTTTCTAAGATAATTTTGAGCACTTATCTCCTAGAACAGGATATTTTCTTTTTCTCAAGGAATATTTCTGGAGTATAACATATAATACTCAAAATTTGATAATTAAAAAACAAAATATACAATAGAAAAATCTCAGAACCATCCAAACTCTTCTCATACCAAAATTTTTACATGTTATAAATGCCATTACATTTTTTAAGTAACCCAGGACTTGATCACATTCTTAAGATGCATTCTAAGATACCTAACAGGAAGAAATGCTCTCACCTGGGCCATGTTTTTGATCAACTGATCAAATTCATCACATGCAGACTTCCCATTGATATGTGGAGTACCAGGTCCAGTGAAGGCTTCCAGATTCCCATTATTTGAAGTTAATAAAAGTGATTCATTTTGTACAGTAGGAATTGTAGCAGAACTGAGGTGAGGAATGTGGGCATATTCAACACTTGAAGTTGTTGAAGTTGCAATGCTAACCTAAGAGTAATACAGAATTCATTAACATTAATACACCTTACAATGAATTATGAAATTATCAAGGATAGCTTTGGGAACTCCCCAAACTTGCAGCTGGTGTCAGAATGTGGGTGTTTTGGAGGTACTTTCACCTTGAACCTGGGAACTAGACATTAATTCCTATCAGTGTCAAAAGTGATGGGCAGAGATGGAGGTTTGAAGGACTGTGTCTTCACACTTTGCAGTATATCTAACTCCTGGTACAAGACATTAAATAATAAAGTAACACTTTGAAAGATTATAATTGTGTGTGTAAGCTCTAAATTAAAGCTAACTAACTGACACAGCAATGCAAATAGTCAACACTCATGTTATACTTCCACAGGGTGTCATGAATGTGACTTTTTATCTGTAACTGTGTATCCGAAAGATTACATAAATGATGTGCTTGGATCACCCTTACCTCATCTCATAGCAGTATGTCTATTACTATCTTCAGCTGTACTGATGTCACTGTCCAAAGTGCCAAGCTGCTCACTCTACCAGCCAGGTTTATCCTTCCCCAAATATCCATAGGCTTTCTCTTTTATTTCATTCAATTGTGCTCAACCTTACCTTTAAGGAATCCCTCTCTGTCAACTCTATTCAACATAGCATCCACCATCTTGCTTCCTGAGCTCACCCTAATTATTTTAATAGCACTTAACAACCCCTAACATATATATACCCTGTTGTTCATAGAGCATCCATCCTAATCAATAGAAGAAGATTGGAATGTAAAATTTTCCAGTGGAAGAATCTTATTATGTTATTTTCTCCTTGGTCCTCATTTCCCATTGTTCTTCAATATACATTTACAGAATAAACTATCTATTTTTTAAGAAACTATGTTGATCCAATCTCCCAAACAATTTTTTCAAGTTGTCATTATTTTCCTTTTACTGATGACAAAATTACACAGTCACATCGTTAATAAGTAATTTGTTGGGCTGGGGATGTGGCTCAAGCGGTAGCGCGCTCGCCTGGCATGCGTGCGGCCTGGGTTCAATCCTCAGCACCACATACAAACAAAGATGTTGTGTCCACCAAAAACTAAAAAATAAATATTAGAATTCTCTCTCTCTCTCTCTCTCTCAAAATAAAATAAAATAAAATAAGTAATTTGTGACCTACATTGTTTTCATCAAGTTGTTCTTATTTTCTTTGTAGTATGGATAAAGCATGTACTCATAAAATACAATTTCTGGAAATATGATAAAAAATTCATAAAATCCATCAATTAAAGCTATCAAAATATTTCACAATATTTCAAAATATTTCATCCATAGGATGGTGTTACCTATCTTAAAAAATTAAAACAGAAAATTCATTGTTACTAAAGTTACCAATAATTCATCTATTGTGTTAGCTATCTATAATCATGGATGAAAAAGAGATCAATGTGTTGAGAGGAGGCTTTTGGGAATCCTATCAAATGATAATTTTAAAACTACAGTAGGCATAATCAATTATTTTTTCAAAAACAAGCTTTTTATGCCAAGATTGATTTTTTTTTTTTTAATCCTGAGCCATGGAAACTTCAGCAAAGTCTGACAGCAGAAGACACCCCACTCAGGTTGAAGCAGATGGCATAACGAAATTTGTGACAGGCTGAAGATCCCACACACCAGGTCCTAACGCCTATGGTATGCTTACAAAGGAAAAAACATTTGGACTTTTGTTATAGTAAGCTGGAATGGACAAATCACATTCTGAGAACAGATACTCAATTAGAAAAAATCCACTGAAGTAGAAGCTCTGATATTACAAGAGACCAGGTGTGGAGGCATCCCAAGAATAAACTTAGTAGGAGCACAATAGTAAAAATAATGATCATGAGACAGTATTTAATATCAAGTGTCTTTTCCTAATTTGTTAAAGGCCTGACAAATATAGATAACTATTCCTGCTGCTCTTAAGGTTTCATGTAAATGTAAAAGCAATGGTTACATAATTAAAATGGATCACATATATAAAAGCTTTCGCTTAAACCATCAAAAGTCATGTTTTTAAATTTGAAAATTTATATTCATAGGAAAAGGCACAAGATACCTTTTGATTTTGTTGTCACTGTGTACTAAAGTGGTTTTCTGAACTACAATCTCTTTGAACAAGAATGAATCACATTTGGCTTGATAGGTTTGTTCAGAGCACACCCACTATAAATATTTAATAAAAAGAAATTGAGGACTGGGGACATGGTTCAAGCGGTAGCGCACTTGCCTGGCATGCGCGGGGCACTGGGCTCGATCCTCAGCACCACATAAAAATAAAAATAAAGATGTTGTGTGTCCACCGAAAACTAAAAATAAATATTAAAAAATTCTCTCTCTCTCTCTCAAAAAAAAAGAAAAGAAAGAAATTGACTCTCATCCTCGGTTTATAGAATACAAAATAATCAAAAGAAAACACAAATATCTGGTGATTTTTGTATAGAGATAAACATCTGTATAATTTATGAAAGTTGCTAGCAAATGAGCAAGGGTCACCAAATAATTATCTGTTTTGTTTAACTCTGGCTGAGTACTGGAACCTAGAAAGAGCTTGTATGTACTTGGAAAAAAAACATATTAATTTATGGTCTTTAACTAGTATATTACCTAAAACCAAACTTAAGTGAAAATTATGTAAATTATTCAATTAAAAAGTCTGAATTTTTTTTTCTTTGTGAAAGGGTAGAATATAACAGCCTTTCAGAATTTAAAGTATAGTAGAAACACGTTTACAAGATAAAGCTCAAACCAGTAACTAATTCCTCCAAGAGGTTAGATATAGCAGAAATCATATCAAATTACAAATATATATATATATATATACACACACACACACACACACACACACACACACAAATATATACATATATACATCAAACTTGGTACTTATATTTTAACTTAGCAAATATATGTCTAATCTGTCATAAATATCCTGAAGTTTGGATGAGATCTTCTTAAATATGGGTCCAAAGACAAGAAGTCTCTATCTTCTTAATACATAAATCACACTCCCAGAATACAGTATTATTCTAATTTCTGTTTATTTAAGATGGAGAAACACCCTAAAAGAAGCACATGAGTGGGCATGCCTTGTAAACCCAGCTACTTGGGAGGCTAAGGGAGGAGGATCACTAATTCAATGGCAGCTAGGGAACTTAGTGAGACCCAGTCACATAATAAAAAATAAAAAGGGTTGGGGTTGTAGAAAAGTGGTTGAAAAACCCTGGGTTCTATCCCAATACCATAAAAAAAAGGAAAAAAAAAAAAAAGGAAAGAAACTCTTGAACATACTTGAGAAACACTTTGAAAAGAATACTCCAAACTGGGCATGGTGACAAACGCCTATAATCCCAGCAGCTTAAGAGGCTAAGATGGGAAAATTAAAAGCCAGCCTCAGCAAAAGCAAGGTGCAAATCAGTGAGACCCTGTCTCTAAATAAAATACAAAATAGAGCTGGGGATGTGGCTCAGTGGTTGAGTGCACCTGAGTTCAATCCTCAGTACCAATAAAAAAAAAAAAAAAAATTCTAGATTTTTATGAGATTTATCCTTAGTATTTTACAGTTTAATTAAACAAAATAAATCCATGAACAATTGCTTTATTATTTCACCTACATAGTTTTCAAAAGAATTTAAATTTTCATAGAGAAAATGTCATATATAACTTCATAAAGTTATAAGTATAAATGGCATAAATAGCTTTAAAAAAATCACTTTTGTCAAATGTACCCTTAGCTGATAAGAGCTAAAGAATCAGACAAAACAGAACACCTAAGTAGATAAGAGTGTAGTACCCTAAGCCAACAAGCCTCACTAGGAGAAACGGACAGTAACTTTCCACCTAAAGGATTAGCTTGTAGTTGTGCTTACAATGCTGCTTCAGTAGCAACATTCCAAAAAAACAAAAATTCTCTTTAGTTCTATACACAATTAGGCTCACCCTGTACAATAACTAATCAGAGTACCTTTTCCACTGAGAAAAATTACAAAATGTGTATAAGAGCCCTTAAAAAAAGTAAGTAAAGGTGGGCTGGTGTTATGACTCAGTGGTACAGTGCTTGCCTAGCAAGTGTGAGGCACTGGGTTCAATCCTCAGCACCACATAAAAATAAATAAATAAAATAAAGGCATTATGTCCATTTACAACTAAAAATATTTTTAAAAAGTAAAGGTATCAAAAATATACCAATATAGGGCTGAGGCTGTAGCTCAGTGGTAAAGTGCTTATTACCTCGCATGTGAGAGGTACTTGTGTGTGTGTGTGTGTGTGTATATATATATATATATATATATGTGTGTGTGTGTGTGTATGTGTATATATATATATATATATATATAAATAAATTTTGGTGTACACCAAAATTTCTGACATATATTTTTGATGGCAAAATAAAGCAGTAAATCCAATCCACACTGAAGGGGAAGGGATTACTGATGTTCATTTTAGATGCCAGCCACCACAACATGACATGGTAAACAAATAAAAACCAACCCAGAGAAAAATTTAGTATCACAAGACTAAAGGGCACCATTTCTTGAAAGAAGAATAAATAGCATACTTCTCAAGGAAAATCATACAAGACAGAAATTAATAGAACAATTAAAAAACAAGATATGAAGCTGAGCACGACAGAGTATACCTCTAATCCCAGTGGCTCGGGAGGCCAAGACAAGAGGAAAGAGGACCAAGAGTTCAAAGTCAGCCTCAACAAAAGCAAGGTGCTAAGCAACTCAGTGAGACATTGTCTTTAAATAAAATACAAAATAGGGCTGAGGATGTGGCTCTGTGGTTGAGTGCCCCTTAGCTCAATCCCTGGTAGCCCCCCAAAAAAGAAAAAAGAAACCTAACAATCCATGCATAAAATACCCAGCATTTACACAAAATACACACACACACACATACAAACCCCTTCCTTTGCCTCATATTTGTACAAAAGAAATACCAAAGTGAATTTTGGAACAGGAAGAAAAAGATCTCAGATAAAAGATC